GCATGGTGGTAGGATGTCAGTACCGATGGCACCAGTTTGAGGGAGGCTGTAACGTGTCTTTCAGTGAAACCCCTCTGACGCTGCACTCCAAATTTGCTCTGAATTTAACTTTTGGTAAAATGTTGCAGACGGTACTGGCAGCTCTGAACTAGGGCAATGGGTTTCACATTCTTAGCAAATGCCATTTTGGCAATGTATGGACCACGTTTTGCCCAGAACCACTCAGTGCCCATTATCCCTCAGCCCCTTCCCACCTGTGACAACAACTTTGCTTCGACCCAGAGCAAATTTCTTGGACCGCGAGAAGCATCAGCAAAGCTGGGGGAAGTGTTCTGCACTCTTCTCCTTTGCTAACAAGATTTATGAGCACAATGAAACAAAGGAAAGTGCACCATGTATCAAAGTCACACGGACCTGCAGTCAAGCCCCATAAATAATGCTGGGAGTTCGTTACTACTATGTTTAACAAGTCACAAATTTTCTTGCCTTACACAGAGGCTGTCTTGCTCATGCAGCTATCCAAAGACTGATGAAGGGTTACTACAGCTCTGTCATGTTGTAGTAACCTTCTCTTCTAGCCCTTGTAGACAGGCTCTGGCCCACAGGATTTCAGAGGAGCTCAGATTTAAGCAAAAAGGATAGGCTGATAGATTAAGAGACTGAAGCATTAGGTGTCTGACCAGGGGAGCCAGCATATAATGCTTTGTTTGTGGGATGTGCACTGGCTGCCAATCTGATACACAACCAAATTCAGGGTGCTGATACTAACATATATGTCCCTATACATTCCAGGACTAGGTGACTCGAAAGATTGCCTCATTTGTTAGACACCAATTAGATTACTGCTGACTGCAAGAGTTTCTCTTGCAAGGTTCAAGAATCTCAAAAGTCCACTCTGCAATTACTTGGAGCAGGGCTTTTAGTGTGGCTGCCCCTGTTCTGTGGAATAGCAATCCTATGAAGATGTGACAGGTACCCACTCTCTGCATTTTCTGGAAGAGGTTTTTTTCCGACTGGCTTTCCCAGCTGGATAAATGGGAAAGTGTTTATTTTCTATTGTTTTTATTTTGTTTTGTTTTTGTTTTGTGTGCTGTTTCTTCTAGCTGTTTTTATTGTGTACAATGTCTTGAGAAATGTGTGTGGAAGGTGAATAATAATAATAATAATAATAATAATAATGGTAGTAGCAAATGGAGCTGAGACTGACTTTTTGCTTACTCTATTAAGCTTCTGTGGTTCTGGTGTGCTAGCATTTTTCCCACTTGCAATTCCCAGAAACTGGAATTCAGGGGCATATTGCCTCCAACAGTTAGAGGTAGAACACAGCCATTGGTACTAGTAGTCTTTGATAGCCTTCTCCTCTCTTTGAATTTGCCTAATCCTCTTTTAAAGCCATCCAAACTGGTGGCCCTCACTGTTTCCTGTAGGAGTGAGTTCCATAGTTTAACTATGCACTGTGTGAAGAATGACTTACTCTTGTCTGTCTTGCATCTTCCAACATTCAGCTTCATTGGATGTCCCTGAATTCTACTGTTATTATGAGAGGGAGAAAAACTTTTCTCTATCCATTTTTCCGCACTATGCATAATTTTATATGCCTCTATCATGTCCTCCCCTTACTCATCTTTTTTGCTGAACTTAAAAGCCACAAATATTGTAACCTTTCCTCACAAGGAACTTGCTCCAGACATGATTACCAGGCACCGCCAAGCCTCAAGGTGAAGTCATGGCTGTAAGATCTTACATTTGAATGAGTCTTTTTTTTTTAATGTGATTACAGGGAACATTAACATGCTGACAGTATAAAAGAAACTTTTAAACTCTGCCCCTCCTTTTATATAAGCCACATCTATAAAAAGTACATTAAAAATTGGCCCAATCACTGTAATATCACTTATACCACCTCCCATTTAAGTAAGACTGTTTCAAGTCCTCGGTTAAGAAAGACCAGGCCTATATTTATAAACGCCCACTGCAATAATCCTCCTGGAAGAGATTGCCCAAGCCTGTGCAGTCATTAAAAAGAAAAATCCACCTCAGATGGGGGAAATGACATCAGTGATGAGGGTTCCTGGCTCTCCTATCTTCTCCATGGAACAGCAGGAAAACCCAGCACTGATCATAGAATTGTGGAGTTGGAAGGGACCCTGAGGGTCATCTAGTCCAACTCATGGGCGAGTTCAACTCATGGGTGTAGCCAGGGGGCAGGGGGGCAGTACCCCCTCAAAAAATCAGGGAAATCAATGAAAATACTTAACTGATTGATTTTATCTCAGATAACCCCCCCAAAAAAACAACAACCATAAAGCCTGCCCCCCCATGGTCCAACTCCCTGCAATGCAGGAATCATATCTAAAGAATTCCTGATAGGTGCCCATCCAGCCTCTGTTAAAAAACCTCCAAGAAGGAGAGTCCATTGCTTTCCAAGGCAGCTGTTCCACTATCAAACAGCTCTTTGTGTCAGAAAGTTCTTCCTAAAGTTTAGTCGAATTCATTGGTTCCTACCCTGTGAAGCAACAGAAAACAAGCTTGGTAGGATAAAAGTTACCAGACCAGGTCTGACCTGAAGTCTCCAGGTTTGCCAGGTGGCAGATGAATCTCCAGATGGGTGAAAGTGATTTTAATCATCGTCAACAACAATAACAAAATTGTGCATGCAGTTTGCAAACGTCAGTCCAGCAGATACTAGCTGAAAATTATAGCAGTGATATTCTGGGTGGTCTAATGTCCTCCACTTCCCTTTCCCAATTAATCTCCATCTTCAGGGCGCTCCAGTAACATCATCAGGGATTGCTCCCAGAGCTCAGATTTGGGCCCTGAAATCTGAGGGTCTGGGATGCTCCTTACCTGGCAGCCCTAAGTAGGAGACATTGGCCCTCTCCCACATATTCAGAAACCATCTGGGCAGCATTTTTATTGTGCATTTGTTTATTTAAATGTTTATAAATCTTTATTTTCATATTAGATATTGCAAGGCAGTACACCACCTAAGAACCCAATACAACCATTAGAAGAATAAGAACATCAGACATATCAATAAAAGCTGATTGGGGTGTTATTGTTTTGTTTGGATTATGTATTTTGTTTTTTTTAATCTTGTATTTTTTTGTTTTGAACTGCCCTGAGATCTATGGATGATGGGCAGTATACAAAGTTTGATGATGATGATGTTTGCTAAACTATGCATTTTAATTATGTTTAATTGCATTTTTAAAATTGATCTTATTCTTGTTATATCACTGCACGCTTTTATTTGTTTCTGAACCACCATGGTTTCTCTTCCTAAAATGAAAGGCCATATATGAAATCTTTTTAATAATTTCTCTGTGTGATAAGAGTTTTGGCTCAAATCTCCATATGCCTGTGTGCATTCAAAACATTGGGTTACATCCAATGTTCATTCTACTCAGAGTGAACTCATTGAAATCAATGGAAATGGCAAATTTTAGTTTACTGATTTCTGAGTAACCCAAAATGCCATTATAGCTCCTAAAAAGCTGTCCTCCATTCAAACTCTTCTTCTTTCCTAGCTCTGCTCCTTTCAGAAACCTTTTGGAGGAGAGGCAGAGAAAATGAACAAAAGCCAACCAAGTTACCCATGACAGCACTCGCTCCCCGCAAAACCCAGTCTCAGGAAGTGGCCTTATTCCACCCCAGCGCTATGCCCTAGTGGAGGGTATTTTGCTACGAATGATGAAATCCCCAACTTAGTTCAGACAGAAGATGTGTCTTCTCCCTCCTTCCTGCCTCCGCCCCACACCCCTCGCATGAAACGGTCCCCTGATCAAAGCTGCGGGAATGACTGGCACACAGTAATGAATACCCATCCATCCCGAGCTGAGAAAAAGGGGCCCGCATCGAAGGCAGGGCCTTTTCTTCGCAAGAGGTTTTCCCAGCTTGAAACTCCACTGTCTGTCAACTCCAATGATATGGCTGGCACTGGGGCTCTTTCCACTGTATTGCATTCTTTTATGTTTGTAAGAGTGGGGGTCAGAGAAGAAATTCTGAAGAAAGAAGTGAAATGAAACTTTTAATACTGTAACATTACAGAAGCCAGTGAAGGGCCCAGGGTGAGGATGCAGCAGCATGAGAATAAAAGGGGGAAAGTGGGGTGGGGAGAAAAGAATGAGATTAATAATATGAAAACACACATGCACCAAACAGAAAATCTCTGTATTATAGTCAGAAACTTCTGGAGCATGGCAGGGAGAATCTTGCTCCCAACACCACATATTTAGAAGCTGCAGGCAGGCTGAAGATTACATTTTTCCTTCCAAGCTCTGTAGCAACAAGAGGAAAGACTGGGGGAAAATATTTGAGGAAGCTTTCCTTAATCTATCACTGTAACACAAAAAATAAGAAGAGACTGCAGGATGATGCCAGTGACCCATCTACTCCAGCATCCTGTTCTCACAGTGGTCAACCAGATGCCTGTGGGAATCCCGCAAGCAGGATCTGAGCTGAACAGCACTTTCCCTTCCTGAGGTTTCCAGCAACTGGTATTCAGAAGCAGCCATCATGGATAGAAGCCATTGATAACCACCTCCTGCATGATTCTCTCTAATCTTTTAAAACCAGTGCTTTTTTTCCAGGGGATACTCAAGGGTTCACAGTACTGGCACCTCTCTTTTTTTTTGGTTAAAAAGTGTGGCACTTACTGTAACAACTTCATGGTGAGTACTGACACCTCTTTTTCTAGTAAAAAAAAAAAAAAAAGCACTGTTTAAAACCATCCAATTTGGTGACCACAACTGCCTCCTGTTGGAGCAAATTCCATAGCTTCACTGGATGTCCACAAGTTCTAATGTTATTGGGGGGGGGGGGACTTTTTCCTATCCTCTTTATTCATGCCATGCATAATTTTGTCAACTTCTATCATGTCACCACTTACTCAACATAGGAACAGAGGAAGCTGCATTATAGCAAATCACTTCGTCCATCTAGCGCAATATACTCTATGCATTCCAGTGTTTTGGGCAAAGAACATTGCCAGCCGTAACTGAAGATGCCAGAAATAGAACCTGGGACCTTCTGCATGCAAAGCAGATACTTTTCCACTGAGCCACAGCCCTTTCCCAACAGCCCACCACTCCTCTGTCACATTCCGGAACCTGGACGTCACCATTTCATTCCGTTTGCTAGGACTGGCATCACCTGTAGATCCAGCAGCCAGGACAAATATGCCATCCATCCAAACAAAGGGCTGATATCGGGAATAAGTGGATCTTTGTGCCAAATTCAGTGGGTCACTCCTTATGTTCTTAAGCAACGCAGGAACCACTCACTAGAAATTTTAAATCCCTCTTTTTTTGTCTTTCGATAAGAGAGGGGAGAGACAGAAGCTACACAGGAGATAGTGTGAAATCCATCTGTTCTTTTTATCTCCTCCTCCTCCTTTTGAATGAGGCTTTCTTCTTCCTTAATTTGATCCGTGTTGCTATCAGCAAAAAGAGCACTGAAAAGCCATACACCGCATTCAGCCAAAAGCAGATAATGGAGAAAAACTCATAGCCGGAAGAATTTCATACGCCGGTGATCCAATCTATCCTTTTCTTTTTGAAATGGAGAGTGGCTACTTGAGAACAATGCAAAGAACCTGATTCTATAGACTCACCTGACTACAGGTGAACATTTGCCCTAACTGGAGGGCATTTTGCACACCAGATAACATCCTCTTCCGTTTTTTAGAAAAATGAGGCTGGGTTTTGTTTTTTTAAAAAATAAATAAGAAGTATAGTATCTGATTGGCAGGCCAGCCTGAGAATAAATAAATTTGTCATTCTTTCAGGGTAGGTGGTGGGGGGAAAGCAGATATGAAGTTGTGAATCAACATAGTGTCCCTTTTCAAATGCAACGCTAAATGATGGTTTAGCATTACATGACTGAGCCTCAGGCTTGAATGATTTCTCCTCCCCTCTCCTCTGCTTCTACTTTTAAACTAACCACAGCTCACCATTTTGTCCCAAGTATGGGAGAACACCATGGTTTACAACCCTGACTTGTTCAATAACCATAGTTCAGACTATCCATTTCCCAAGATTGGACATTACAGGGAACCATAGTTAGTTTAAAACTGGAAGTGGATGCTTCTAGTCTTCTCCTCTTGCAGCTGTGGCAGAAGAGGGCAGTGTGAAGTGTGCATGTTACACACCTAGGATTACTTTAGGGGGGAAGATCACCAAAGAGTTCTCATTCTGTATGCTCCAAAGGCAAGTGCTTAAAAACACTGATAACACAAGGAGCTTAAGTTTCAAGACAATGGTGGTCAGGTTCTGTTACCCACAATGGAACTTCAAGGGGGAAAACTTAAGTTACTCCAAAAGAAGTTACTGGAGCACTCCAAATCATTTGCTCGTTTATGTACACAGAAACTAGTCGATCTAGCTGAAAGATTTGAATAGATCATTGCAATGCCTAATCATTCGTATTTTCTAAGATTACTGTACAGTGGTACCTCAGGTTACATACGCTTCAGGTTACAGACGCTTCAGGTTACAGACTCCGCTAACTCAGAAATAGTACTTTGCTTCAGGATGAGAACAGAAATCGTGCTCCGGCAGCGCAGCAGCAGCGGGATGCCCCATTAGCCAAAGTGGTGCTTCAGGTTAAGAACAGTTTCAGGTTAAGAATGGACCTCCAGAACGAATTAAGTTCTTAACCCGAGATACCACTGTATAAGCTTAGAAGGTAATATTAATCATATTAGAAGGGGGCATGGCTGTGAGAGGGTATGCCTGTGGCTATCTTTAAGGGATCTGACACTTCTGAATTTGCCACTGTGCTACTGGGAAGAACCAACCACTGAGTTCTACAAGGGCAAGGCAGACACTAAGAAGGAGGAAGATGACAGCTGCTACTATACCCTAGACTGGAAAAAGGCAGGTGTGAGCAGGGCAGAATGAGACCAGTGAGGCAGTGGCCCATTGGGACTTACAGACTAGCCTCCAGTGCCTAAAATGGTTTGAAGGGCAGAATATCAGTTTTGCTAATAAATAATAATAATAATAATAATAATAATGCATCCCTTGGCTCTAAGGATCTAGTCACTGAAAACAAGCACCCTAAGATGACAAGAGCATGGCTTCCAGTTTCAGTTTTGCATTATAGCTACCCACAGGCCTGGCTGAGAATTGGTGCCAGAATCCCCATGTTGCATACAGTTTGTCTCACTTGCTTGAGCTATCTAGTGCATTTGTTCTATAAGCAGCACCCACACCTACATGTCCTGGGGTATGCACAGTTTGGAGAGGTGGGTGGCCTTTGCCTTTCAGCCAGAAGACTGAACAGATGGTCTTCTTTGACTGCTCTTGCATTTATGGTGCTGAGTTGGGGAACCTCTAATTACCATAAATATTTTGTACAGTTTAAAGCTGGTAGGGAGGAGATAGGTCACAGAAGGATTTTCCTCCCTTTTTGGTGTGACCAAGATTGGACAAAAATAGATGTTCCCAGTTCACAGAAGAGCTCTCTCTGCTCTCCACTCAAACCAAAATGAGCTTGTCACCCCTTCGGCATGTCATTTGTCATCAAGCGGTGTATAATTATAATGGACTTTATTGACATTGTAACTATGAGTGCACAGGTGGTATTCATTTTCAGCACTTTAATTGAAGACAATGAAAGATCTTGTAATACGGAGCCGACATGGTGGATTAATCAGACTAGACCTCAGCTTTCAATAGCCATGACCTTCAGGTCATAAAATTACCGATCAGGAGTTTTTAAAAAAAATTATGATACAGAAGTGGAATACTATTGATTTCTTTTATTTTTAAACATAGAGCAAATGGAAAGATGAACTGGCTTGCTTAGTTTTCATGAGGATCCAAGGAGTAAAGCGCCTTGATGGATACTAATAAGAGGTGCAAATATAAAATGTAATCCTTGTGTCAAATATTGCACACAGAAGCAAGATTTGCACAGGAATCTACCACTTAACCCAAACTGCCATACCCTAGCCTTGAAGAATGAACACACTCGCTTCGAATTCAACTCAATTTCAGTGAAGCTGATTTCATATAAACGGGTTTAGGTGTACGGCAGGGACAGCCCAGAAGCTTGCTATAGGCCATGACCTCTCCCTAGGCCACACCCCTTCTCCCTAAGCCACACCCCCACTAGCCCTGTTTTGCATCCTCCTTGAGTGTCAGGACTCTGCTCTTGAATAAATCTATGTTGGCCATCATTATCTCCACCTTGGACCTGGCTCCTTAATATTAGCACCGGAATTGTCTCAAAGAACATGATTCTGGGGCCATGGAACTGAGGGGAAATAATGGAGAATAACAAATCATACAACCCGCAGTGCTGCTCATGGTGGCTTTATGATCCGTTCATGCTTCAGTGTTCCTTGGGGGATCAGGAGGCAAGCCATCCAGTAAAGCTAAAAGTTAGAAGACTCAGGAGAGACAGTAAGAAGTCCTTCTTCACATAGCACATGGGATTTGCTACCACAAGTAGTATTCATGGCCACCAACTTGGATGGCTTTAAAAGAGGGCTAGACAAATTCATGAGAGATAAGGCTTTCAATGACTGATAACCACAGTGGCTGTGTTCTACCTCCACTGTCAGAGGCAATTGGCCTCTGAACACCAGCCACTGGGAAGTGCGGGTTTGTGTGTTGGGGGGGGGCAGCGGTGCTGTTCTGCTAATGGCCTACTTGTGGGCTTCCCAGAAGCATCCAGTTGAGCACTGTCATGGGCGGACTTTGGTCTTTCAAATTTCAGAGGCGCCCTGTGCGAGGTCAAAATGTTGCGCCTCCCCCACTTCCTTTCTGCTCAGTTCACAACACCATAGTTGTGACGCCCTGCAGCACTCCCTAGGCCTGAGGCCACTGCAACTAAACTGGTTGTACTGTCCTAAATCATCCTCTGTCACTGTGAGAACAGGATGCTGGACTGATGGGTCTTTGCTGTGATCCAGCCTCAGGGCTCTTCTTAACTGAATAGATTATGCCTGGACCAGTCAGCGTCTCTTACCTAAGATCTAGAAAAGGCTGTGTCCTTGTCTCTAAAGGGGTTTACAGTTCTGCAGCAGTGTGGACAGAGATTTCATTGTCCTTGTCAAAGGCCCATTTTTTGTCATCAGCTGCACTGAAGAGACAACAGACAGTCTGACTGCTGTTTTACCGGAAAACCAAGTACCCTCTCTTACTGCGGCCCCTATCTCTCATCCATTGTCTTTGAATCTCCCTGCCTTTCTGAGGCACCCTGCCCCATTCAATTTACAAGTCGCTATGCTTTTATTCCTCTGGTTACATTCACTTCTTCGGCCTGCCTGCTTCCAACTGGAGAAATTAATCTAAATGACTCTGAAAAGGGACTTAAGCTGTTGGTTCATGAAATCATTTCCAGAGTAGGGACTGCTATGCCAGACCCCTTCTGGGATGTCTCTGTCCACCACGGTGAGAAGGACAATTCCAGTCACTGCCAGTTCAGGAAGTGGGAGAAAAGTAAAGACAAGGCTGAAACAAATGTAAAAGAGGTAGCAACAGAGACAGTGGCCATGCGCTCTATTTTACAGATGACACTTTCTATTTGTAGCCCATTCTAAAAATTAGAAGAGCCTGGCTGCTGGATCAGTCCAAAAGCCCAGCTCTCCAGCATCATCTTCCCAGTGGCCAACCAGATGCCCCAATGGGAAGTCCTCAAGCAGAATCCACTAAGGATGGGGCAGGTTTTAGTCCAGAAACATCTGGAGGATACCATATTGGCTACCCCTACTGAACCTCATTTCACAAAGAGAGCTAGGAAGGGAGGCAAACACATCAGGACTGCTCTAGTAGGATCCGAACCCCACTGCAACATCAAGTGCCATGTTAGCCCAGAAGGGCCAAGCACCATGAGAACCTAAGAAGAGCCTGGTTGCCAGCATATGTCTTCCAACATCCTCTTCTCACAGTGGTCTGGAAAGCAGGGTATGGGTGCTTTGCCACTTGTGATTCCCAGCAACTGGTATTCAAAGACATAGGCTGTGTTCATATCATATATTTAAAGCACATTCTACTCCCATGCAAGGAACCCAAGGAAGTGTCATTTGTTAAGGGTGCTGGGAATTGTAGCTCTATGGTATGTACATAGCCATATTGCTTCTGATTCCCTTAAGAACTATATGAAGGAAGAGCAAGGCCCATTAGCAGTTAGCACCAGGACAACAGACTCAGCAGGCCCACACGTCTCTTGATCACAGTCCTCCCAGCTGTAGAGATATATAATTCTATAATTAGATACGGTATATATAATATATAATTCTAAATTTTCACCAATAAGTATGTAAACCAGCATATGCAAAAGTGAAGCACACCTGTGCCCCCCCTTTTTGTGTGTGTGTGGCCTCCTTAGGAACAGGAGTAGGAAAATCCTCTTAATGCTCAGCAAGCAAGCATGCTTGACTCAGAAGGAAACTTTTATGGGAATCAGAAAGTACAGTACCATATGACATGTTCCAGCCTATGATAAGGAAACCTGAGTGCTGAACAAGCAAGGGAGAGATTTCACAACAGTGCACAAAAAAAGAAGCTGCTACCTCAGTAGTAGAGCATATGCTTTGCATGCAGAAAGTCCCAGGTTCAGTCCCCAGCAACTCCAAGTGGGACTGAGAAAGATCTGTATATGAAATCCTGCAGAGCCACTGCCAATCAGAGTAGGAAATACTGCGCTAGATGGGCAAGTGACCTGATATGGTATAAGACAGCTTTCTATACTCCTAAAGAGAAAAAGAGAACATGACCTAACACAAACCACATGGAGGACAAAGCTATCAATGGCTACTAGCCATTGTGGCTATACTCTGCTTCCACAGAGGCTAAATGCTTCTGAAAACCAGTTGATGGAAACCACAGGGGGGAGAGTGCTATTGTACTCAGGTCCTAGCTGAGGGCTTCCCATAGGCATCTGGTTAACCACTAGAACAGAATGTTGAACTAGATGGGCCATTGGCCTGATCCAGCAGGCACTTCTTATGTTCTTACAAAAAAGGAAGGAAAGCCTCAAAATGATGCTGAAAAGTATATGAAATATTAGTCTGTTCTAGATGGGTTCCCAGTATTCCCCCATCCCCAAAAGACCAGTTTTGGCCTCTGGGTGTACTTACTGTCCCAGCCTGGTCATGATGCTGCAGAGATATAGTACCACACTCTTTTAAACTTATTATATGTATAATATACATATTTTTGCATGTAATTTTTAGTACGATTTTGCATATTAGTCACACATTTTTTAAAAAATACAAGAGATCGCCTGTGAGCAAAGCTTGAGTGGGTCAAAACAGCTAAATTCTGCATTTAAATCCGTTTGAAACAGATTCCCTCTCTGTCCTTGCAACCAACTGCATTATCTGTATCTGCTGTTCAATAACCTCCAGATAACCTTAACGCTCTTTACCTTTGTGGACAGGAGATCATCCATCCTAAATGTCGTGGCTTTTTGTTTCCAGGAGCTGCAGTGAGTTAAACATCTATTTAAAAAATGTGTTACCTGTGTCAGAATATGGCTGCCATGTTGAGCCCTGAGTGTTTGACACCTGGCGTGTTTGGGGGAGGAGGCAGATGTTTTCTGATAGCGTTTCTGTTGCCGCTGCATCGAGAGCTACGCCAGCCGTGACCTCTGTGCACTCACCCCTGACTTCTTTATCAAGTCCAAGACACACACAATGTCTCGCCTCCATAGCTGTTCATATTCATCAGGGGCTGGTAGTTCTGACAAGTCAATGCTATTGTGGGGGAAGATTTAAAAGAGAGAAGAGGAGGGGGGATCACTTTCATGCCATTGTTGTCACATTTAAAGCGGGGGGGGGGGAGCAGGCACAATTTTCTTCCTGCATCAGAGATGCTGTTTCCCTGATGAGGAGGGCAAAGTCTCTCTGGCCATACAGCTGATCTGGGGAGCCAAGCATGGCGTGCGCTGAAGCAAGAATGGGTTTTCTGGAAAAGCTGGTTATGACGACGTGTCGAGAGCCAGACGGCCTTTTCATAACTGGCTTTCAACAGAAATTCATTTATTCAAATGAAAACCACACCAAGGCAGCAAGCAGCTGGCAAGTGTGTGCGCTCATTTCAATTCTAGGTGTTTGGCTGGTGCGGGAATAGGACTGAAAGAATGGCTGGGTACAAACCATACATTTAGAGCACATTGTTTTTGCCCAAAGAATCCTGAGAACAGTAATTTGCTAAGGGTGCTGGGAATTATAGCTCTGTGTGGGGGTAAGCTGTAGTTCCCAGAATTCTTTGGAAAGAAATAATGTGCTTTAAACATATGGTACGTATGAAGCCACCATTTCTACTTATGACTGAAAATATTTGGAGGCCTGAGGCAGAAAATCCAAATAGCACACCACACTCCAATGGTGGTTTGAAAATATATTAATAAACTGATAATTTGCTACCCCCTCCTGGTGCTGCCACCTCAAGTGGACTGCATCATCACACCCAAGTGGGGCAAACCCTAAGCATTTCTGGGCTAACTGTAAAACAATGCTTATATTTTGGTTACATTTTTATAAACTGGAAAGCGCCATAAATTGGTAATAATCTCTTCTGCAAGCAAAAGGTCCCAGGTTCAATCCTCAACATCTCCAGAAAGGGCTGGGAGAGTCCCCTGTCTGAAACCCTGGCAGCACTGCTGCCAGTCAGTGTAGACAATACTGAGCTAGATGAAACAATGGGCTAACTCAGTATAAGTTTGCTTTTAAAGGGTACATTTTGATTTTTACACCTCACCCTTCTCCTTCTCACAAAAGCCACCATCTGTTTAGGCCTGGCATAGGCAAACTTTGCCCTCCAGATGTTTTTGGAACTACAACTCCCATGATCCCTAGCTAACAGGACCAGTGGTCAGGGATGATGGGAATTGTAGTCCCAAAACATCTGAAGGGGCGAGTTTGCCTTTGACTGGTTTAGGCCCTCCGGTGAATGAATGTGAAGGAAAAGGGTTGTCACCAATATTAGTTCTACTCAGAGTAGACACAGTAGCATTAACTGACATGGCTAAGATAGGTTCGTTCACTTCAGTAGGTCTACTCTAAGTAAAAAGCATGCCACTTAGCAAAGATTCCAACTGAGAAAATCTTTTGAGTTTGGAACTTCGTTTACATCTGTCCTCTCACCACCCTTCAACTGGATATTATATTTGAAACACTAATCCAGTCAAAAACATGCATTGCCAGAGAGAAGAAATGTCTTGGATAAGCTTGAGGTTCAACTATTTAAGCACATAAACCCACACAAAACTCTACTCTGAGTAAAACTTAGTTGGATTTAGCCCAAAGGGTGTTCAAAACATGACAAATATTTGGCTCCGCAACCTTTCAGCTTCAAAACTAGTTTTGTTAAATCACACTACAGTATTTATTTCCATTTATAGACCACCCTTCACCCATCAACAGTCCTAGGGCTGATTACAACAACAAACACATACCCAACAAATTAAAATTCAAAATCACAACAACCTAAATAAGAAGCCAAACCTAGTTTTATTATTGTTTATAACCCATCGCCATTGCAATAGAGACACAAAATACTTATGTGTAAAACACAGACAAGGGTCATCAATCCAGTAACACAGGTATAAACCCTGAAAATAAGCAGGATTTAAAACATTCGTTTAGTTAAAAACTTCCTTCAATATTTAGCGCTGATCTGACTCAGAAAGAGTTTGTACAGTCACTGAATAACCTTATCTTCTAGTCAATGGCAATGAAGTTTACACCCACCCACCCACTCACACACCCTCTTGATCAAAGCAAAATTCAGTTCCCCGTAACAATCCCCCAACCACGTGGAAGTCTCTCTCCCTTTGCCAGTCTGCTTCCTGATACTGGCCCTTTAAGGAGCTGGCGCGAGGAACACGAGGCAACGTCGCGAAATATTTGCCAGCTGGCGCGCCTGCGGGCTGAGAGCTGATCCGTTTTCCCGCCCAAACTGTGGTGGCTGTTTTTGTGGAACGGGACAGGATTGCAGAGAGAGGCAGTGCAGGAGAGCACCTCCTATATATATATATATATATATACACACACTTTGCATGAGGAAAGAGTGTTGTTTATTCAAAACATACATATAAGCCCCATTGTCTGCCAAAAAGAAAGGAAAAAAGAACAAAGCCTAGAGTGTATTATTATTTTTTTCATTTATGAATTGTTTCCTATAAAACATCCTGCAGCGATTTAACAATAAAACTGTACAAACTGAAACACATGAAAGGCTAATAAAAATAGCACATGCCCTGTCCCCTAATGTAAACTTCTGAGAGAAACATACACTTTTTTATCTCTCTCTGAAGAGGTCAGGGGTATGTACGTAGTTTCCCCCTTTGTTTTTTTCAGACCTCTTGTGATTATTGTTACCTCAGAATCACAAATACCCTTGGTTGTTAACAGAATATTAAGACAAATACACATACACAGCTGTAGCCAGTGCTAGTGCTACTCAAGAGTAGACCCATCAGAATTGCTAAGGACCTCTTGGACTGAGGTTTTGTTGGGGGATTTTGTTGCTGTTATTGATATTTTTTGTATATTTATTTTTGGATCTTTTGTTTTATATGAACATTGTTCAGTTTGGTTGTGTTCTTTTTGATGCGTTTTATTTATTGTTTAGTTTTATTGTATTTGTAATTATGTAAATAGTTTCATGTTGTCAGCTGCCTTGAGTATGGCTTTAACAATGGAAAGGTGGCATACAAATAGTATCTTAACACCTTTGTGTAAATTCTGAGGCAGCAAATAAATGATGTAAATAAATAAATTCACAAATACACTTGGGGTATACAAATTTAGCCCCCACCTTTTTCATTTAATCTTAAATATATCCAAAGTCAAGCTCTGAATGGTGCTGTGACTCTTGACTGCCTCTCCTCACAGACACTTGAAATGGCATCTGTGATTAGTACCTCATAATTCTATTTCTGTGAAGGATTTACCTCAGGAGTCTCCATTTTGTCAGTCTTGGTACACAGAGATCAAGGTTCATTACTTAAACCTACCTGTGTTGGATAGGTAGCTGTTGTTCTCATATACCCCTTTTCATATACTTTTCTTTTCTCAGCAAAAATGACAATTTTAATCCCTCATCATAAACTCAAACAATATTTTCTTCCTCAGACACAGTGACTTCTTGCTTGCTCTGCCCTAGTTTTGGCCCTCGTTTTGGCCCACTCCACATTTAATAATCTGGAATAATCCAGAGAATCTCTCTTCCCACTCAGATTTTTTTAGTTCAAGGTACAAACAATTATAATGTAGTAGTAGAAATAATAATAATAATAGTAATATCCTAGTTTCCCCTGATTAGCATGCCTGCTTCATCTAGCAATCACTGATGAGGTGAACAGCCCTTCAGCAAATCTCATTGTGTGAATATAATACAGGGTGAAAACAGTGTTAAGAAATGCCCAATCCACATTTTGGCTGAAAAATCCTATACCCACTCGTTGGGAAGTAAACCTCATTGAGTTAAATTACTTTCAAGTAGACTGTAGGATTGTACTGTAAACTGTCTTTACAATGTAGCATCCCCATTTCCATCTTTTCTTAACTATACTGTACTCTGTATTTGGGAAGGGGGGGGGTTCTATTCCTTCTAGGATTCCCATATGTCCTCTTTTTCCAGGACACATCCTCTTTTTCATGGGTATGTAAAATGAAAGTCGTTACTGTATAGCAATCCATAATTAAAAGTAGAAGTCAACAAATGTGTCCTCTTTTTTGCTCTTCAGAATATAGCACCTTACTTCTTCCTCCATTAAACTGGCCCTCACAAAATTGGCCAGCAAAGTCATGACTTCTTTAGTCCATCCCTTTTACATCCCCCATTTGTCTTAATGCTTACTGAAAAAGGATCTATGAATAGATTTCTGTTTTCAGTTAAAAGCGGTTGCAACATACTCTACTGGCAGTTATTCCGCTCAATTAAATAGGGCGTATTGGGGTGCAGTTTTATGTCTAACCATATGTGTAACCATTCTTAATGCCCTCACAATTCCCAGAGTTCCTTGCAGGGCACAATGGCCATTTACTGATTTAGGTTGGCAAGATAAGACAATATCCGTACTTTCAATTGAAACTGGTTTAATTGTCACACTTTCATGCACAGTATCCTGGTAATTGCAGTTTTCTGAAGGCTAGTGAACTTCTAACAGAGAATCAGCTTTTGCAGTTGAGTAATACAGCATGCTGAGGGAAAATACTGAACTCCCCATTAAGATATACTCTTGAGTTCTTGTTGATTTTGGTGTCACAGTTTGGCTTATTATCTTGGAAGTGCTGGCAACAAGCAGCTTCATACCTGCGACTTTTAAATCTCATTATATCCATCTTAAGATGCAGAAGATGCTTAACCCTCCTTTAGTGATTCCACACTATTTAATATTACAATTCAGATGTATCCACCAGTAACACTTTACATATTTTAAAAACTTTGTCTTTTAAATGCCTCTTTGAGGTAATCTGATTCAGTCATTAAAAAAAAAGCCCACTAATCCATTTTCAATGGGCAATGAATTATTTAACACTGTATTTGAGGGAAGAATATACTATTGATAGTTGCCTAGGAGGCATAATTGGGCTGCATCTTGCTGCCTAAGACAGCTGGAAGTTTCTGTTTCTTTCCAAGTTAGAATTTTTAAATATGGAAATAGGGCACCTTAACTTTCGAAGGGTCTATAGGAAAAAATAACTAGAAGTTAAAAGGGAAGACTTTCAGAATATATTAGCTGGATACACTTTATCCATGTTTAAAAAATAATAATAATCAAAAGTTGTGAAATAACCACAGTTCTGTTTGTTATGTATTATCCCCAGACAGCATTCATTTATTTTCACTTATCTAAGATATGCCAGAGATGGCCTGATGGATGAAAAGTACGTAAAAAAGAAAGCCCAACAAAACACAACACTGATATCTGTCAGTGAATATGAGTACAGTCCAAGGAAAACAGCTTTGAGAACTGACATTACAAAGGGCTTTTAGGCACACTGTCAGTGTACTGATTGTGACTCCTTTTTGATGCCAGTATGTGTGAGGCTTAGAAGTTTTGAACATCCCACAAAAAGTCATTTTTACTTTACAATCTGGGTTTTAAAATGAATGTTTTACAATATACCAGAAAGTCACTAAGGAACCACAACACTTTTTGGCTTCTTGGTGCTGCAGACTTATGGCAGACAATTTTTAGAATTCAGCTTTTGTTAACTCCTAAAAACCCTTTTACTGTTTTTATTGGTTTCTGCTGTTCATTTTTTGGGGGGGAAAAATTATTGCTGCTGCCATCAGTAGTTCCTTAATCCTTTTTATCTTTTTAGAAATACTGAATGCCAGGAGAATAAACATAAAGGAATAGGCTGAGTGGGTGGTGCTAGTGATAGGGTAGGGGCAGACAAATGCCTTCCCCCAAAATTCCCTGTACAGTGTCTGCGCACTGTCTGAATTAGAAATATAGAATGTCAACAGAATGTGAACTGTTTCAAAATGTCTAAGTTTGTAATAAATTCAAAGAGCTGCTGTAGGCTAGTCCAGAGGCTTGGGCTAGAGTGCATTTGGGGAGGGGGGCTTTTGAGTCTTTCTCTTTGAGAAACATAAATTCTTCAGGCACATGGAACCAATTGCAAAGTTCTTTGGATACTGGGCACAGCTTCTTGCTGTGGTAATTTTAACTTTTCTTGAGATGGAATTTGATTTTTAAAAAAATAAAAAGAAAGAAGCAGAAGCAGATAGTTTCTTTAATATATATATATAATTTATAACATTTTTGCCCCATCCTACCTCCTGGGAGTTCAGAACTGTAGACAGTAGGTGCCTTTATCTTGATTTCATTTAACATTTAAAAGTTGACTAGGTTGGTAAGAGACTGTGGTTTACTTATTTAGCTTCATGGTATAACTGAAGATTTGACCCCAGACTTTTCTAATCTCAAGTCCAATAGTCCATGCACAAGAGGAGCTGGATTGTTTTACACAAAATTGAACAATAGGGCAAGATGAGAGCTGATGGATAGAAAAATGACGTAGGGGCCAAAGCTGATGCAATGCACTTCCCTCATGGGAGAATATCCACCAAGAATATCCACAGATAAAAAGCATCAAAGTAGTCATGTGAAATCCGTATAGGTCATTACTGTTCTGTATTTACTACTTTTGCACATCTTGAAATCTGTTCAGAAACTGCCGCACACATATCATGTTTATCATGAGCCAATTTCAAGCTTGCAAAAGTGCTCACATGATCTGAAAGTGTTACATTTTAAAAAGTGAAATTAAATTTTTAAATGTAATTTTTTAAATCATCTGATCTAATAAAAGAACATAAGTGTTTCTTGACAAGTTGAAACAGTTTTGTTATCTATGTTTGGCCATTACAGCAAAAAAGTCATCCAGAAAGCAGGTGCTGTATATCAAATTAGCTTTTTAAAGAAAATGGTTTCTCTGCAGAATGCTCTAAGTGATTGGTTTTGATTTTGCTCTCTTTAAAAGCTCTAACATACGTTTCTGTAGTTTCAGATAAAAAGAATGGCCTACTCGGTTCCAACACAAAATTTTGTAGCCATTTCAGATGTGCATCCAAATCTTGCTCGTCCTGTAGGTCTTGGTGACATAAGTCTTTTTTGTTCTCCAGTGAAACTGTATATCACTATATTATATTACTGCAAAATTTTGTAATTGGTTTGTCTTTATATACTCACAGCATTGGCATAATTATTAGGCACAAAGTATGTTAGCTTCTCTTTGTGTACCCTCAGAAAGTGAAAACTGATACTTCTGTTGACCACAGAGTGTGGATGCCACAACTATTGATGTTGACTGGACAGTTCATTGACTGAAGTATCAGAGACTTCTTTGTATTTTCTTTAAATAGATGTTGTGTTGATAATTTCTACAGAGTCTGCATTATAGTATCACAATACATTGGAAATGTATTCTTTTGGACTATGGACACCAGATTGGAAGCTGTGAGCGTTACTCACATGGGTAGTCCCATTCATGCACAGCTTCCCTTGACTTCCCTTGAGCATTTGAAAAAAATGATAATTGAGGCAAAAATTTCCATCTCTGTCTGTTGTTTCTTAACTATTAAATGCATGTCAGTGTTCCAGAGAGAGCAAGGATTTGTAAGGATACTGGTGTATGTGCATATCTCCGTGTACTCTGTACTTAACAAGCACACATTGCACCTTTCAATCAGATCTGCTCAGAGTTGAGCCCCAAGGCATGCTCATAATCTGGATTCCATATTAAAAATGAAGGTTGAATAGCCAAACTGCCCGTTACATCCAAAGATCTTCAGCTTGGTTCTATACTGCAACCGTTAAAGCCAGTGGCATAGCGTGGGGGGTGCAGGGGGGCCGGCCGCACCGGGCGCAACATCTGGGGGGGGCGCGCTTGCACTCACAGCTCTCTGCCCCTACTAAAATCCACGGGTTAGGGGGCGCAAATTACTTGCCTTGCCCCGGGTGCTGACAACCCACGCTACGCCACTGGTTAAAGCAGCTAAAGCTATGCTGCTTTCTCCTATTTGTGATTAGTAAGGTGTAGTATCTCTTGTTCTGTATGTGTGCGCTCACATGCTGATAGCTGTTACATTACAAGAGTTGCCAAGGGCCTTGCATTCCACATCAGTTCAAGTCCACACCCTCCTGCAAAGCCCCTTGGCAAGGCACAGCTGCATCATGCAGGAGTTGCTGAGCACTGGTACATTTGTACCAACATCTCTAGCTGCCCAATTCACATGGCAGAATCAATTCACAGGACCAGTTCAAAGGGATAAGGCAGGAATGGGGAACCTGTAGCCCTTCAGAAGTTGGTGGACTCCAGTTGCCATCAGCCCCAGACAGTGCAGCTAATGGGCAGTGATGTTAGGAGCCATAGTATAACAATATTTGGAGTGCCATATGTTTCCCATTCCTGGGATAAGGTGCTGTCTTCACCTCGTACAGTAATGATGCTGAGACAATGGCACTGGATCCCATACTTCAGTGTTTGCATTGTGGAGGTTTAGCATGGGCTGTTGAAACACAAATGGTAAGAACCAGGACTTAAAAAAACTTTAAAAAATGTTGCATACATAATATGGGTGGCAACTACGTACAACACATTGAAAATGTATATATAGCTTTATTGTTTTATATTTATACTCTTCTCTCATTCATTTTTGATATAATAAAAAGTAGTATTATTTTGCAGATGGCTGTACTTGTGCGAGTCTTAAACCTCAGAATAAGACATTTAGTCTGCAGTCGTAAACATTCTAATCTGGAAAAAGTAAGCCTCACTAAACTAAATGAGGCTTACTTCTGAGTTGACATATTTAGGATTGTCATGTTAGTCTCATTACATTCAATGTGGATTACTCTCTCAAGGAAATGTGCATAGGATTGCAGCCTAAGGATTATTAAGTATTTTAGGGACCAACAAGAGAGAGTTTTGGGCTTGAAACTCAGATGGCTTACTTAAAGTCCTGACAGGGGCAAGAGAAATATATTTGTATCTCCCAGGACTTTACTGTTCATCCTCACACAAACGGCACACATACTACCGTATCGTGAACTCTTTGTTGATTTTAACATAAAATAAGAGTAGTAATTTCCTCCTATCAAAAGTTAAAGAATGTATTACAAGGCCATAGATTTCTTCAAGGGATGTTTCTTTGGCACTGAATTGAAAGCACATGAAAGATTCTCTTGTGGGGTGGATGTATTTGGCCAAAAGATTTTATTTAGTGTATAGCATTGAGAGTATCAATGTATGGACCAAGCAAGAATTTAATTGTAGTTTTACTTGATAAACAAATAATGCTTTTCAATCTGGAAAAGAAATATGGTTTATTTAATGTCAGACATTAAGTAATTCATATTGAAGGAAGCTAGTAGTAGACTTTATAGTGTGTGACTTTATAGTGTGTGACTTTATACATGTGAATCAGGAAGTTTTAAACATTTGACGTTTTATTATGTTTTTATATTCTGCTAAAGAAACCCAGCCAGATGGGTGGGGTATAAATAATAAAATTATGATCAGTATTATTATTATTTATAAAAGAACTAGCTCAAATAAAATAAATTCTACAACATTATTTCAAATAATATTATATATAACTGAAGCACTATGTCACTGTTTTAAGTTATGTGAATGCCAAAGGTCAAAATGAAGTAAGATGAAGATATAGAGCAAAAGTAACGAGTTTGGAAAGTGTCAGCAGAAAATCCTGACAAATGGACACAGAAGTTTATTTTCTCCTTTTGATTGGTTAAATGGTATAACTAAAATATCTCAGAATTAAGGATATCTAAAAGAGGTTTAGGAATATTTCTCAAGCTTTTAATTTGAAATTATGGAATTTCACTTTGTTAAAAGAGTCAAATAATGTTGTAAATATAAATTTTAAGAAGACTTTGAAATAAATACTATTGTACGCAGAGTCTTAGAACATATTTGGGATTCCAAGAACCAGCTCTCTATTATCAGCAGAACTATACACAAGATATTCTGCGATTTAATTAAATTACTGTGAGTTAGGAAATGAAACATTTTGAATGCGAATTAATAGAATGCACTTTAAGAAAGCTTTCAAAGACCTGAGGGAATTATATTTCATTGCAAACATACCCTGAGTGAACTTATCCAGATAAATGCTGGAATAGTTTTCTTGCCCCATCTAGTGACTGAAAGGCACATTGAAATCTGCAAGTTTTCAACAGGTGTCTTGTTCATTCTGTTTTCCTGAAACCCAATTCAAGAATGTAATGTGGTGTGCTGGTTTGGGGGGGGCAGCGAGTAAAGCTAAGAGACCTAATGTTTGGAGTCCTTTTAGGACAGGACTTCTTATCTTTGGGGGTGTTTTAAACTAAGCCAGCCAATTCATTAAACATTACAGTGTTATTGTTTCAACACTACTGATACAAATCTGCAAAAGAATCTTTGTTTGGTGGTAGTTGTTGCCTTTAAGCATAGGTATATCCTCTAAAAATCTAAATAAATGCATATTTTAAGGGCTTAATGCACAACATACCCAAATTCATTTATTGCTTCCCCATGCACCTACGTTTTAAAAAAGCATAGCAGTTTCTGAGAAAGGGAAAATTCATGTAGAGAAGTGGTAGAAAGGGAAAGTTTATGGAACCCCTACCTTCCTTCTGTGTCACTGTTCACAACTGCCATCTTGGGGAGCTGATTTAGCTTAGCAAAAATGACTGTTGTTTAACTTAGCAAAAATGACTGTATGTAACATGCAGCTAGCTACCCTGCTGAGAGTTCATGATGGTATAATAAAAAATAGGAGTTTCTTTAATAGTGAAGAAAAATAGAAATGCTCCTTTTATGCCATTGTGCAGACATGGGAAATCACATGGCCTCCATCTGTCATGGATACTTTAGTTGAGATTCCTGCATTGCAGGGGGTTGTACTAGATGACCCTTGGGGCCCGTTCCAACTCTATAATTCTATAATTTAGATGACTCAGGAACTTGTACCCTAATTGGTTTGACTTTGACATGCCCTTAGCCTATTCCGCAGTGTGCATAAGCTGCTCACTGCCAGTGCAAGTGACAAAAAAGTGTATGTTTTCAGGTAAACATTTTCCTTACAGAGACAGACAGATGTGGGGTCTTTATATTATTTCCCAGTCTTCATCTTTTAATATATTGAGAAAACCACTTAGGTTGTTAATTTATTGATGCTTCTGTAGAATAAGTGCATTAAAATAAAAACAGTTAAATATGCTTTTTATTACTGAAGGACAAGAGAGTCTGTGAAATCAAATACATCCTGTACATCTGTATTTGATGTATATATTCTGTAATCTCTTTTTCCCCCCAGAGTATAATTGGTATGGTGATTGGGAAAACAGATGCCAAAGGCTTTCCAGACAGAAAAAGTAAAGTTCTTTTAAGCCACAAATTCTCTTTTTTTCTGGCTCTATCTTCAATCGGTGGTTTTTCTAACCAAAAAGCATGTGTATCAACTGGTGGGGATATTTTATGCAAAAACTATATTGAAATTAAAGTGTAGATTAACAAAGCTCTAAGAGAGAGTAACAACATGTTAACTGAAACAAGCATCTCATCAACTTTATCCCTTGCTGAAACCTGGCTTAACATTTTTAAGGGCACCTGCATCTGCTAGGGTTAGTTAACATAGCACTGAATTTCCCACTATTTTATAAGCATCTGACGATATCTGATGATAGTGGAATATTTCATTCCATGCAAAGTTTTTGCCAAAACAATGAGGCACTTGCACTGCTGGTCTCTGCATAAACTGCAATTGAACCAGCCATGGCACCATTTTTCTCCCATTCATGAAAATATAATATTTTAATTAAAAAAGGAGTGACCTCTAGTGGTAGTTAATGAGATTGTTGTCCTTTGCTTTATACTACTTGTCGGGAACTTTTGGCCCTACAGATGTTGCTGAACTACAACTCATTCCCAGCCACTGACCATTTGCTGGGGTAGATGAGAGTTGTATTTCAGCAACAGCTGTATGGCCAAAAGCTCCCCTCACCTGCTTTATACCTGTTTCTCATTAAGTGATCCTTTGTCCAAATCCAGCTTGTCAAGCTTTTACAGCCACTCCTCTTCCTCTCTTATCATCATTTCTTTGCTCCTGCTGCTGCTGCTGGCACCCCAGCACTGACCTCTATATTTCTTTATCATATGCCATATGCACATCATAAGGGAAAATGGCGGCTGATACTATGGTGATGACAGCCTCCACAACCAATAGGTGTCTGAGACAGATGACAGTTCTGAAGTCAATTTGATTGAGGTGGGCTGTTTTCTGCCATGACTTAACACTGGGCAGAATGTAACAATAAGTACACATAATATTTTCATGTGTCTTACGCGGAATTAAAACTTTTAACTGGATTCTAAAACTGTCTCTGTTTCTTGTCACTGCAGATATTGGATCAGAAAGGTACACTTTTAGCTTCACTGTCCGCGATTCGCCATCTTATTTCATAAATGTACATTCTTGGGGAAGAGAGGACTATATTAAATCACTTTCAGAAAGCTTTAGAGTTGGTGACTGTGGTGAGCTGGAGTTTATTCCGAACATATTTCAATTTCAGTATGTTTCCCTTCTCTTTAAATCAGTATAATGTGTTGTGGTCCTAGTGTGTTATCCTTCAAAGAGTTGTGGACTATTTAATTGGAACCAAATTTTTTAGTTAGATTGAGTGAGAGGGGGAAAAGTAAACTAAAAAGAACCAACAAGATTCAATCTAATAAAGCTGTCATCAAGAGACATGGACTGAAAAAGTAATCTCCCAGATTCCCTCTCAGATGCTAAGTTTTTACTGTTTCAGTCTTCTAAAAATGGTGCATAAATTTAATAATAATAATAATCCAGCCAGATTTAAGCAGTTAAGGCTGAAATTGTATGCAGGTACCCAGGAGTAAAGCTGACTGAAAACTATTAGAACTGGATTGCCAGTGTCTTGCTGAATGAACTTGTAAGCAGTTATTTAAATCCATACTTATGTGGCTTTCCACTGTTTTCCCTTTTATAGTCATAATTGAAAATCCTTTAGTTCAGACAAAAGAGGCTGAAAAGGAAGAAAAATTCAACGCTACTACTCCTAGGTAACTGTAAAGTCAGAATCTTATACCCTAAATAAGACTAAAACATGTATACAAGTGGCATATTCAGATTCTTGATACCAGATGATACAGATGTTACTCTTGAAAAATTTATATAGCTGTCTGGCAAGGGATTAGTTAGTGTCCTCCACTAATGCTACAAAATGACCTGACAGCCAAGCAACACCAAACAGTTACTGATTAGACATTGTGTCCGGATTTTCACTTTTTGAAATATGGCAATTCTAACATCTCTTAACTCTGAAACTATCGTAATACCCTGTACTGCAGCATAGAAATGAATCTTAAACTCAGGGCTCATCCACACTTACCTTTTGCCCTGTGCTTTCTAGGAACAGGTCCACAATTTAAAGTGCTGTATTTGAGGGCCCCCCCCCTTTTTTGCCCTGGCACTTTCCCTGAGAAAACCTGCTCTTTAATGCTTAATCAAAACAAATGTCAGTTTGTGTCTCCATAGATTGCCATTTGCTCTGATTCAGCAGTAAAGAGCAGGGTTTCACAGGGAAAGTGCAGGGCAAAAAAAGCAGGCACAGAGCTTTAAAGCATGGATGCAGCACAAAAGGAAGTCTGGAAGAGCCCTCAGTCGACGTATATTAGGTATTATTTGGCTCCATTCAATGTAAGTATATTGCGTAGAAAACTGCAAAACCCCTGCATTTTGCAGAGCCTCAGAAACTGAGTAATTGATACATCAAACTGGGGTTCATAGTTAATACCCCAAAATCCAAAATTGTCTGAATCACTTCGAACTGGTGCCAAAGTTTTGCAGTGGTTTTGCAGCAGTTGTACTCACACCAACTCTGTGAGACGGAGAGATAGTGAGTGGCCCAAGATTGGCTGATGGCTATTTGTATGGGGACTCTATCAATTACATCACACTGGCCCTGTATTTGCTGAATTACAGCTTTTTTCAAGTCTTGTTTTGAGCAACCTTAGGTGTTAACGGCTCTTAAAGTACCTTCAGTTACTCACAACAGATAGCTGAATTGCAATGTCAAAAGTATTTCTTATTGCAACACTAAAATATGCAGAACTATCTGCTTCCAGAGCTTAGAGTAGGTTAATCATCCATTTCTCCCCCCACCCCATGAAGCGGTGTCAGTGTCAACTCTGCCTGCCAATGACTTGACTTCTGTTTGTACAAAGAAGCCACTATTCTCTGGTATCAATTGTAAAGTGCTTTTCACAACTTCAGTATAACATCAGTATTACAATAACCCATAACAATTCAGAGTTCGTCATATAGGAAAAAGCCTTTAGTAGTGATGAGTAAAGTATTGTTTGTGTTGTGCATGTCAGCTGCTACAAACTGCTCCTCAGTGAGAATCATTCCGTGGTTAAAATCTGTCCCCACTATGAAGTTGACACCAAACTACTGTCCCTGTTGAATCTACCTGTGAAGAACCCTCAAGATTTTTACTCTCTGGCGGACATTGCAGCCAATGGACAGAGCCTGGAAGGAAGAATCATTAATATTCTTGCAGCTGTCAAGTCGGTAAGTCAGAAAAACTGTAACATATTGGAGAGCTTCTACTGTAGCCCGGTGGTCAAATTAATTTATGTATAGTTAAGGATTTATTGGACCATCTCTGATTGGAGTTGTCTCCTTTTGTCTTGGTCAGCAGCCAGTTGGCTTGATTTAATGCCAAGGAAGGTTTGCAAGTAATATTAATGAAAAATTTCATAAACAGCACATTTCACAAAGCCTTCATGTACCTAGGCTGGCACCCTGAAACAGCACAATAAAAGGAAGTTTATTTAAAGTCTTTTGACATTCACACACAGATTAGTTTTTAACTATAAGATTAAGCATGAATGCTAAATTGGTTTATTGATTTAGCACATGTCTCACTGACCCTTCATCTTTGTCCTCTTAAGAACGTAGGAAGAGCCCTGCTGAATCAGCGCACAGGCCAATCTAGCCCAGCATCCTGTTCTCATAGTAGCCAACCAAATACTTAACGCATGGGTAGGCAAACTAAGGCTCAGGGGCCGCATCTAGCCCAATTGCCTTCTAAATCCAGCCTGTGGACAGTCCGGGAATCAGCGTGTTTTTACATGAGTAGAATGTGTCCTTTTATTTAAAATGCATCTCTGTGTTATTTGTGGGCCATAGGAATTCGTTCCTTTTTTTTCTTTCCAAAATATAGTCTGGCACACCACAAGGTCTGAGGGACAATGGACCAGCCCCCTGCTGAAAGAGTTTGCTGACCTCTGACTTAAGGGAAGCCCACAAGCATGACATCGGCACAACAGCACTTTTGCCACTGATATTCAGGAATATGCTGCCTCCAACAGTGGCGGTTAAACATTGCTGTCATATAGCATTAAGAACATGAAACACTTTAAGTTTTCTTTCTTACATACTCCATTCAACGAGGGCACAATCCATTAAGAAGTTCTCTTGTACAGGCCCCATTGCAATTAGCAGGACCTATACATTACCATGCTAAATGCCATGGTGATTGCTGTGTGCAAATGCCATCCAAATCTATCAAACTGCGCTACTTACTTGGTATCACAAATCACACTTGTCTATACAAGTTTCTGGCATCTTCAGTTAAAAAAAAAGCTGAGTCTACAAGTGATGAGAAATACCTCTCTCTGCCCAATTGCTACTCAGAGTACACAGTACTGGACTATATGGTCCACAGGTCTCACCTGAGTTCGTATAAGGCAGCTTCATATGTTTACCAGAGTGGGGGGTATCTGCAAGTCTCCAGCCTTATGTTCGCCACCAGTTAGTGATTATCTCCTGCAAATATCATTTTTTCCAGCTGATTTTCAAGAATTCAGTTGGGCTTACTTTTTATTTTGGAGACCCAGTTGGAAGAGGGCAGGCAATAAGGAATGAATAACATTTATAGGAATCAGCAAGCAAAGGGAGGCTTAAGTACCCACTCTTACCCACTGTTATCTCCCCTATAAGTGCCTCAGAGGAAAACATGGGGTTTGGTGATCTATATCTCTCCTTACAGTGTGCAGTTCTTAGAAAGTTACTATGGTAAATTTCTACTCTATTGCTTTTCTACTCTATTGCAAGAGTACTCATGTAGTCTTTTGAATGTAAAAATGCAATAAACTGGTGCAGAGCTGCTTACTCTCCTTCAGCAATGCCCTACCATTTTGCAAGTCCTTCGTTAGATTCATTTTTCTGTGAAGAATGAGGTGCACATGCATACCGAGAGACTTTAATTGCAGCCAGCCCTGCTGAAGTGTTTGTAGTGCGGACCAGTGGTGGAAGCTACCCATTGTGACTGCTGGGGCAGAAGCCAGGGAGGCTAAGAGTAGGCAAAACCAGGGCCAGCGGCAGGCAAACCCAGCGCATTCTAGTTTTGTCCCCACCTTCCTCCCTACAAGAGCAATAATGATACTAAGGGGGAAGAAGCTGGCAGCCAATGTCCCCCCCCCCCCCCGGACCTGTTGTAAGTGCAATTACAAAAGCTGGGCACCACCTCTCTGCCGAGCGGTAGCAAAATTACAGGGGGTTTGAGGCATTCACCCTGGGGTTGTGCTCCTTTGGAGAATTGAAAACATGGTGGATACTGTTGTACCTTTAAGAAATATGGTTTATCAACATATTTACACATTCAGTCTGCATGAAGGGAGTCCAGATTTTACAGAAAGGTCATTTCAAGAGGGGGTTGTTCCCCATAGCAGTATAGCACTGGAGGCAAAAGTATTTCTCCTAGCCAACCCGCCCAAAATGCATCTCAGTCTTTTTTCTCCCTTCCTTTTCCCAGCACACCTTGCTAAAACACTATTTTCCTGTCACCCCACACCTAGCTACCCTGCCAATCTGTCTACTCAGGCCAAAGATTCCTCTTAGAATGGACCACCAACACCTTTGTCATGTTAATGTCTCTATCCCAGGTGAGGCACTGGCTTGGAAGAAAGCTTAGCCTGTACTTTTCCACTGGCCTCCAGTTCTTCCCTTCAATACTCCAAAAACCAAAATTCTACCATTTATTAATCTCTAGGCTTTGGGGGGTCCCCTCCAATCTATAACACCACAAAGGGAGTCAGGTGGCAGCTGGCTAAGGGCAAAGTGAGGCAGTCTAATAGACCAGACTTCACTGGTATAGATAGCAGAGACATAAATATGGGGATACATTATTGCTTTTGACAAGGTTGGTGTGTGCGCAAGATGAAGATTGCAAATCATTTGTTGTTCACTTTACAAAGGTTGGAGAACCAAAGTACTTCACTACTTCGGACAGACGAAAGGGTCACAGATGTGAAGTAAGGCTGTATGATGAAACTGAATCTTCCTTTGCAATGATATGGTAAGGTGTATTCTAAATCACAACCCAACTATACCCATTAATACAAAAATAAGAGGCTACACTGAACGTAAGTACATATTGCTATCATTAATTGAAGCTTCTTATTAATTGTGTGGTGTCTCTGATGATACAGCAGCATTCATTTAATGGCAGCAATATCCATTAACTTCTATAACATACAAGGCTGTCCAATAGAATGGTCTTGAATATATTACCCATTTCTATGAGTTATTGACAATTTCTCCCCTAAGGAGAGGCAGAGTGAAACAAAGCTGCAAATCAATTACAAAAGGTCATGTGGAGATGAGGAAATAAAAGAAGCCATTTAGTCAGTGAGACCACTGATGATCATACCTGTTCAGAGCAACATATTGTCAAGTAGCAACTATAGATTAACCTTTGTATAAATGCTTATCATCAAGACTTTTATACATTAAAAATGCTTCAAAAAATTTCTTAGAGAACGTGTAGCAAATACTGTATTAAGAATGTAAGAGGAGCCCTGGTTAAGATTTCTCTTTCAAGAGAAAACTAAATAAACACCACTGCTCTTTTAGAAAAACCAGATTACCTAGACAGAGAGGGAAGAATATGGATAGAAAAAGAGCTTTTAATTTTTCAGTCCTTCTTGTGTCTGGGCCAAGTGACATTTCCATGTTCTGAAGCCACAAGTGCTCTGCTGTTCCAATATGCAGATAAAGCTCAATGAACATAGAAGGTGCTCTCATCTTTATCAGCTAGTGAACATTCTGGGAACATACATTTTCATAGACGAGAATGGAAAGCTTCTGCATGTGTGGGGATTTGAATTTGAATTTTGAAACAAGCTTTATTATGGTTGTACACACTCAACATATAAATATAGGTTAACGTTTCAAAAACTGGAATGTAAATTGGTTAGGTGCAGACCAACTGCTGCTATGCATGAGACATCCTGCTGCGTGCAAGACTGACATCTGAATCCACAAGTATTATAATTTTGCTCACTTTCCCTTAGTCACTCAGCCACTTGGTCACAGCCATGATGCTTTTTGTATAGTTTTGACCTGTGCTCTTACGCTTATATAGTCTGGGTTCAGCATATGCCTCATAAAGAGGGATTCCCTGATCCAGGTGTCAACCTCTTATAAATAGGACCTCCACACTTGCTCTGCAGTTCCCTTCCTGAGTGCTTGTGACTGCTTGTTTTCAGAGGCAGAGTAAGATATATCTATTTAGCAATTTGCTCAGCACCTATTCTGCCTTAAACCAAAGGAAAAGCAGTGCCCAACCTGGTGATTACAGAATGAACAATGCAAGTAGGGGACTGCAACCTAAGATGGGGAAAAGGTGGTGGTAAGGAACACTGAGCTACTTTAAATGAATTCATATCTCCAGGGCCTGATGAGTTACTGAAATGTGCTCTACATGGGGCTACCTTTGAAGGTGATTCAGAAACTACAACCAATACAGAATGCAGCTAGGACCTGAACCAATGGATCCAAGTTACAAGAAAGAAGATCCTGATTAAATTCAGGAAGAACTTTCTGAAAGAGCTGTTTGACGGTGGAATAAACTTCCACAAGAGGTGGTGGACTCTCCTTCCTAGGAGGGTTTTAAGCAGAGGTTGGATGGTCACCTGCCACGTAGGTTTTAGTTGAGATTCCAGCATTGCAGGGCATTGGACTAGATGGTCCTTGGGGTACTTTCCAACTCTACAATTCTATGATTCTTTGACATTTGTTACTTTTTATATTGTTGTATCATTTTAATATTTGGAAGTTGCCCTGATACAAGAGTGTCAAAATATTCTATCAACACAAATAGAAAATATTAACATTTTAAACAAATAAACATTTGTATTAATTGAATGCTACTATTTTTCTAGCTGGGACAATGAATCTATCCAGCTTGCACAGAGCTGGATGCCACGAGAAACAGGTACTTCTCAGTTTTTTATATATAGTATTTTTGCTGAGGTTATCACTCGTGTAAAGCTTTGCCTGTAATAACAAAATAATAATAAATAATATTTTTCTTCCCAGTAATATTTGCATCAGATGTAAGAATAAATTTTGACAAATTTAGAAATTGCATGGTTGCAACTTTACTCTCAAAATCCATCATTACTACTAATCCCGGTAAGACACAATTCTAAAACCTTGTTAAATTGTCATAGAATGCCTTATATTATCCTAATGCTTTTATTGAAAATTTATCTATTTATTTAATATATTTATATTCCATCTTTCTCCCAAGTTGGTATTCAGGGCAGCTTAGAACATTAAAATATGATGGCTTAGGACTTTAAACACAGTTCTACTTGTTTAAAACCTACAGAATAATTCCCTGCCCATTTACAACATTGAGTTTCTTTATGGCAATAGTTTAATACCACCTGTTTTACTAAGTGCCCAGCTCTATATCTATCAGTACTTTCTTTTTTCTTCTTTGTACATTTCAAAAGTTCCATCTGAACTTCTATTTCCTCCTAAACCCTCACCTGTGTTCAGTCTATGATCCTTATCTATTCACAATGCTACAATCCATCTTGTTGAACAGACACAAAGCCTTGGCTTTCTTTAATTTTCCTTTATTCCCCATATTTAGTCCATTCTATGTCATTACCGTGGGACGCGGGTGGCGCTGTGGGTTAAACCACAGAACTTAGGACTTGCCGATCAGAAGCTTGGCGGTCCGAATCCCTGCGACGGGGTGAGCTCCCATTGCTTGGTCCCAGCTCTTGCCAACCTAGCAGTTCGAAAGCATGTCAAAGTGCAAGTAGATAAATAGGTACCGCTCCGGCGGGAAGGTAAACGGCGTTTCTGTGTGCTGCTCTGGTTCTCCAGAATTGGCTTTGTCATGCTGGCCACATGACCTGGAAGCTGTACGCCGGCTCCCTCGGCCAATAAAGCGAGATGAGCGCCGCAACCCCAGAGTCGGTCACGACTGGACCTAATGGTCAGGGGTCCCTTTACCTTTACCTTTATGTTATTACCATCCTCACACTACTCAGCCATCTGGAGATGTGCTCCTTCCTTCATTCACTCACTCTTGGAGCTACCTCCTAAAAAAATGAGATGCTACTTCCCCCTTTTCCTTCAAAACCCATCTTTTATAAAGCTTTTGGTAGAATTCCTAGTCCCGATGCCCTGCTGTAAACTAAGTACTTAATAGAAACATTTTCTGTTCCTGTTTACCCGTGCCTCCATTTCCTTCTTCTCCCAGTTGTCTCTCCCTTTGATGAATTATAGATTGCAAGTATTCCGAGTAGTACCCTGTCCTCTTGTCCTCTGTAAGGCACCATACACATTGATAATGCTCTATGTATCTATAAATAAATATTTGTATAGAAAATACGTGCCTTCATGACATATCTTTAGGTCCCAGGCAAAAACATTCCTCTTCTCCCAGGCCTTTGCCTAATTAAACAATCTATGGCCTTTTAAACTAGGACGGGGTATTGCTCCTTTGTTATTATGTATATTTGTGCTTTTATACTGTAAACTGCACTGTGATCCTCAAATGAAGGGCAGTATACTTAACTTGCTTACTTAATAAATAAATAAATAAATTTCAGTCCCACATGTCCTTATTAAAAAGGATATAATGTATTATGACTGGGAAAGACCTCTGCCTATAACAATGGAGGGCTACTTCCAGAAAGATTAGACAATTCTGGGATAGATGGTATCTCAATGTATGATCTTAAGGCACATGAGGCCACCACCTTGCTGAAGCTAAGCAGGTCTGGGTCTGACCTCGGAGTCCATGACAGAAGAAAGGTGGAATATATGTGTAAGAAAATACATAAATGGATCAGCCACCTGCTTTACTATAAGGTGGTCTTATAGGTTTCATCTCTATCAACAATCCTATATGTGTTAATTCAGAAGTAAATCCTGTTGACATCAATGGACCAAATGCCTTGTGTGTAAAGAATTACAGCAATGTCTTTTCTGTAGCAGACATCAACCAAATACATGGAGCTAACCATTTAGCTAAAAAAACTCCCACAAACTATTTTGGCATTATGCAAGTTTACCTTTATTAATACTGCTTTGAAAAATATTTTTTCAAGATACACCAGAAGCAATCAGTCTACACAACTTTATAAGAGAAAGTGCAGAAATGTTAGATTTGGATGATGAAATGGGAGATCATTTCAGAGATTCCATAAATGGTGAGTGTTTACCAAGTAGTCCTTTAATCTGATAGAAATTTTTTTAAAAATTGTCCAGTAGCACCTTAGAGACCAACTAAGTTTGTTCTTGGTATGAGCTTTTCTAAGGCTGGTGGACTTCCATTTCATGCAGCTCAACGTGGTGCCTTCCATGGTTCTAGATTCAGGTATCTGAATAATCTGATAGACTGCTATATATTGCTTAAGGCCTCAATTCTGGATTTACCCTTCTAAATGCAAACAGTTCTCAGAACACAGGCTAACTTTTTTGTTTACTGGGATTTTTTTAAGGACAGCATGTATTCAAAGTTATTGCCACATACTTCAGAAGCAAATGTATGTTAAAAGTTCTCATGTACAATCCATTTGATGCTGCGTGCCATTCTGAGAACTATTAACTGGGAAGTATGCTATAAACAGGGAAGTGTTCAGCTATCATGGCTCAGAGAATAAAGAGTGGACTTCAGTCTGGGAAATCATAAAAATTAATTAAAGTTTAACTGTTCTGGTTATAATACAAATGAATAACAGAGTCTTTTCTGTCCAATGACATATTATGATTTTAAATGTTTTTTTCTTATGGTAAACTATATTTTATTGAAGTCCAAAGTCCACTAGTCAGTGGGAAGTTTTTTTCTGTCTTTAAACTTCAGATCAAGTCCCTTTTTTAAAAGACAATCTTACTTCTTTTACTGTTATCTTTAGTACAGGCAATAGTTGATGTTTATACAGTGGAGCAATTAAAGATTAAAGCTTTGCAAAATGAGGGAAAATTGGAACCTTTCTATGGCATTATTTTTGCCTACATTTCTACGCTGAATATTGATAATGAGACAACTAAAATAATACGAAACAGATGGTAAGCACCTCATTAAGTGTCCTGGACATTTATCCTGCTCCTCACTCCCATTCCAAATCAGCTTGAAAAACGTCAATCTCTCTATTCCTCAAACCACTTTTTCCTCCTAACTCAGCATCAAAGCCTTTTCTGAAGTACTCTAACCTTATCTAACTTGCATGTCCAAAGATTCTTTGCTCTTCAGTCATCCTTCTTTCTTGCCTTTGAGCCAAGATAGCATGTCTATTCTATATTATACATTCTATTATTGTACACTCATAAACAAAAAGCATATAAAAACAATGTGACAATTTCATCAGATATAATGAATAGGTATGTTAGATGCGTAATAACTAAACACACGTTCATTCATTTAAAATCTTGCCCTCTTTTCTTTTCTGCAGTAGCAAGTGCCACTATGTGGTCAATGAAAGAACAAACTCATGCTCCTTCTGTAGCAGCTTTGTCTCCTCCTCAGATGCCACACTACTCTTTGCCAGCTTTGATGTACTAGTTGATCTGACAGACCACACAGGCACTCTCCATTCTTGCAATCTTTCAGACACAGTGGCTGAAGAAGCTTTAGGCTGCACGGTAAGAATGTATTAGAAATTGATCTCTTCTACTCAGGTTTATGGTTCAGGTTGTGTTTAGAACCAATCGAGAGCCTGAGGTTTAATGCATTGCACCAGTACTGCATCTGATGAAATAGACTCTAGCCCCCAAAAAGTTATGCTACAATAAATTTACTGATCTTTCAAGACCCTTCAAGGCTTGCTTGGTTTTGCTGTGAACCTACTGTATGTATGCACTTCTGAAAACACTCATCTTCCTTTTGACTCATGCTTCACTTCATGCTTGTGTGCATTGCATATCAATTAAGTTGTGGTCACTCCATTAGGTCCAGGAGTTCCAGACTCTGACAGAGGCTCAAAAAACAGCCCTAAAATGGCACCTTCTTCTAGAACGAAGCAAAATTTATTTTAAAGTAAGTACAGAAATAAGGAAATACACACCTAAATGAGCACCATTCTCCATGACAACCCTCACCCTATTAACATCTTCTGGTGGAATTATCAAAGTTTCTTTTAGTGAATCAAGAACTGAGATTTGAAAAAGGCGTTTTCTATGATTGCCAATAATATAGATCAGTTTATCCAGCAAGTTGTGCAGGAGGCAACACCAACCAACTTTGGAGGGGCAGGTGGGGGAATTGTCAGCTTGTACATTTTCTGGTAGATAACAGATTTCTGCATGTAACTGCTCATCCAAGTGGATGAAGTTAAAAGTAGCTAGTGTGTGTGTGTGTGTGTGTGCGCGCGCGTGCGCGCGCGAAGATTTTCTGTGAGAAAACAAGGTCAGAAGGACTAATAGCCCTCTCCTGCCCATCTTCTCCTTCAAACTGCCACTGCACAACATAATATGTAGTTCTAAATTTATATAAAGTTGCATTATCTTCTTGCAAACTGTATTTTTTGGAGAAGTATTTTTTTTTTAAAAAAATCTAATTTACTTCAATAGGTTATTATTTCGCCCAATTCACGAACCGGACTGAGAGTTAGTTTGCTTTCTTGCAAACTAGCAGATCCTGTGGAGGCCAGTCAAAATCTGCCTGGAAAAGACCTACCTTGCCCAGCTTCAGAACAGCTGGAAGGAGTCTAAGTTGTTGTAATATGGTGAATTTACATTGGGGGGGGCGTTGCATTCTCATTGCAAAGATGCTAGAAAGTGTGCTTTATCATTCATGTTTTAAAACTGTGTACTATCATTTAAGGAAGAGTTTACCTTAGTCCATCCGTCACCAAATTGGTGTCCAGCTCCCAACAGTTGGAACTGATGAGACCTAGTCCAAAACATGGTGGATTTACAAGGCTGGCAAAGGCAGCCTTAGTCTGACTCAAGAGACCTAGATATACGATCTACATTCTTTTTAAAACAAAGTTTTCATTCCATGTATAACATATTTGAGTAAAAATATACTTATGAAATTTATGTTTTTTTCTGTGAGCCTATTTCTTTCAATTTTATATTATATGAAAAGCAGGAACTGTGTTCTGTGGGATTTCAGACAAAATAAGATTAAGTACATTGAACACTATAAATGCCAAGTTTTTTTATTTCACAGACAACAGTCACATGATACAGGGTGTCTGAAATTTATTGAGGCAAGTAGATAGAAGTTTTGTTTTATTTACACCTTAGTATACAGTTGCATCAGACTTCATTACAAAATATATTCTAAATTTCACCATATTTCCATTTTGTATGTGTATATTTTAATATAATTTTCCCTGTTGAACTCTATAAAAGCAGTCTAGTCTGGTAGAAAAGAATAATTCTTACATTCTTTGGCTGCGCTTTTCAGAAAGGCCACACAATGGTTTATGATGACAAGTATAAGCCACAGTGAGTATAAGCTTGCATGTTTCCTCCTCTTCCTACGGCACATCCCTCAATAATTTGGAAGCTTTCACTTTCAAACCATAGTTTAGTGTGTTCTCTGAACCACGTTAATGTTAACTATTGTTTGTTTTTTAAAAAACAGCTTCATAACCTATGGTTTGGAGTGTGCTTTGTTCAACAAACCATAGTTAAGATTAACCAGTTTTGGGGGGTCTGGATGACAGCAAGCTGCAGTTAACCTAAACTGAAAGTGAACTACTTGCTGCTGCACCAGAACCAAAGAGGAGAGCAAAGAGTGTACAAACCTGAGGCTTGTTGTGACTTGTCCTTCTTATGCTAGGGCTTAGTGTGATGCCTGAACACTGTGCATATATCAAATGCCCAACAAGATGGGCTCTCAGCCCTTCTCTCACTCTGTCTGTCAATGTGGAAGAAGCTAGAACCTGAATGAGGGGAAAGCCAATTTTACTTGGTTGCTATATAAGGAGAATCTAAGCTCCCAGTCTCCCCTGTCCCACAGGAAAGGAATGGTTTAGTGTCCCTTTGCTCTACAATTTGAATCTGTTCTTAAGGTAAAAGGAAACATCCCCTATCAAGGCCGGCATTTCTGCCGAACTACTTGAAACCGCATGCTCAGCACCCCCTGGATCCCAGCTTCTATTTCATCATTCTCTTGCAAAGCAGAAACCCCTTTTGGAGTTCCTGTTAGGATAACATCCCCTTCTTCCAGCGTGACAATTCCACTGATGTAGCTGATGATGTAGGGGATAGAGAAGATCATGTCTGATGTATCTCCTTCTTGCCGCATCTCCCCATTTACCTTTAGCCAGATCTTCAACTGGTGTGGATCTGGGACTTTCTCTTTGGGCACAAAGTCACTGACTGGACAGGAGGTATTGAACCCTTTGGCCATTGTCCAAGGAAGCCCTTTCTTCTTGCATTCTTCTTGGGTATCCCTGGCTGTCATGTCCAAGCAGAGGGCATAGCCTGCCACATGGTCCATTGCTGTTTTCTGGGAAACTGCCTGGGCTCTCTTCCCGATCACCACCCCAAGTTCCACTTCATGGTGCAGCTTATTACAGTAGTAGGGCTGGATGATGGGAGAGCCTTCCCTGACATAGGCAGATGATGGCTTGAAAAAGAAGAGTGGCTCAGTTGGGAGGGTGTTCTTCAGCTCTTTGGCATGCTCTGCATAATTCCTCCCCACACAGATTATGTTCTTGCCCCACTCCCAGAACCTGGCCAAAGGCTTTGAAGAAGTCATTTCCCCCTCTCAACAATTATACTTCTGCAGGACAATCTTCTGCAGGACAATGAGCTCTGAGTAGGGCAGCTAGACCTTTGCTGCAACAGACACAATTTATTCACTTCAATATAGCTGCTTGCTTCTCAGCTTGGGGAGAAAAATAAAACAAAGATCTGTGGGTAAAACTCATACATTTCCTTCCCATTCAGCTTCTTTTGCTACCAGAAATTCTCAATACAGCTGTCAAGCCCATTCTTTGTACTTTCACAATGCATTAGCCTCATTCACACATAATACTAAGCCAAGCTATAGTTTAGCATGAACTAGCAAGGATGCAGTCCACAGTGAGAAAATCCTGGCCACTTAGCTACTTCCCCAACATACTACCTAAGACACGGTGTGGCTTAGCATGACATCCGAACCCAGGCTTGTGGTGTTTCCCTCAAACGATCCATGAGCAGCTGGCAAAAAACACATTGGTTACAGTTCATGGTTTGCTTGAAGCGAGACAAATCATCATCCCAGGTTCAAACGTTACACAAAGCCATGGCACAAAAGGAACAGGAGGAGCAAGGCAGGCACGATTTTCTCACTGCACCAGCACACTTGCTTATTCACATCATAGCTTAGCAAACCAGACTGTAATAATCACTGGTAGATTGTAAGTGCAGGAACATGGGTGAAAGCTTGGGACTCCCTGTTTTATGGCTGTCCAGCTCAGATACCTGGCATCAGTTTTCAGTCACAGATCCTAAACAAGGCAAGTAGTCAGAACTAGAACATCTCCAAATATAACAGCCTGAGCGTAGCCATTATTTGGGGGGGGGGGGAAGGACCACAGTTTGCTATGTATTTTTATTGATTTTTATTTATGGGGGGGCCAGCTGCCCCTCCCTGTCCCCACTTCACTACACCCATGTATAATAGTCACAATAAGAAAAGAAAAAATCTGTCCCTCGTGTCCCCCTGCCCACTCAGTTGGCTAAGATTCTGTGGATTCTGCCCCTTCTCAAATGCACTTTCTAATTATTTTAAATGTGCCAGGCTGACTCCAGGCCCTGAAATATTCTGGGTGTTTGGGCAAGCCTTGCTTCATCACGTAAGAGATCTACTTCCCTAAACAGGGGCACTTTGCGTGCGCTCAAAGACTCGTTATTTCTGTTGTTATACCCTAGCAGGGCCTAGCTCAACCGTTTACCCTTTGCCGCCTCCGGCGACAGATACTTCTGCAAGGGCGGTCTCATTTTCTGAGAGGCGCCCGCTGCAATCCTGCTTACCTTTCACAGTCACACATCCCTAAAGGAAAAGAACCTCCACTCCACTGCGCCCGTCTCGCTTTTTTTGCAAGGACGCCAGCCTGTCCTCCAAACGTATAAACGCTCCGCCCGGCTCAGAGTCCGGGGAAGCGATTGGCTGGCTGAGACGGGTCAGGGGCCAAAGGGAAAGGGGCTGGAAGGCATCTGCACCAAACAGATCGCCCGGCCGGTGCTTGTGTAAGGGGGCGCGGAGGGTGCCTGGTTGCAGCCTCCGCCTTGGACCATGGTCTGCGGGGGCGGAGGGAGGATCGGCGCCGCTGCCGCAGCCGCTGTGTTGTTCTTGGGGCTCCGATCGGGTAAGTGGAGCCGCAGCAGAAGGAAGCGTCGCCTCCCCTTAACATTGCAGGGTTTGGAGCGCCGTTATCTTGTTAAAAGTTATTATTGAAAAAGCGCCTTTTTCGGTGAGGATCCTCTTGCAGCTTCTCTTGGACGTGTCCTTTATTGGAGGGGGAATCTTGCGCTCCGCGGACACCCCTAGCTCGCCAAGCCGCTCATTTTCCTTCTGGTCGCCCGCAGAGCACGAATTGCAAACCGCATGAAATCTCTTGCATGACACTCGGCTTTTAAATGATGAGTTAAAAAATAAGTTAATCTTCACTGTAAGGCAGGAGACCCTCAAACCTCTTCAGACCCCCCGCCCCCTAAACCCAGTCTGGAATATAGACACACTTTCTCAGGACATATTTACAGTGCGCGCATACTGGTATCTATTTATAGCTATTCCTTTTCGCTGGGAATTGTCTTGTGGGTGCGGAGGCTGCAGATCTCTAACTGAGAATCTGGGCGACCTGAATGAAGTAGAACCCCCCTTGGGGAGTATCTATAACACTTCGACGAATATAGAACGTGTATAGCATACAGCAGGCATCCCCAAACTCGGACCTCCAGATGTTTTGGGACTACAATTCCTATCATCCCTGACCACTGGGCCGAGTTTGGGGGTGCCTGGCATACAGTGTAGACACACACGCATTCTCTCTCCTTTCTTCCACCTTCTCTTTCATTTTATTATACGTAGCAAAAGTGGTGTCGCTGGTGCAATGACGTTTGAGTGAGACTGACCCACAAGTTGCTAAATGTGTTGGCGGTGGGGGGGCAGTCAGCAGCTGAAGGCCCCTGAAGCCATATTCCCCTCCAAACTCGCAAGGGCTTAAGTTACCAGCCTCAATAGACACAGGGTGGAGGCGAGTTGTTGAACAGGAATTAGCTCAGCCTTATTTCTCAACTGGGTGGCGCTGTGGGTTAAACCACAGAGCCTAGGACTTGCTGATCAGAAGGTCGGCCGTTCGAATCCCTGCAACGGGGTGAGCTCCCATTCTCAGTCCCTGCTCCTGCCAACCTAGCAGTTTGAAAGCACGTGAAAGTGCAAGTAGATAAATAGGTACCGCTCCAGCGGGAAGGTAAACGGCATTTCCGTGCACTGCTCTGGTTCGCCAGAAGCGGCTTTGTCATGCTGGCCACATGACCCGGAAGCTGTACTCTGGCTCCCTCGGCCAATAAAGCGAGATGAGTGCCACAACCCCAGAGTCAGCCACGACTGGACCTAATGGTCAGGGGTCCCTTTACCTTTACCTTTATTTCTCAACCAGGTGTTCTCCAGTTGTTTTGGACTACAACTCCCATCAGCCCCATACAGCAAGCAGATAGGATACCATGGCTGATGGGAACACAGCCATGCTTGGCTGGGGCTGATGGGAGTTGTAGTGTAAAACTGCTGAAGGGCAGCAGATTTGGGTAAAACTGCAACAAGGCATCGCCAAGCCTGAGTGAAAATGACCTGCAACGAAATTGGATGGGCTTTCCTGTCTTGCCACCCAAAAAGTCTGAAATCGTGTTTTGACATTAAACAAAACTTAGTCTGGTGTTTCTTGATTGTATGGGCATGCGTGACATCTCATCAAGCTGTCATCTGTGAAGTATTAAATGCCATTTCACATTATCTCTCAAATGCTATGATCACATGCCAGCTATCAAATATTCCTGGCCTCTACATACTATTGCATGTTTGCAATTGGACAGTGTCTATTGCATGTTAGCCTCTAAATGTTGTCAAGTACCATAGGTACTTAATATGTGGATAATATTCAAGAGCAAATTTCATAAAAGAGTATTTTGAAAAGGAAACTAATTTCACTTCTACTTCTGGAAGATATTAAATATGGGGGAGAAGAGCAAAGTAGGTTTAAGGAGACAAGTGGATGCTTACAAAGTGCTTCGTAGAATAGTGGAGCTATTTCTCAGGGTGGGGGCACATGCCTGTATCCTGAAGGAAGGAATCGTTTATCATCTTACAGTGTGGTAAACAAAATCTGCTGCCCATTGTAAGATGGAAAGGTAGCTCTAATATTTTTCCTTTTTATTGAATTTGGGAATGTGGAACGCACCGTGTGCTCTGTTCTTCTTTGGCAATCACTCGTAGCTGACAAAGATTGTCTTCCATAAATATGGTCTTAACAGTGTGTCCATAAGTGACTGTGGAGGCCAATTCTGGATCCACATGTCCTTTCCACTGTGGGGACTTAGGTTTCCCGATGGGAGTTGATCACAGTGAGGATTTTCCAAACGTGCCTTCCTCTTAGCTCCTTTCTTCCTTTCATCCTGAGTTTGTGCTGCTTCAAAGTCTTTGATGTCTTTGGTAGAGGCTATTCTTCAATTGGAGTGCTTGCAGGCCAGTGTTTGCAGGTGTGCTCTGTTACTGTAACACAGACCACATAATACATGATACAACAAGTTCATGTGAACTTCCAGTAGCAAAATTGCGCCAGAGAAGAGACAGACTTGGTTAAAATGAGGCAAAGTCTCTGTGTTCAAAAAGTCTTTTAAAAATATATTTATTTATTTATTATTTATTAAATATTTTTTAAAAAAATCCACTTGATTGTAAAAAGAACCCTTCAAAGTAATTTACAAAAAAAAAACAAGAAGATTATCAACATGTAAAATTAACAACAACCATTTGAAACTTCCAGAAAGTTAAAATAACAATAGACTAAATACAAATTAAAAACTTGCATCAACTTTCTAAGCGTCTGGGTAAGCATGTCTAAACAATAATGTTTTTGGCAGGGGCCAAAAAAAAAAAAACAGTGAAGGTGCCAGCCTGATATCTTTAGGCAGGGAGGTCCAAAGTGTAGGTGCTGCCACACTAAAAAATCAAGTTCCCATGAATATTGAGTTCAAATGATGTTCATGTTAGTTTCAGCTTAACATCATCAAGCTGTTTGTGGTAGTTTTCCCTTTGAGACTGAAAATTACCACAGTCCTGTAGTCCGGGATTAGGAAACTAGAAGGGAAGGATCTGGGTTTTTTCCACCAGTTTGAGTACAAGTCGGTGGGGTTTTTTGAGGTGGTAATGGCGATAGCTGACAGGGTCAGTCCAACTTGAAATGTGGATTGAACTCCCCCAGCCAGTTTGTGGAGTTGTACACAGAAACAGCCAAAGCTATGAGCTATCTGACTGACATCAGACTTAATGGATGCATTTGATACCCCAGAAGCTATCAATATCCTAACTACTGGCAGGGTATTACAATTAAAACATCTAAGATAAGTTACAGTTAAAAAACATCTAAAGCAGTTAAAAACATTCTTCCACCCAGTGATCTCAAGGTTGCCAGAAACTGCATTCTCCAGCTGCCAAATTCCTGGGTAAATGGGAATGTTTTCAAATCCCTCCTGAAAGTTAGTAATGATGGAGATGGGCACACCTTACTAGGAAGGGCATTCCACAACCAGGGAACCACCGCTGAAAAGGCTCTAGTGGCGATGACACCACCAAATTATTATAATTAATAAAGTAGTAGTAGTATAGTAGTATACTATAGTAGTATAGTAGTATAGTGAAGGGACGCGGGTGGCGCTGTGGGTTAAACCACAGAGCCTAGGACTTGCCGATCAGAAGGTCGGCGGTTTGAATCCCCGCGATGGGGTGAGCTCCCATTGTTCGGTCCCTGCTCCTGCCAACCTAGCAGTTCGAAAGCACGTCAAAGTGCAAGTAGATAAATAGGTACCGCTCCGGCGGGAAGGTAAACGGCGTTTCTGTGCACTGGCCACATGACCCGGAAGCTGTACTCTGGCTCCCTCGGCCAATAAAGCAAGATGAGCGCCGCAACCCCCGAGTCGGTCACGACTGGACCTAATGGTCAGGGGTCCCTTTACCTTTACCTTTAGTAGTATAGTATCAGTATTAGATTAGTACCCCACCCATCTGACTGGGTTGCCCCCATTCTTTGGATGAGGCTGCTTCCCCTTTAACCCCAGTGTATTCCCAGTCAGTGCATTCCCGGTGCTAAAAGATTGTGCAAGGTGAATAGGAAAACTCTGAATTGCTATTAAGCTCCCTTCAACTTGCCACTGTAAAAAAAGGAACCTCGGCTTTAAAAATCCTAGCTCATTTCGCACTCCTGGTTATCCACCTTCCCAATGCTTTGTTTTTTAATAATCACTTTCATTTCTTTTTCCATGGCGTCTTTCACTTTCACATTTGCTGGCCAGGCCCCATGAGTTTCTGCTCTTGTTTGCCAACCGTGTGATTGACCATCTCCCTGAGACTTTCATAAAGGCTTAACCACCCCACTCAGCTTCTCTAGAACAGATAACTAGGAGTGTGGGAGATACCCCAGGGAAATAGGGCCCCCCAAACCCTACTCCTTGGTACATCTTTGCAGTAAGCCAGACTTGCTGACAACACAAACAGTGAAGAAGAAGAAGAAAAAGAAGAAGAAGAAGAAGAAGAAGAAGAGTAGTTTGGATTTGATATCCCGCTTTATCACTACCCTAAGGAGTCTCAAAGCGGCTAACAATCTCCTTTCCCTTCCTCCCCCACAACAAACACTCTGTGAGGTGAGTGGGGCTGAGAGACTTCAGAGAAGTGTGACTAGCCCAAGGTCACCCAGCAGCTGCATGTGGAGGAGCGGGGAATCGAACCCGGATCACCAGATTACGAGTCCACTGCTCTTAACCACTACACCACGCTGGCTCTCATCATCGCTGACAGCAGTGCTGGATGGGTGGAGCTCAGTCTAGCTGAGCCATCTGCACAGCTGGATTGTGGAGATTGTAGGTGTTGAAACAGCCTTCCTAGTGTCTAGACTCTAGACAGAGCTTGGCTAGCTCTGTGATGGCTTGAAGACTCAGAGTCCTGCAGGTCACAGGAAGAAAGGAAGGATACTTCATCATTGCACTGCACTGCTTATGTGCTTTAAGGCAAGTTTGTAAATAATCCTTGTTTTATGGGAGCCTGTGGTAGAATTGTCTCCAAATAATATAACTGTGTTATAGGAGCTGTAATTTTAAGGACCTGCACTCAAGCTTGCGCTTTCCACCTTCCTCCTCTTCTTTTCTTCCTCGTGTGTCATATCTTTTCATATTCTCAATCTGATATCAGGGGCTGTTGTAGTACTGATTTTTCTCTGCTGATTTGGGAGCCCCTTTTTTGGCTCAAAAGGGCAGGGTGTAAAAATGCCGTACATAATTAAAATAAATAAACTTCGAGGCAGGGAAAAACCTGCAATCTGGGTCACTGATGACTGAGTACTGTAGAGATTTGTGTGGACCAGTAACTCTTGCTAACTTAAATGCTGCTTTGAGGACCCTTGAAAAGTGAGGTTCGAGGCACCCCTCTAGACTCAGTGAAATGTATGGCAGAATCAGGGAACAATGAGCATTTATCTGGAGGTCTGTGGCTCAGTAGGTAAGTCACTTGCTTTGCATGCAGAAGGTCCCAGGTTCAATCCCTGGCGATTCCAGGTAAGGTTTGGAAAGACCCCTTGTCTGAAAGCCACGAAAAACCACTTCTAGTTAGTGTAAATCAGGGATAGACAGACTTCAGTATTATTACTGGGTTTTTTCCCCAGAGCTCTGCTGAGAGACAGGATTCCTCCCTCCATTGACTGCCAGATGGCAGCAGCCATTCCACCAGGCTGCAGCGGATGAGCATAGCTGTCAACTTATTTTCAGATTTGAAAATAAGGGATCAGCGGCCTCAAAAATAAGGGATCAGCAGCCTCACCTGTCCCGGGGACAGTCTACGGGATATCTAACAATCCTGGATAGCAGCGGGAAGCAGCAGGAAACGGCACTGGAATAAGGGAATTCCCCGCAAAAAAGAGAAGGTTGACAGCTATGTGGATGAGATGGGGGAAAGAAAGGAAGCAGGGTGGTTATCGGACTACAACTCCCATCAGCCCTCTTTGGCATTGCTGCCTGCTCAGCCTACTGGGAGTCTAGCGACATCCGGAGAGGTCCACAAGTTCCCCCACCCTTGCTTGGAGTGGACCACCCTTCTCTTCTGTCTCAGCCCTGCTTCCTTCCCATCTGCCAAATGGGAATAATGCTGTTGCCCTACCGTACAGGGTTATTGTAAGGATATTAATAATGTGCGTGTAGCCATTTGAAAAGCTTCTCTGTTTGTATCTGTTTAATTTAATTACTTTTTTCCATTGGGCAAGGCAGTTTCTCTCGTGAATTAAAAAAATTACAACCGGAAAAGCGAGTCTCTTTGTGGGGAGACAAACTGGTTCTTCCGCTTACTGAGAGGCACTGCTGTACACTTTTGAAGGGACTTGGAGATGACTCAGCATAGCATGTAACTGGATGACTTTGGGAAATGAGGTCGCCTCATTTATTTATTTTTACTTTAAACTATTGATGCTGCGCCTCTTGGTGGCTGCTCAAATGCAGATTGCATTTTTGTGGGGAAGTTTGAAGCATTAGTATGACAGAATGTAGGAAATAGCCTTAGCTGACAGGTTCAAGCAGCGGTTCCCAAACTTTTGGGGACTATTGCCCCCTTAGTCCCATAAGCTCACCCCCAGTGCCCCCTACCCTATAAAAAGCATTATGCAAAACAGCCATTTGTACAGCTCACTAAGGAAGACAACAACACAATAACAGTAACAATTAACTGCGTATTTATTCAAAAAATACATATATGCAAAAATAAATATATACTCTGACCTAATCTTGCAACTAAAAAAAGAATATTCAGTAAAGAATATTTACTAATGAAAGTGTAAGGCTGAAGGAAGTTTATAGGACAAATTATTTTTATTTAGCCACTTACCGCACATGCATAGACCTTCACCTACCACAGAGGTGTGGTAACTAAATTATAACAAAATCAATAGCTGTTACCAATAATTGGCTATCTTGTGACTTGTGAATCTCAGAATCGTAAATACAAACAACTGACCAAAGGAAATAGCTTTGAAAGCAATAAGAGCAGTAAAACTTCTAATATGAAGCGAGGAAGGTGTTTCACTCTGGGGTCCAGCCTGGTCAGTTGTAAATACCATACTTTTCCATGAATTAGACTGTTTTTTTCTTTCAAAATCATTCAAAAAAGTGTGGGGCGTCTTATACATGAGTAGTGCATAGGGTGGACATTTATTTGGTTGCTGCTGTGGCTATTGTATGTGTTATTGGTTGGTGCATCAGTGGGTGTTGTTGATTGGCTGACAATCCGGCAGTTGGGTGGTTGATTTGCAGCTTCTGCCAGCGATGTGTGCGGGTGAGCGATTTTTGGCAATCCCCCCTTTACCAGCTCAGCAACTCTGGGCAATCCTCCGCAAAAAAAGCTCAACAACTCTTTTGCCAATCTCCCCCTGTTTTCTTAAATTTGAGACCCCCAAAATAGGGGTAGCATTATACATGGAAGCGTCCTATAGACAGAAAAGTACGGTAAGTGATCAAGGCGCTTGGAGGGACCCCCTGCTGCCTCCTTTTCTCTTAGCACCATCCTAGGTAATCCCACCCCCAAGACCAGATGGACCAATGGCCAGACTTGGTGCAAAGAAGCTTCTTAAGGCCCTTCCTGCCTCTCTGTTGACGGTTTAACTGTCACCCTCCCCAAAATTCTCTCCCGCACTAGCTAAACTGCTCCTTCATTGGTGCATCAGAATATTTCACCAGTGTCCGCCCAGAGCATCGTGGGCGCCACCCCCCCCAACACACACATTAGCCTTCACTGCTGGACCCACTGCCTCTCCTAAAATTTGTCCTTCTTCTTAATCTCCTGAAGGTTTGCCGCAATTTCGCACCAGCTTCCTCCACACCGAGTTTGAAAGCAGAGCGTCCAAGGTCATCTCACAAGCCAGCATGAAGGTGGAGCTGCTCCCGGCCCTCACAGACAATTACATGTACCTGCTCATCGACGAGGACACCAAGGAGGCTGCGATAGTTGACCCTGTGCAGCCCCAGAAGGTACCTCTGCTCTTTCTGGGTTTAGAAGCTTTGGAGAACACAGTTTAGTCGATCAGATCCACACTTGCGGAGTTGGTCAGTGTACACAGTGCCGAGCTAAATGGATCCAATCCTCTTAACTCTGTATGAAGCAGCTACTTATGTTCCTAAAGGGCAGGGCCGTAGCTCATTGCTTAAGAGCACCTGCTTTGTATGCAGAAGGTCCTTGTTATCTCCAGGGAAGGTTAGGAATGTCCCCTGCCGGAAACCCTGGAAGCTGCTGCTAGTCAGTGTGGGGGTCTAGGTGGGGCTCCCCTCGTGCTTGAGCTGGAAGCTGCAGTTAGAGCAGACTGCTGCAGCACGATTGCTGACAGGAGTGAGGCCTTGTCAGCTTATAACACCTGCGCTCAGAGATCTGCCCTGGTTGCCGATTTGTTACCGAGACAAATTCAAGGTTTTTCTATTAGGCTATAAATCCCTTAATAACTTGGGACCAGTTTACCTATGAGATCAATTTATCCAATATGTGCCCACTTGACCACTTCAGATGGCAGAATTGGCACTCTTGTAAGGACCACATAATAACTGTTTCACATTTGTAAGAACTCAGTTGTTTAGTGTGGCAGCGCCTATACTTTGGAACTCCCTGCCTATTGATAACAAGCAGGCTCCTTCACTGTGTTCTTTTTAGCAGCTGCTGAAAACATTGTTTAAACAAGCCTACCCAGATGTTTAGAAAGTTGATGTGAGTTTTCATTTGTTTTTTTGGTATGTTTTCAATTATTGCTATAAATTTTTAGTAATAATTTTATTGTTTGTCTTTTTTTGTAAACGGCTTTGAGAGGTTTTTTTCTACCATCAAGTTTAAAATATCACATGCATTAACTACAGACTCAAAAGAAGGAAATGTATTTGCTTTTCTCCTACCCGTATAAGGAAACTGCTGGTGTTCCTAGTATTTCCTTTTACAGGGACTCCTTATGTCCAAATAGACATCTAAATGAGATTGACCATAATAAGCCATGGTTTTGAAGATAGGCCACATTTGCACCACCCATTTAAAGCACCATGATACCACTTTCAACAGTCATTTGAAAGAATTGTGGGACTTGTCATTTGCTAAGGGTTCTGATAGGATTCTCCTCTTGCCCTCCCACAGCTGCAGTTCCCATATTTCCCTGGGAAGTTGATCGTTCAACCATTCTGTGAATTGTTTGCTCTTCGAAGAGATTTCCTAGCAATTCTTGGCACCCTTAATAAACTACATCTCCCAGGATTATTTGGGGGAAGACATGACTGTAAACAGTGCTTTTAATGGATGGCGTGAATGTAGCCGTAGAAAGTGTTGTGAAATCAATAGTGGCAAGAAACTGCGGAACTGGCAAAATTGGCATATAAATTGCGTGACAAGGAAAATTGCGACTTCAAGGATGAATGGGAACTTTTTACAAATTATCTAAAAAGACAACAAAATGATTTGGACTCCTTGGCAGGTTTTGAACATCCATAAATTTATTAGTAGAACATATGACAGATAAGGCAAGGATATGTACAATTTTATAACATGCAGAGAACAGTATGTGCAAAGAAATCAGAGAGGGGAGCTGAGGGAAGTCCTTGGGGGGGATAATGTAATTGGTTATTTGGACTGATGATTTGGTAAGTTGAAAGTGTTTAATATTTTTTTTTTTTAAAAAAGTGTTGTGAAATCTTCAGGCCATTCAGCAAGGGATGGGTATGGGGGCATTTGTCCTTCCAGCCTTGCAGTACATGTCTCTTAAGGACTCACAGAATCCACTTAAACCACAAAGCTGGTTGTGACTCAAATAGATTTTGTGAAAAGGTAAATATCCTTCCTTTTCCTCCTGTCTGTAGGTTGTGGATGCAGTCAGAAAGCATGGAGTGAAACTGACCACTGTCCTTACTACGCATCACCACTGGTAACCCTTTTGTGTTATATGATTTAAATAAAGGAAAGGTCTTGTGCTTTGGTGATGTATGTGCTGTTCAGCCTCATGCTGTAGGAAGCTGCCATGGTATACGTTAGTGGTTCCGAAACCTTTTTGGGCCATGGCCCCGTTGGTTCCATAAACACATCCCCAGTGCTCCCTACCCTATAAAAAGCAATATTCAGAATAGTGGTTTGTACTGCACACTAAAGAAGATGGTAACACAATGAAATTCAAAATAGTATCCATTAATTGCACATTCATTCAGAATCTAGTTAGAACTATTTAGTTTAATTAATTCAACAAAACCCTGCGACCCAATTGCCTCTCAACACGCAACATTTCAACCAGCTTCAGTTTTGTTTGGAAATCAAATTTAAGGTCTATGAAGGGGCATCATTTAATTATAACACCACATTGGCCTTAATAATTGTATTTTGAAGTCAAGAAGGACTTCCTCCTCTCAATCGAATTGCCTTGATGCATCTCCCTTTATCTCTTCCCCTGAGCCTCCTTTCTTTGTGTTCCTCACAACTTTCTCTAGTGTGAAACAGGATGAGCTCCTTGCTGTAAAGCCACTGTGGTGCTTGCTATCCAGGCCAGGCCAAGGCATTTTGCTGCCTGAGGTGAAACAGCAACACCCAACAACCTGCTTCCAAATTAAGGTGTAGAATACCCAAGTCTGACCAATGCCACATTTATAACATACATTTAAAGCACTTATGATGCCACTTTGAACAGCCATGGCTTCCCCCAAAGAATTCTGGGAGTGGTAGTTTGCTATGGGAAATTGTTAAGCCACTCTGGAAATGGTAGCCTGGTGAGGGGAATAGGGGCCCCCTAACAACTCTCAGCACCCTTAAAAATTCATTGGGCGAAGCCATGGCTTTTTAAAGTGGTGTCATAGTCCTTTAAATTTACAGAGTGAATGTGGCCCTAGTTATTTTGTCCAGAAAATTCCACAAGCACCTTTACCTGGGAATAAAAAATACAGTGACTGTTGTCTAAGTAAGTTCTACTAATAATAGCCCCATTGCAATTAATGGACCTATATTAGTTATGTTGATTAATTTCAACCTAATGATAAATTAAAAAGTAAGAATTTGCTGTCCTTTCATGATACCTCAAATTGGCTGCCACACTCAGCCCAGTGATAGAGCCAGCCCCTACACACATTACAGTGTTTGTGTCCTGTGCGCCAGTGTGGTACCCACACCTATTTTTGCCACACCTACATGCAGCCCCCCCAGAGGGTTGTCCATGGGTGGATACAGGCCCTTGGACCATTGCCCCACCCCCGTAGCCACCCCTGGACTACAGGATGAGGCCATTAGTTCCATTTTTAAAAAAGAAAAAAGAAAAGGACCAATGGCTTAACTTTAAAGAAAAGCAGGATTCAGGCTGTTTGCTTGATGCACATTGTAAGAGACTGCCTCTTGTGTGTTTTGCTCCAAAGTCTGACCATTTTGACCTTCTAGGGACCACGCTGGTGGCAATGAGAAACTTGTAAAGATGGAGCCGGGGTTACAAGTGTACGGGGGAGATAGCAGGGTTGGAGCCTTGACCCAGAAAGTCTCTCATCTTATGTCATTTCAGGTAAAAAGAAAGAAACGGGGGAAATACGTTTGCCCAAAACATCCTCTGAAATCATGTGTTCCGTTTGAGCACTGAGGCGCACGAAGGCCCTAGAGCATGGCAATTGCGTTCTTGTCGCCGTTTCCTCCCCACACAAATGTCCTTTGCATGTGGCAGCTCTCTGCTTGTGGAAGATGGACTTCCTGACCTGAAATTCCTGTTTTTTGTTTGGTTTGTCTATTTTGCTTAAGCACAGGAACACATAATGCACAGTTGCAGTGCTGGCTCAGAATGGCCCTTTTCGCCTGCCACAAGCATGGAGCTATCACGAGGAAGGAGAGGTTTGGGGGGGGGGAGCTTCCTCCTTAAGCAGGGTGACTCCCCGGCCATTTGGCCTGTTTGGTGCCTCCCATGGGAGTTGTGTGATGCACCAGAAGTACCACAGAGTTTCCACCCCTCTGTTTTTGGCCCTGTTTTGCCCATAAAACAAGCAGATGTGAGAAGACACACAGTCTGTTGCCATATCAGCCTCTTGACAAAGACTTCGTGTGATCAAAGGCCTTCTCTAAGCGCTAATGTCACAGCAACCATGCACAGCACAGTCTCCCAGCAGCCTTTGCCCAGGAGGTGTTCTCAAGCAGTGGTTGACCGTTTAGGTCATCTGGGAGAAGCAACGAGGAGGTCCTGTCCTCCTTAAGAAGCTGCCATGTCAACTAGCCCAGAGGTGGCCTTCATCACAGGGGTGGCTAACCCATGGTCTTCCAGAGGTTGCTGGACTCTTCATCGTCCCTGACCATTGGCCATGCTAGCTGGGGCTGGTTAGAGCTGGAGTCCAACAACAATATCTAGAGGGACACAGGTTAGCCTCCCGTGCTTTACAGGGTAGATAGAGCGATAACTTGAACTAGATCTACTTTTGCAATGATGTAGGTCAGAGATGGGAAATCTGCTGCCCTCCACTCCTTACTGGACTCCAACGCCCATCACTCACCACTTTCAGCCATGTGGGCTGCTGGTAGTTGGGGTCCAATGTCATGTTCCCCAGCCCAGATGGAGGCTTTGTGGAGTATCACAGACCTCTCCAGCGGGGGAAATGGACGCATATTGCTGGCTCCAAATACTGGTTACTTGCGCAAGTGTTTTTGGTAGCTGGGGGCTTAGGGTTGTATCTGATGCTAGCCCTGCTCTGAGTAGACCCATTGAAGTTAATGAACATGGGCTACCATAGCTCCCTTAATCTCATTGGGTCTAGTCTGAGTAAAGCTCAGCTAAAGACAATCCTGAAGGTCAAACTAGTTGTGATGTTAACCAGCTGATTGATCCGTGCCTACTTGCTTTCTTTTTTAAATTTACTAAGTAGCTGTGGAAGGAGGTGGATCGAAACTGCAGTGGAGGTCCAAGGGCAAGACCCTCCTCCACTGTACTGTGATTTACGGGGGTGGGGGGGACATAAGGGGAGCAACTGCTAAATACTAAAGAAAAAGCAAACCTTTGCGGAGGACCACTTGTGTGATTAACATCACATCTAATGCAGCCTTTAATGGGTGATTTCATAGCCCTCCCACACAGGCGTTCATTGCCCCCTGTGGACAAAGCAAGCCTGATTTCCCCAGTCGCTGTTCATGGTGAGTTGCTGAAAATGTCAGACCCTTTCTCCTGCTGGAATGACCAAGGCCGCACAGCTGTCATGGGTGCTTTTTACAGCTGAGAATTAGTCAAGCTTCCAATCTTGCCTGACAAAGAGTTCTGTGCAACCAAGAAGTGGGCGCAAGTCATGACTACTCAAAACACACAATACTAGACCATAGTCATTGGCTTGCATCAGTTTTTAGGGTTCCTTTCCTCCTCATCCCCACCCCTCTGCTTCTCTTCACCCCTGTGGGTGTTACCAATCTGAGATTCGCCATGTTGGTGTGGAGCGGTCGTGCCCTTGGTGGGCAATTGTGGTTTATCTGCCCCTTTGCTTTCCCCCTCAATGACTTGAGCTTTTCCACCTTTTTTTAGGTTGGATCTCTTAACGTGAAATGCCTCTCGACTCCCTGCCACACTTCTGGACACATTTGCTATTTTGTGACCAAGCCAAACAGCTCCGAGCCGCCTGCTGTGTTCACAGGTGAGGGTTTGGCGGCACTTCTTTTGCCTTGACCTCAGGAGCTTGAGCAACATGGGGGGGGGGGGTTTGCAACCTAACCCACCCCCCAAAGAGAGTGCAGGGATTGCCTTTGTGAAAATATTATTAAATGATAATGTAGAATTGGAAAATATTCAGATAAGTGCAGTCAAAATGATCACGAGGGACGGTTGCAGCATTTGGGGCTTTTAAAAATTCATGTCCCTCCTCACTCACCTTTTGTATGGCATAGAAGAAATGGATAAAGAAAAGCTTTTCCCCTTCTGTCATAACACTTGAATTTGTGGACTTGTGATGAAGCTGAATGTTGGAAGATTCAGGACAAATGAAAGAAAAATCCTTCACACAGCACAGAGTTAAGCTGTGGAGCTTGCTCCCACCGGAGGCAGCAGTAGCAGCCAACTTGGATGGCTTGGAAAGAGGATTGGGCAAATTCATGAAGGATGGAGCTATTAATGGTTCCTTGCCACAATGGCTGTGCTCTGCCTCCATGCCTGCAGGCAGTATGTCCCTGAATACCAGCTGCTGTGAATTGCAGGTGGACATTGATCCTGCTTGCAGGGTTCCCACAGGTATCTGGCTGGCCACTGTGTGAGAACAAGATGCTAGAGTCGATGGGCCGCTGTTCTGATCGAGTTGACTCTTCCCATTCTCTTACGTGAAGATGTTCCCTCTGCCCTCCTGATGTCTTAATCTGGCTTCACCCAATGCGTTTGTCTGGTTGGGTGTTGGCCACCCCACAGCCTTCATGTGGGTGTAACCAAACACGTTCAGCTGGTTAGGTGTTGGTCAAAGCATGTGATCTGCCACTTTGCTTCTTGAATCCAAGAACTGCCTTCTGCATCTTGACACATTTTCTCACTTCATAGCCCTTTTTCCAGTGTGCAAGTGTCACCCTGAACAGATCTGTCCGTCCTCCCGACCTTCTAAATGTGGGTGCTCTACAGTGAGTGCTCCGTCACTTTGCTACCCCCACCCCACCTTTAGAGTTTAAGATCCCATTCTCCAGGAAGATTGGTCTCATGGGTCCTCATATTTTGGGGCACATTTGGAAATCTAATTAACTTACAGGAGCACCGTAAAAAAAAATCCATTTTATTTTAATCCAGTAATATGCCATGAAAACTTAGGAGGAAATGGAACAGGGAGGGGATGAACACTTGCAGGATGGAAGAACGGAGAGCAACCTCAGGAAGCAATGGAGGACCACATTCAATAGCATTTAGAGACCGCACACAGTTCTGGGTCTGCTGGTCACTCAGCTATGGCTCAAGTCATTATGCTGATTCTTTGTCACTCACTGCAAGCTTCTAGTCCCTACTGTTGAAGTTTCTCACCTCTGCCTCAGCAGAATCTCCTTCCTGGTTTACCCTTTTCCACCATGGTGCTCCCAATTCCTGGTTCTTTAGTGAGATCGTTAAAGTGTGTTCATTCTCCTCTCTCTCTCCCTTCTCTAGGTGACACACTGTTTGTTGCAGGCTGTGGGAAATTCTTTGAAGGAACGCCCGAGGAAATGTACAGAGCCCTTATTGAGATCTTGGGGCGACTCCCTCCAGAAACGGTACCACGCAAAGGCTCCCTGTTTGGGTTGGGTGTGTTTGTTCCCTACTAAAGACAATTAACTTTGGTAACTGTGTTCGCTCTTGGAGGACTCTTGTCAACCAGGCCAATCTACAGCTCCCAAAACATTTTGTGGGAAGCAATAACAGATAAGCCAGGGGTGGCTAACCCCCCATTTGGTGGTTTGACCTACCCGGCAACAAGCACATTTCCCCATTCCCCTCCAAAAAATATCCCACAGATTCTGGTGGTGTTGGCAAAAAGAAGGCACAGAGATGAGGTTGGGAGCCCAGCACCCTGATGGGGAATACAGATGATGCCCCTTCCCTCCCTGGTCATCAGATTGATGATTTGATTCACAGGGGCAGAGGTGATATCCCCTTTCTCAGCTGATCTGTGCAGGTCAGCTGGTGTGTGTGAGAGAGAGATTGTGCAAGAGAGTGTGTGAGGTGATCACACCCACCACTGGCATGTGCCACCCCACCCCAAGGGTTAGCCAAGCATGAATGCAGCCCTGAGGCCAAAAGAAGGGTTAGTTATATCCAAATGAAACAGATATAAAAAAACAGAGCATCCAGTAGCCCCACCCAGCTCTTGCATTGTCCAACCAGGAAGCAAAATAACCTTTTCCCGGGGAACAGTTAAAAGACAGACCTGGCCCTCATGTTAGGCAAAGCAATGGAAAAGTATGAATTGCCTCCCCATTGGGGCACTGGGCTGGCCGGAGAGGTTTTAATCCCGCTGCTCACCTCAGAGCCATCAGGTATATATTGTTGTGAGATGGGGGGGGAGTGGGCTGCATGCCAAGACCCCTCTAATTCCTGGAATAGCCAGGCTAACTTCCTGATAGCCTAGGTAATAGACCATTAAGGGAACAAAGGAAGTGGCTTGGCACCAGAGGAAAAATGGCTGGGCGCCTCTCCATCAACTGGCTGGCAAAGGGACAGAGTTGAGAGTAAAGTTATGTGAGCATCAAGCAAAGCAGCAAGGTGCCTGACCAGGATCATCTTCTTCCTTCAGCATGATGGTCTGCTGAAAACCTCAGAATTAGGCACAAAAAGCAGTTGTCTTGCAACTTAGGGGTGTGGGAAGCTGCCTTACACTGAGACAGAACCAGTGGTCCATACAGCTCAGTACTGTTGACACTGACTGGCAGTAGCCCTCCAGGATTTCAGGCAGGGGACATTCCCAACCCTACCTGGAGATGTCGGGGTTTGAGCCTGAGACCTTCTGCATGCAAAGATCTACCCCTGAGCTATGTTCCTTTCCCTAAAAATACAGAAAAGTTCCAGCCCCCATGACTCTGAACAAATGGCTGGTTTAAATAGGAAGCTGCATTCTACTAAGTCCTTCTACTTTCCCAGTCCTATTGAGGATTGAACTAGGGACCTTCTGCCTGCAGAGCAGATGCTCTACCACTGAGCTACTGCCCTTCCTCAAGGCCTTCAGTGACTTTTAACTGCCTTCCTCCTCTTCTTCCTTCCTTTCCAGAAAGTCTACTGTGGTCACGAATACACCATCAACAACTTAAAGTTTGCCCGGCATGTTGAGCCCAACAACAGCGCGATCCAGCGAAAACTCTCCTGGGCAAAGGCAAGATGGGCTTCTCATTCCTGGAGAGGAGATCAGTCAGTGGGAGGCCTCTGTTCCCTTCCGCACCCCATGCCATTGGGACAGGCAGTGCCAGTTTGGTTCCTTTACTCCGGCAGTGCTAGTCCAGGCCTGTAGCCAAAATGGGCAGGGGTGGGTTTTGTGGGGGTTGGGAGGGTGAGGGCTAATGACTCATTATAGGTGGGTGGGCGTGGCAGGTAACTGAACACTGAGCAAACAATGCAAGTTCTAATGTCAACAGAGCCTTCGTCAAACGGAATACTGTTTTTTCCAAAAGTGACGGCCGCCTGAGTGCCTTTGCTGTCATTGGCTAGATCTCTGGAAGGCGGGAGCTGTTTTTCCGTTCCTTTCACCTCCCTTAGAAAAAGGGTCAGGGGTTTAATGCTGTTTTTCACCAGCAGCCTCGCTTGGGAATCCCAAGAAACCAAAAGATCATTTTGATGAAATCACTATGTTAAAGACAACACTTTTGAAAAATGCATTTCACCATCTTAATTCAAAATAGCGTCCAGTTGTATCCAAATTAGACAAAAACCTGCACATTGATCTCAGGAATCATAATCAAAAACTTAGGTAAAACTAGTTTTAAAAGGTTTGAGTCTGTCATCTTGGTTCAAAATGACATTCAGTTGTATCCAAACTTGGAGGAATATTGGCAGGTGGTGGATGCTCCTTCACTGGAGGTTTTTTAAAAAGAGCTTAGTTAGCCATCTGTCAAGGATTCTTTAGCTATGATTCTATGAACACCTCCTCTTTGATCTCAGGCACCATCATGCAACATTTGGTTGGATACCTTAAATATCCAAATGCATCTTGAACAGACAGAGGAGTTTCCAAAATTTCTAGTAGATGAAAACTGAGCATTCAGGATCAGGGGGTGTAGGCATATCCCAAAGCACTTTTGGAAGTCTCCTTGCAGTGGGGTTGGACTCGATAAACCTTTGGATCCCTTCCAACTCTACAATTTATGATTCCCCTAGGCAAAATACGATGGTGGGGAGCCGACTATCCCGTCGACCATTGGCGAAGAATTCACCTACAACCCGTTCATGAGAGTCAGGTAATTTGTGTTTGAGGATGACGCTTTGGGAAGGAGAAGGTGTGGGGCAGGGTGTCCTGCATTCTGAGGAACTGCAGCTGTGGGTCCATGGCTTGAGTGGAATTGGTTTCGTGAGATGGGAGTGGTCAGTCTCTTTGAAAGTGAGAATCTTAATTTGCTGATGTCCTGCATCCAAGTACTATATTTGTCTATTTTTGAAAATTATACATTATTTTTAAGCAGGCACAGCGCTGGGATGGGGGGGGGTTGAAGCCCAGCGCTTTGATGAGTATGCAAAACAGCCCCATCCCAGTCATTACTTTGATCATTTGAGGAGCACAGAAGGGCAAGAAGCTCCTCCAGCTGTTGCAGAGGGTCTGTGTGTGTGCATGTGGCCCTTGGGTGGTTAGCCAAGGGTCAATGCGGCCCCCAGGCCAAAAGAAAAGCTTGCCATACATACATGTGTTGAGTTGCTTCTTATGAGCCAGCTAAACAGGCAGTTTTTCACAACCTGGTGGTAGTTGCGTCCATAAAGTCAGAGTAAGTGTCCTGGACCCTCCATTTTCCTTCATTGTACTTGTTGTCTGGTTGTGGCTTACAACAGTGTTGTGCATATGCAACACTGGGTGTGTCCATAATCACATGCAACAGTCTCTAGGTACTATTAGTTTTCCAAAACTGTATGGATATTCGGAGTAGAACCGTTGAAATTAATGGACATGGCTAACTTAGGTCCATTTCTTTCAGTGGAAGAACTTTCTAAGTACAACTTGGCTGGGTAATACCCATTGTATTTTTTACTCCCAGGTAGAGGTGCTTGTGGAATTCTCTGAACAAAATAACTTGGACCATATTCACACCATACATTTAAAGGGCCACTTCAAACAATCATGGCTTCCCCCAAAGAATCCTGGGAGCAGCTGTTTGTTGAGCAGCATGGCTTGTCTGTCAGCCAGCACTCCTCTCCTACAACTGAGCTGTGATTGGATTGGAAAGTTGTTAGGAAACTCCTCACAGAGCTGCAGTTTCCAGCACCCTGAACAAACTACCATTCCCAGGATTCCTTAGGGGAAGCCATGACTGCTTAAAGCGGATCACAGTTCTTTAAATGAATGGAGCAGATGGTGCCGTAGTTATTCCATTTTCAACAAACCAAATAGCCTGTAATCTCCTGTCACCTACATGCGCCATTTTCCTTCTTTCGGCAGGGAGCCAACAGTGCAGCAACATGCCAGGGAAGGAGACCCCATCCGGACAATGGGTGCCATCCGGAAAGAGAAGGACAACTTCAAAGTGCCAAAAGAGTGAAATCCCAGCCGCTTTCCTGCCCCCCCTTTTTTTTCCTTTTCCAAAGTTGATTTAGTTAAGGAAGATGAAGTTTCTCATTGCTCTGTTATGTTAAAAATAATTCATGTCTAAGGATCTTTTTTTTTTTTTTTGGTCTTAAAAGGAGGTGTAAACAAAGCACTTTGCTCTTATAGGAAATGTCCTATAAGCTATTTAAAAGATGTTTAAATTTTAATTTTTCTTGTATTCCTGGATTTGAACCACTGTGTAACAGTAAGTTTGTTTTTATTTTTTTATTTTTTAAGGAGTGCATGGAACTTGGGAGAGGAGCGACCTGGTTGTTTCATAGGTTGTCAGGACAAAATTCAGATCAACTTTTTGCCCTCACTTGTTTTGACTTCTGGGGAAATGTTTGCACCCTCTGCCTCAGATTGAAAAGTGGATCTGTTCTAATTGGGGTTTTTTTTTTTAATTTTCTCCATGCATCAGTTGCTTTGAAAACCCATTTTGTGAAAAATCCAGCTGGCTTTGTGAGGCTTGGAGCGAACCTTCTTGATTCCCTCACATTCACAGCATCCATTTAAAGTTCCCTTATCCTTCATGGCTTCCCTCAAAGAATTCTAGGAACTGTAGTTGGTTAAGGGGCTGCCCAGGGTTATTCAGAGATCCCTCACAGCATCCTTAACTAACAATAGTTCCCAAGATTATTTGGGGGAAGCCATGGCTGTTAAAGTGAAGAAGGTATGGTTTAAAAATGTGGTGTGGATCCCCACATAGGCAGCGTAACAGTATCCATTTCCCTTCCCCCATCATCCTGAGTCGTTGGCCCTGCTTGGAGTCCAGTAACATCTGGAGGGCCACTGGTTCCCCAACCTAGGCCATGTCAGCATGGGAACAGCTTAGGGCACAACCAAAAATCTGGGCGGGGGAGAGGAATGTAGTGTTGGCCGTAGTTTTGTGGACTCTTCCATCTTGTAACACCACAGTTCTGCCACTTGGAGCCGAGGAGAGGGAGAAGGGATGCTGAATGAGCACACTGGAGTGTCCAGGGAGAAACTCCTGGGCAGACATGCCTCTAGCTTGCCAGCTGAGAGTACAGCAAGATTGTGCCTCTGCTTTTGAAACAGCCATGGTACGTGCATGTTGTCCACGCTGAAGATTAGCTGTGTGCTGAGCCACCAGTGCAGACAGCGCAGCAGCAAAACATCAGCATGGAGCACAGCGGAAAATTGCCATTGGGGCAAATAACTAATCTGAACACATCTTTTTTTGGCTGCATTGTTCTTTTGGATCCGGCATCCCCATCCAACTCTAATGAAAAGCAGGATCAACAGATCAAGAGAAGGTCTGACCACCCCACTCTCCCCCATCTCTCTTTTCTAAAAGAAAGCTGTGTTTTTTGACAGTGGTATCGTTTTCTTTTGAGTGTGTCTACCCTGCACTTTAAACTTTAAACAAAACAAAATCCCCAGACCTTATGAATGGGTGTGTCTCCCAGCCAAGGAACTGTGGGAACTGGAAGTTAGTTTGAGGAAGCAGGGGACACTTCTACAGTGTACCCAGAGTTCATTGCAGGAGGAACCAGTGACAGTTAAAATGCCTTTGACAGCACTATACCTTTTTACAGCTCACATTGGGGCCAAGAAACCCCTCTAGATGGACAACCCACTTGCCAGCACCCCTCAAACCGCACCCCGTGTTCCTTGTTGATTCAGCTGACTCATGTGTACATACAGACATATGTGTATATACAGAAAACTAATATATTGCTATAAAAGAGATGAACTACTAGGATCAGAGTTAAGAGGTGTCACCAGTAACAGGCCAACTCATTTTAAAGCTGTTGCAGCTTCCGAGACCCCTCCCAGAGCCCATGGAATTGGGGTCTCGTGAAAGCAGTGGGGCTCCCTTAGTGCAGTATTGAGATTCCAAGAAGCCAGGAATGTTGTAAAAAACAGTTGAAAAAAGAGTGTACTCCCCCACACACACCAGGAACTATGGAACTGGGGATAATTTAGAGGTGAAGGGGTCTTGCCTGCCCATTTCTAAAAGCCACTGTATAGTGGCTCCCCAATCTGGTACCCTCCATATGTTTTGGACCACAACTCCCATTGGTCCCAGGTGACAACTGATGGGAGTTGTGGTCCAAAATATCTGGAAGGCACCAAGCAGTCTGCTTTAGCTACTGCTGCAACTGTGTGCCCACCAGCCATGAGTGGCTGATTGGCGCTGCCACAGCAAGAGAAACTACGTAGGCATGTTGCTCTTCTTTGCCCAGGAAGCATTAAAACGAATGCTGCCATCTAGTGGTGTGGAGGTGTGCAGCTGCCTCAGGTGTAAGTTGTGTGGGAGCCTTTTATTTCAAATATTGACAATGGTGTCCTGCTCTGCCAATAAACATCTCTTGTGCTAAGCTGTGGTTCTGCCTCTAATTCTTGGAGCCGAGACTTTCGCCACGAGCAAAGACAGGCTGACTGCAAGTGTTGGGAAGCAAACACAATTTTTCCTTCTATCATAACACTAGAACTTGTGGACATCAAATGAAACAATGAAATAAGTTCAGCGTCCTGAACCTTTCAGAACTGGATCTGGATGAGTGTTAATTTATCCCTGTGATTTTTGTTTTAAATGAGAAACCCCATGAGGGCCTAATCACGGAGTTTCTGCTTCCAATTTAGCGGCACCCTTAAACTGCTTCTTCACAGTCTATCTCAATGGTTCCCAAACTTTTTCAGGCCATCTCCACCATTGGTCCCAGTGCCCCCTACCCTATAAAAAGTGTTACTCAGACTAGCAGTTTGCATGACCCACCAAGGAAGATAGTAACACAATAAAATTCAAAACAGTAACAATTAACTGCATTTATTCAAAATCCAATTAAAACTATTTAATTAATGCAACAAAACTGGTGAACTTGATCGAGTAACACCAGCTTTTCAAAGTCTGAAAGTCATTTATACCTCTAGATCCCCCTTGCCTCTTAAAAGAGTCTCCTTAGGTAATCTCATCGCTCCTGGAGAAAAAGCTTCTCGGCTTTGTGGGTGCAGAGAATAAGGAAGTAATAAAGCAGGCCTGAAACATTTCAAGTTTCTGGCTTCAGTTCTTTTAAAGGCCGCACTTCAGTGTTGTAGGTGACATTTTGCTCCCGTCCAGGATGGGGCATGAACTTCCAATCTCTGCATGAAAAAGGTAGGGCACAGATTGATTTGGGACTCTTGAGAAGATGATGTAGGAGTGTGTGGACACTGGCCTGATCCAGAAGGCTCTTTCTGAAGTTCTTAACTCTTTATCCTGTATATTTATAACAGCTGTTGTTTTTTGTTACTAAGGGAATTCCTTGTAGGCAAGTGGCAGGAATGAGACAAAAGCACAGAGAGCTCTGGAAACACACTCTGAGCTAAGACAGGTGTACATACTTTGAACCCCAAGAACGTGTTCCAGCCCCCTTTCGGGCAGACATTCAAGAGCCCCCAACCTGCAGCAAGCCACAAAACGGGTTGTTTCCAACTGAAACTGCAAGAGGCTGACTGGCCCCTGTGACAATCACTCAAGTAGCATCTGTTAGTATTGTGTTTTCCTTTGCATTGTGGGGTATGGGGGGAGAGATCTTGATCTAGGACAACTGTTTATGGTAGCAACATGTAACATGCCCCCCAGATATCACTGGACTCCAGATGCTACCAGGACGGCCAACAGTCATGGCTGTCAGAAGCTGGAGGGAAGGCAAGGGTATATGGATGAACACAGCTCTCCTTAAAGCCAAACCCTCTGTCCGTAATCATTTTTATTCCAGTCTTTGGCACTAAAGGTGGATTTGCTACATATTTTGCCACCTATGAACAGTCTCTGTCCTTCCAGCAACCACTTTGGAGAGGGAAAGAAAATCAAGAGGGCATGATTGTGACACCTCCTGTGCCAAGAGCACTCCCAGCCATCTTCACCACTTGATATTCAAGGTGGCGCTTGACTTCTCCACTGCGTGATACCCTGTGTGCAGGATGTCTCGAGTCTGTCCCGAATCAGGGCCACCCAGCCACTCCTTGTAGAGTGCCTGCACGGCTCCATTCAGCTCCGGGTTTTCAGGCTGGACTGATTCATACAGCCTCTCCACCCTCTGGAGAAGATCCTTGCTGGGCTCCCCTTCGGCTTTAATTTGGCCCCCTCCATTTAAGCAGCCTGGAAAGAAATGAGGGGGTGGGAAGAAAGTGGATCCCAGTTAAACCTGTATTCCCCAAGCTGGCACCCTCCAAATGCTTTGAACTAGAACTTCCATCAGCCCCAGGCATGCAAGGCAGCAAGTTCAAAATGATTTCTGCAGGCTGGTGCCTGCTAGGAGCTCAAATCTGGAGGGAAGCAGGTTGAAGGAAGTACCTGAGTTAGCTAAGCTAGAGCTTCAATATTATCATCATCATCATCAAATGTATTGCTTGCCTTTCACCAGCAAGACCCAGGGCAGGCTACAACAATGAAAGACTAAAAATAGTTAAAACACATGACAGTCATAGGAAGAACAGCGTAGTCCCTGGAAACGCACATCTCAAGTGTCAAAGGTTGGGGTAAAGAAGTGTGTCTTCAGCATTCACTGAAACCAGTGAAGAAGCCAGGCACACCTCTGCAGGTAGGGGAATTCCACAGCCTAGGGGCTGCCGCAGAGAAGGCCCTCTCACAGGTCACTCCCCTCTCGAATGTCTGAGGGAGATGGAGCAACCATGAGGGCCCCCTCTGTCGATATCAGCGCCTGAGAGGGTCTGTGAGGAAGGAGGTGGCATTTCAGATTGTTATTTATTTATGCATTATATTCCTATACCACCCTTTATCCAAGGATCACAGGGCTGTTTACAATATACAAACACAAAAATACATATCTTTGTAACAAACAAAACAGCAACCTGCTTCTTTTTAATTGAAGGAGAGTCTCCATCCCCATCATTCTGCCCAGACACCGAGGTCTAGCTCCAAGGGCCTTCTGGCGGTTCCCTCACTGCGAGAAGTGAGGTTACAGAGAACCAGGCAGAGGGCCTTCTCGGTGGCAGCGCCCGCCCTGTGAAATGCCCTCCCATCAGATGTCCCATCAGACAACTATCTGACTTTTAGAAGACATCTGAAGACAGCCCTGTTTAGGGAAGTTTTTAATGTTGGATGTTTTATTGTATTTTTAATATTTTGTTGGAAGCTGCCCAGAGTGGCTAGAGAAACCCAGCCAGATGGGCGGGGTATAAATAATAATAATAATAATAATTACAGTATTAACTGGTAGGAGTGAAAGAGAGAATTCTTAGGATGTTGCCAGAGAGCTCCAAGCGACATATGCAGTCTTTTCTTATTCCCCCTGCCGTTTCCAACCTGCAGGTGGCCTTACCTGAAGGACAAGCCATCACCTCGATGTAGTGATACGGCAGCTTCCCCCGCTTCAGTTTCTGCACCAAGTTCTGGATGTTCCGAAATCCGTATGCCAGGGCAAAATGCAAGAGGGTTTTGCCATCTTTCTCCAGCGTCACTTCCTGCAAGTCCTTGTTTCTGGGGAAGAATTAAAAGGGGTCAGGGCGGAACCAGAGATTTGCTACTGCAAAACATGGTCTCTTCAGACACGCTCCCAAGCCACTATCCCAGCTGCTCAGAGTGGAAACTGGCAGCAACGGAACATGGACGAACAGTACAACTTTGGTGGGGAAGTCAGCCTGGTTGGAAAACGAATGCTTCCTCCCAGGCCATGGCTCTCTTGCACCTTCCACGGCTGCCTGCAATGGCTGCTGGCTCTTTAGCCAGCGAGGGAGGCTGGAGCAAGGGACAGGCAGCAGCAAAGCAGCAGCAGCAGCACTCCCAATACTTCCTTACTGGAAGAGAGTGCAGGCTGGGGGAAATGGGCTGGGATAGGATTCTTGGTAAGAGCTCCAGGCGGTAATGCAATATCCTTACTTCAGTGCCTTATAGCGAACTTCTTCCACTTGAATACCGAAGAGCTCCCTTGCGGCATACTTATAGATGTGCTCCAGGTAGCCCCCAGAACCGCCTCCAGAGTGGCCGAGTAACTGCTCCTCTTCAGATACACCACCTAACCTATGGAAGGGAGAAAAGAAACAGCGTAGGGCACCATGCAAAACTCGAAATGCCCGGCTGCATGCCGATAAAGGCTAAATCCTGATTAAAGTTCTGCAAATCGAGCACATGTGAAAGAAGCAAGCCGGATGTAAGCGTAGCAAAGTTAAGCGACTTTAGATCTTACATGCTATCCAAAGGGGCAGGATTCACTTCTGATAGGGTTACCTTCTCCTGGTCCAGCAACTTCACAACTTCTCCTGAAACACAGAACAAATGCAAGGGAGTTTGCATTCTGGATGGAACGGAGGCAGGAAGCAGAGAGGAGTTACCAGGCAATGAATTAATCCTCTCTCCAGTTCAGGGATGGGGAACCTCAAGCCTAGGGACTGAGTGCGGCCCTCCAAGCTTCTCCACTCAGCGCCCCTACTCAAGAACTTTTGCTTGGCTGGAATATGTCCTAGAAATGGCATAATCCCTCTGGCTCGCCAGGATGGAGTGATGCGGGAGGTTGTATGTGTAGAAACCTCTGGCAGGATGAGGGCTGGGCTCCATTAACTCAAATGGGGCAGGGTGGAAGTAGTGGCTAATGAATGGGCAGTTGCACCTCAAGCCAGGGGAGGAGGCAAGGGAATCTTCTGGGTGTTTCTAACTCAAACACTGACTGCATCACAGTTCCTGGCTCCGCTCTACCTGTAGTAATCACACAGTCAACCTCACGGGTCTGGTGCTCTTGGATGAAGAAGTCAGGTCTGGAAGCTTCTAACTTCTTGTCGTAACAAGGCATCACTGTCACGTGGTAGATCTGGTCAGGTGTCAAGTGCTATAAATGGGGAAGAGATTGGGATACCTGATCAGCAAAAACTAGTCCTGATTTCATGTTTCTGACAGTGGCACCAGTAGGGCACCGCAAAAGACACACAAGCAAAGAATGAAGGCAATAACCACTTTCTGTTTGGTTGGTTTTTGGCCCTGGCAGGTGGCATTCAGAGGTATAAAACCTCGATCTAGCAACCATTAACTAGTAGCACCCTTTGCAAATTTGTCCAAACCAGCCTTTGCCAACCATTTACTGCCCTCCAGATGTTCAGGACTACAACTCCCATCAGCCACAATGGCACTGGCAGTGGATGATGGGAGTTGTAGTCCAAAACATCTGGAGGGATCCAGGATTGGGCAAAGGCTGGTCTAAACCCAGAGAAGTGAGAGTAGGTCATTCCATAGGGTAATAACAATACTGGGTGGTTTGAGATGGTTGCCCTTAAGAAGAAAACAGCAGCAGCAGCAGCAGCAGCACTGCCCTAGCATGGAAAGGAAAGGGTCTGAGCTCCCCTTTCTGCAGAGGATTGTTTGGGTGAGAGGGTGACCCCTTTTCTGGCTGTCTGCAGAGGTGATCTGATGGGGAGGTCACAAACTGAAGCCCAGCTGCTGCTCCCAGACTTTCTAGGACACCAGTTCCCCTGCGAAAAGTGCCTGCCACGGAACACACACTTGCTGTTTGGCAAAGTGCCTCTTGACGAGGGAGCCCATCACTTGCTGGGGAGACTTGGCTGTGCTGACGTGAGGGATGATGAAACTCCCGTGGGTTTTTTCGGCATAACAGATCCAGCCTGAAAGAGGAAGAAGAACCAACATCCTTAAGTCGCAAATCCGCCTCCAGGCTCCAAAGGCAGCATCCACCCCATCCCACTCTCCTCTAGCTGGCCTATTTATTGGAAGGAAGGTAGCTGCTACAGCATCCAAGGCAACAGCATGCAACCAGCTGTAAATAAATATTGGAATGTCCCATTTATAGTCCACAGCAGGAGCAGGGAGCCTCAGGCCCAGAAGCCAAATGTGGCCCTCCAGACCTCTCTATTTGGCCCTTGGGATTCTCCCCAGGCTACCCGCTTCACCAGTTCAGCTTTGCACCCTCTCTGAATGTTTCTGCTTGGCTGGAATGTGCCCTTGTACTCTGACAGTGACTCTTGCTTGCCTGAAAAGCAAGTGAGTGGGAGCAGGGAGGAAGCCTACTGCTTAAAGGCAAAATTCACATTCATTGTTCCACCCTCTTTTCCTTCTGGCCCCACCCATCACTGTCTTACAATCTGAGGTTCCTGGATGATGGGTAACACCAGTTGCAGGGCCCACACCCCACTCTCTCCCCCCACAACAGCCTTACCTGGGCAGGCAGCAGCCAACATAGGCAAAGCCTTCTTGTCTTCCTTTTGCCTCCGGAAGCGCTGTACAAACTCTCGCTGGCTCTCCAGCAGGCTGAAGTTCCTTGAGAAAGTCGTGTCAAAGACATAATGTACCCCTGGGACAGGGAAGGAAGAGAGGTTAGGTATTAAGGAAACCACATTTGTGGAGTGATTTCTATACAGGTGTCATTGGACCAATGATCTGACTCTGTGCAAGGCAGCTTCCTTTGTTCCAAGTGTCTTAAGCAAAGGGCTACAGCTCAATGGTAGAGGGCCTGCTTTGCATGCAGAAGGTCCCAGGTTCAATCCTCAGCATCTCTAGGTAGGGCTGAGAAAGACCCTTGTCTGAAAGCTTGAAGAGCTGCTGCCAGTCAGTGTAGACAATATTGAGCTAGCTGGATTGGTGGGCTGTTCCTAAGCTGTGTCAACTCAACACCCTCTGCAACAAGGGTGAACAAAATCATCAAGTGATAGGCAGAGATGACTTCATCTGTTTGGTCAGTTTTTTTATCTTCCCCCTGCATATTTTTTTTTTAATATAATGTTTGTAAATGTAACAGAGGGGAAAGAAATAAACGTCATCAGTTGACAATAAGTCCCAACTTAATTAATATGGGCAGTCCGTTCAAACAGACATCTAAATGAGAATGACATTTAAAAGCTATTTGTTAAAAGGGTGAAAAGGCAGCAAAATCTTCAGCCCCTGAGTAGTTTTATCCTTCCAGCCTTGTGGCAGAAATGTGATGCTCAGGAACACAGGAATCCGTTTCATCCCAAGTGTGTTTAATTACTAAATCATCAAGCTACATACTTCAGAAGAGACACTGCTGCTCACCTAAACTTTTAAAGAAAGACACCAGTTTCTTGGCTGTGTCTAAAGGAGTCAGTGAAAACTTTGCCGCCAGCGAAGCTCGGGACTGGGGAGATATGGACACCACCACCAGCTTCTGGGAAGCAGAACCTGACGTCTTAGAAAAACAAACAAGCATCAACATGAAATTAGTATTTGCTGGAGTATTTACCTTTTCTATATTGAGGTGCCCTGAGCCTTTCTGTAGCTAGCATGAAATGGCTGGATTCTTTTTAAAAACATATATATGTTGAGAATCTAGTCCCTAATGCAATGAGAAGTGGAAGACAAACACAAAAACAACCAGCAGCTTTATAACAGGTCTAGATAATTTGCTCTGAAGCCAACCAGAATGCAAACAGCTTGCTAACGTTGCTCCTGGCAGTGGAAGAAAATCCAGCCTACTCAGTGGGAAAGGGCTGTAACTCAAGGGCAGAGCAACTGCCTTGCATGCAGAAGGTCCCAAGCAGCATCTCCAGGTAAGGCTTAGAAATTCCCTTGCTGGAAACACTGGAGAGCCACTGCCAGTCAGTGCAGATGGACCAATGGTCTGGCTTTCTGTATAAAGCAGCTTCCTACCTTTATGTCCCTAGACCAGACCCCTATAGCTGCCTTCTCCTGCACAAGTGGGCAAGAAAGAGTTCATCTTCCAGGTCCTCAGGTCCTATGACTCCCATGCTGACAGTATCAACAACTTACTTTATTGGTATTTAAGACCCTGAGGAGTTCCTCGTGGCTCTGCTGTGTGATTAAGACACTCTCCGCAGACGTGATGCAGCCGCTACATGCCAAGCAGTCATTGAGGGTGATTTTGGCCTTCTCAAGCTTTTGTGACCCTCCGTCCTGAAAGGGAGAGTAGGTCAGAGGGGATGGAGATCGGCTTCCAAGCGTTCCTGAAAAGTACTTCCAGCTTTCACTAGCGGTCATTCAGGGGTTACCTCCCCACCATCTGACGATGATGTTGGAGATTTTATAAATGAAAGCTTCACAGAGGGGCCCAAGGACTGTAACAAGTTTTGGCTCCAGACTGTAGGGCCAAACATGAGAGATTTGCAGTCCAAAGAGCAGAAGGGAGTAATTGCTCTTTTGAGAGCATCCATTAACCAGGGCAATTTTCTTCACTACAACTGAAAAGGTCCTCCTTCCTGGAGGGCTGTTAACCAACTCTGCAACTAACTCCCTTTCCAAGAGGCTTCTGAACTCCTAGCTGGGGCTGCAGAGCTGTAACCGCTGATCCCCAAACCTATTTTGTATCTCTTATAACAGGGATTTAGCTTACTGTACAAGAGGCACAGCAATGGCATCACCCGCTTTCACCTCTGGCCCTGCCCACCACTGCCACGTGGCCCCCAGAAGCTTGATGGTGGAATGCAAAAACACACAGCTTAAAAAAAGCTTCCCCACCCCATCTTATGATGTGATCAAACTGAGGAGGGGAAACTTTACCTTGTCAACTTGAATGTAAGTCCCATCATCTTCAATGCGGATCTTTGCTGCTGCTTTCCCAAGCTTCTTCTCAACTTTGATGGGTTTTATGCAATCCTGAAAGGAAAGCGAACTACTGAAAATAAACACCAAAACACACACACACCACAATCCGTACTTCAGGAAGAAGCAGCAGTGTTTCCTCCTAGACTCCCACTGGACAGTTCAGAAATCCCTGCATCAGGCATTGATAACTGGTTGGTAATGCCAAGTTTATTCCCCACCCCGTCACACCCACACCCCATGGTTGGGATAAAACAACTTACCCCTTACAGGATCACTGTGAGGTTTGCCAGGAGAAAGAATGGATGCACTTTACTTTGGACACTTTACATTTTTCATTACATTTAAAACCAGTCCCATCTTCAATTTGCTAAGGCCAGAACCTTTGATTCCTTCCTTCCTTCCCATGACAACCCTGACCAGACCAAGGCCACCCAATGAGTCTCCAATAGCTGAGAAGGGATTTGAACCCAGGGACGCAGGTGGCGCTGTGGATTAAACCACAGAGCCTAGGGCTTGCCGATCAGAAGGTCGGCGGTTCGAATCCCCGCAACAGGGTGAGCTCCCATTGCTCGGTCCCTGCTCCTGCCAACCTAGCAGTTCAAAAGCACGTCAAAGTGCAAGTAGATAAATAGGTACCGCTCCGGCGGGAAGGTAAACGGTGTTTCCGTGCGCTGCTCTGGTTCGCCAGAAGCGGCTTAGTCATGCTGGCCACATGACCCGGAAGCTGTACACCAGCTCCCTCGGCCAATAAAGCGAGATGAGCGCCGCAACCCCAGAGTCGTTCGCCACTGGACCTAATGGTCAGGGGTCCCTTTACCTTCCCTAACCTGACCCTCTCATCATGACAGCACCCTGGCCCCGCATATTGGGGCCGCTCACTCTGAGCCTCAGCAATGGGCGCGCATGCGTGTGCTGCTACTGCTGGCCTACCTCACATGGTTGTTGTAAGGTTTGCAAAGAATACGACACGGGACCGGCCCCAAATGCCTGTATCCTTCTCATTCTCCTGCCTCCACTTTCTCTCTTCCTCCTCCCCCGCCCCACTCACTTGCGAGGGCCCGATATAGTCGTCCAGGTCCGTCAACTGCAGGACTCCGCTGAAGGGCGACACAGCCGCAGCCATCTTCGCATCTCCCTTCCCCGCCACACTGCCGTAAAGCTCCGACGAGGAAGTATATGCTCGTACAACACTGCCTGATAAGCGATTTCCGCCACACTGTCGCAAAACGACCAAGGCGAGAGAAAGAGAAACGCGGAGATATATAATGTAGAGTAGCCCCGTCACCCGCTTAATGAGGGCTCCCGGTGTTACCTTGGCGTCCGTGTTGTCTAGGTTTTTTGCCCGCAGAAATAGACGGAGAAACCAACCGATTTAGACCTGGTTTTCAGCAACCTGCCTATTGATTTCTATGGCCATTTTATACGTATTCACTCGGGGAAGGAAGGTGGAGAGAAACCCGGGAGTTGAGCCCTATATGTCAATCTACATTAGTCTATAAAGGAAGAAAAGAGAACTTCCAAAGAGTTAGAGGTAGAGTGCTCAAGGTAACGATCACTTCAGGTTCCCGATGGCAGCGGGGCAAAAACCAGTGAAATAATCCACCTGAAATCTTAAACCGAATTAGGCTTGAAGAAGAGCCTGCATTGAGGGGATGAGCCTGTCGTGCAGAAGTTAGAGTGAAGGCCCTGGGCGGCCAGAGTTCAAATCCCTACCCAGCCACAGTGAACCTCAGGAGGGTGACCTTGGTCCAGTCAATCACTATCTCACCCTAGCCTACCTCACAGGGTTCTGTTGAGGATAAAATAAGGAGGAGAACTTCATAGGATGCCATCTGGAGCTCCTTGGAGGAAAGGTGGAATATAAATGAAATAATAATCCTTCTGAGTTTTGGATGGTGGTTGCTGGAAACCACAGGAGGGGAGAGTGCGCTTGAGCTCAGGTCCTGCTTTCAAATTCCCCACTGGAGAAGATTGGAAGAAATTTAAAGATTATCTACAGAAACATTGCAAAATCAAAGAATGTTAGAGTGATGATGGATTGAAATTAAGTGGTTTCTAGCTGTACAGGCGTTAAAGTTATATATAGACTAAGATTAAGGATTAGGCATAAAAAGGTTAGAAGAACGGAAAATTGGCTATTAATAGATAAGAATTTATACCATATTAAGATTAAGGATTGGGATTAAAAAAGAGGGAAAGAAATTGCTGGACAAACAAATTGAACTGGAATACAAAAGAGGGAGGTACGAGGAGGTCCAGAAAATAAGTAAATTCAAAAGTGGTGATGAAAAGGTGGTATTGTTTTTAATAGTTTTTTCTTTTGTTTTGTTTTTTGTATTGTGTATTTTTGTATTGTGTATTTTTCTTTTTACTTTTAATTTTCATTTACTGATGTGTTCTGTTTTTATTGGAAACTTTAATAAATATCATTTAAAAAAAAGACAAAAAACAAATTCCCCACTGGGCCTCTGGATGGCTACATGGACCCCACTGACTTGATGCATAAAGCTCTGGATGTCACAAACAAATAACTAACTAACATACATCCTATCCTTTCCTCCTCGCTTCATGGCTCCCGTATTAACTTTTGGGATAAAACTCTGAGCTTTTTTAAAAAAAAACACCTGTAATCATGTGCATCGAAAACTGGGTTATGTCTGCTTCGGTTACCCAGTGCATAAGAAGCTCATAAGCTCTCTGCCGCCTTGTTGTTGTTGTTGTTGTTGTTGTCTGCGGGGGGCTGCCTGCGAACCAGCTCTGGGATCCTCACGCAAGATATTGCAGAGACATCTAAGCGTCTCGGAGCTGGTGCTCCAAACAGGCCTTTAGAACCTTCACTCCTGGCTTAGATTATGAGCCCCTTGGGGACAGATATTTACATGTGGACAAACTGCTTCAAGTCATAACTCATAAATTGAAATAATACCCACTCGAAGCCTACAGGACTTGGAATCTTGGAAAGTGAATGTTTGGGCCTAAAAATAACCCCAGTGTTTGGGCAGCTCTAATAGCAGCTCTAAGCTTAAGGAAAGTGCAGAAAATGCAATAAAATTACTCTGGAGGATGCCAAATCCAGCTAAAATACCCTTTTTATTAAATAGGTAAAGGTAAAGGGATCCATGACCATTAGGTCCAGTCGTGGCTGACTCTGGGGTCGCAGCGCTCATCTCACTTTATTGGCCGAGGGAGCCGGTGTACAGCTTCTGAGTCATGTGGCCAGCATGACTAAGCCGCTTCTGGCGAACCAGAGCAGCGCACGGAAACGCCGTTTACACCTTCCCGCTGGAGCGGTACCTATTTATCTACTTGCACTTTGACATGCTTTTGAACTGCTAGGTTGGCAGGATGAGGGACCGAGCAATGGGAGCTCACCCTGTAGCGGGGATTCGAACCGCCGACCTTCTGATCGGCAAGACCTAGGCTCTGTGGTTTAACCCACAGTGCCACCCGCGTCCCTTTTATTAAATAGGCTGCAGCTAATAGGAACATGATGTACAGCTGCCACATTTTGTTTTCAAAACCTCTGGCTTGTCCCTCGAGTATGTTTCTGAGCATATTCAAAGTGCTTTTCCCTGAGCATAACACAAATGGTTTCTGTTAGTGCCTAAAGCAAGGTTGGGGATCATCTGTGACCCTCCAGAAGTTGCTGGACTACAACTCCCATTGTCCCTGGCCATTGGCTGTGCTGGCTGCTCATATTATGATCCAGTTTGGGGGCGGAACTAGATAGCGAATTTTAAACAACAGCTTTGCTGTGTGTGTCAAAGTGATCAGGCTTGAGACCCACAGCCAGCCCCAAGTATTTTCTTTGCAATGGGAATACCAGGATAAACAACCAGGCCATAAATTGAGGTCTTCCTTTGCAAGGGAATAAACAAATAACCAGACCAAAAATAAAAGTTAGAAGCTTTATTTCCTTAAAAAAGTGTTACACAGCATAAGATGTTATTTTCCTTGTGGAGTTTAAGGACTCATTCACTTTCCTTTGCTCCATATTGCTAGGTGCAGTCTGGGATTTCTAGGTCCACGTTTGAGCACTTTTCTTTCCCTCTCACTAATTTCTCCATGAAAACATGCTCTTTACCACTGAATCGGAGGAAATGGCAATCCAGGGGAAAACCAAATTACCATTTGTTCCGATTCAGTGCTAAAGAGTGGGTTTTCCTGGGTGAAGTGGCGGGGCGGGGGAGCTCTGGGACACAGACTGGGAAAGTGCAGGCCTCAGCCTAGAAAGTGCAAGGAAAAAGGTGTGTGTGGCTGAGCCCTGACTGTGGGCGAAAGGGAAACAGAAGTTGAAGTTAGGATATTAACCTACTTAGCACACTACCTCTGAATATTCATGAACATTGAATATATCAGACCCTCCAAGTGTCCCTATTTTCCAGAGGCAGTCCCGGATTTACAGAAGCCATCCTGGTTTCTGATCTGATCCTAGAATGTCCCACTTTTCCTTAGGACATCCCTATTTTCATTGGAGGAATGTTGGAGGGTATGGAGTTATGCAACCCCCGAGTCCCCTGAAAGCAGCCCTGTACAGGGAAGTTTTTGTAATGTTTAATGTTTTATTATGATTTTATATATGTTGGTAGCTGGGGTAGGGTATAAATTAAAAAATTAAAAAAATTCATTTTATCATGATGATGATGATGGAATAGGATGTTCCTATTTTCATCAGAGAAATGTTGGAGGGTATGATAAATTCACACACAAGTATACCAAGGGTCCAAGCTAAGAATCATTTAGAGAATGAAAGGTGAGTGCATTCCCCAAGACACCAGCAAGTGAGAGTGCTGAAAATCCTTCATTAGATAACCACCTAATTGTGGAAGGAATTTGTGGAAGGAACATGGCTCACTTTACATGCAGAAGGTCTCAAGTTCAATCTCTGGCAGTTCCTGGGAGGAGTGAGAAATACGCCCTGCCTGAAGCTCTGGAGAACTGCTGCCAATCAGTGCTGGCAGTACTAAACTAGTTCACCAATGCTCCTACTCAGTATAAGGCAGCTTCCTATGTTTCACATCAATTGTGTCTACATGCCTAATAAGGTTCTGCAATTGGCCATTGAATACATTAAATCACCATGTATTGTTCTCAAAAGCACAAAGGACCCAGCTTTTTATTACCTGCACAAAGTTTGCAAGTGGATTGAATTCTTTAAGGGTGGAGGCAGAGTTTGGAGGGTGGAAAAACACAATGGTTGGTGGGGCACCAAGAAACATCCAGCTGCTTTTCCAAACTCAGGTGTACAGAAATAAGGAATGTTTACTAAGAAATATTAAATATTTTGCAAAACATTATGGATAGCAAGGTTGGATTATAGGAAAACAGTTGTAAGAAAGTAAGGGAGGACAAGGGAGGTGGAAAACAGGATTGGATGGGTCCATGCATATGAAGGGGCACCTCCATAGATGTCCCCTGTGGTGTTTCCAAGGATGTGAATTGCAGCACCACCAGTGTGGTTACCTGTTGCACCAGTAGGAATGGGAGTTGCAGAACCACCATTGCCGTTGCCTGTTGTGCCACCAGGGATGTCGGTTGCAGAACCAGCAGGAATGTAGCCTGTTGCTGCTCTTGGGGTGTGAGTTACAGAACCACCTGTGAGACTACCTGTTGCACCACCAGGAATATCAAATTCAGAGACAGGAGGAATTTTGCCTGTTGCACTACCAAGAATTTGAGTTGCTGCATCCCCGGGAATATGAGTCAAATCACCACCAGATACATTCTCTGTTGCGCTACCAGGGATTTGGGAGACATCCCCACCATTGATGTCTGGAGTTGCACCACCAGGAAGGTCAATTGCAGAGCCATTGGGGATGTTGCCTGTAGTGCCACTAGGGATGTCAGATGCAGCAGCACCACGCATGTTGCCCGTTGCTGTAACAGGGATCTGAGTTGCATCACCACCACTGATGGTGCCTGTTGTGTGATGAGGAATTTGAGTTGCAGAACTACCAGGGATGTTGCTTGTGGCACCACCAGTTATGTCGGTTGCGGAACCACCAGTGATGCTGCCTGTTGCTCCACCAAAGATTGATGGAGCACCATGAGGGATGTTGCTTGTTGCTGGACCATGGATGTTGCCTGTTGCATCACTAGTGATGCCATGTGCAGAAGCACCAGCAGTGTTTCCTGTTACGCCATGAGGTATCTCTGTTGCAAAACCATCATCAGTGTTGCCTCCCATGTCTACAGAGTTGTGATTTGCAGAACCTCCAGAGATATTGCCTGTTGCACCACTGGGGATGTCAGTTGCAGAACCACCAGTGAAGTTGCCTCCTATTTCTCCAGGGATGTGTGTTGTAGGACCACCAGGAATGTTGCCTGTTGTACCACCAGCAGTGCCAATTGCAGAACCACCAACAGTGTAGCTCCTTGTTGTTTTGCCTACAGAGATGTAAGTTTCAGAACCACCAGCAATGCTGTCTGTTCCCTCTGCAAGGATGACAGTTGCAGAACCACCAGGAATGTTGCCTGTTGCACCAACAGTAATGCCACTTGCAGAACCATCGAGGATATCGTTTGTTGTGCCACCAGGGATGAATGTTGGAGCAGCATGTGGTATGTTGCCTGTTGCTGTGATTCCAGTGTCTGTTGCAGCACCATCAGGAATGTGACCTGTAGCACCAACAGTGCTGTCAGTTGCAGAACCACCATCAATGTTGCCCTCTGTGCCTACAGAGTTGTAAGCTGCTGAACCCCCAATTTCTGTTGAACCACCAGCAGCATTGCTTCTTGTGCCTATAGAGACGGGAGTTAAAGAACCATCAGTGCTGCTGCCTGTTGCCTCTCCAAGGATGCCAGTTGTGAATCCACCAGGAATGTTTCTTGTTGCACCACTAATAATATCAGCTGCAGAACCATCAGCACTATTGCCTGTTGTACCTACAGAGATGTGAATTGCAGAACCACCAAGGATGTTAGTTGAAGGGATGTTGTCTGTTGCTGCACCAGCAATATCAGTTACAAAACCACCAGTGAGGTTGTCTCCTGTTTCACCAGGGACACGTGTTGTAGGACCATTAGGAATGTTGCCTGTTGCTGCACCAGCAGCTTCATGGATGTTGCCTGTTGCTGCACCATGCATGTCAGTTGCAAACCAGCCAGCAATGTTGTCTCTTGTGCCTACAGAGATGTGAGTTGCAGCACTACCAAGCATGTTGCCTGTGATGCCATGAAGGATGTCGGTTGTAGCAGCATCAGGAATGTTGTCAGTTGCTGCACCAGCAGTCTCAGCTTCAGAACCACCATCAAGGTTGCCTGTTGTGCCTACAGAGATATGAGTTACAGAACCACCAAGGATGTTGCCTATGGCTCTAATAGGAATGTCCATTGCACCAGCAGTGTTGCTTCTTGTTGTGCCTACAGAGATGTGAGTTTCAGAACCACCAGCAATGCTGCCTGTTGCCTCTCCAAGGATGTCAGTTGTAGAACCATCAGAGCTGTTCCCTGTTCCTCCACCAAAGATGTCTGCTGCAGCACCATCAGGAATGTTGCTTGTTGCTGTACTAGCACTGTCATTTGCAGAACCACCATCAGTGTTGCCTGCTGTGCTTACAGAGTTGTGAGTTGCAGAACCTTCAGAGACATCTCCTGTTGCACCACCAGGGATGCCAGTTGCAGAATGACCAGCAGTGTGTTCTCCCATTTCACCAGGGATGTCAGTTGCAGAACCACCAGCAGTGTTGCTCCTTGTGTCTATAGATACATGAGTTGCAGAACCAAGGATGTTGTTTATGGTACCACCAGGAATGTTAGTTGCAGCAGCATTGCCTGTTGCACCATCAGGGGTGTCAGTTGCAGAACCACCAGAGATGTTGCCTGTTGCTGCACCAGTGATGCCAGTTGCAGAGCCACTATAGGGATTGCCTCCTGTTTGGCCAGGGATATGTACTGTCAAACCACCAGGAATGTTGCCAGTTGTGCCTACAGAGATTTGAGTAGGGAAACCACCAGTTATGCCGCCTGTTACACCTCCAGGTTTGTCAGTTACAGCACCATCAGGAATGTTGCCTGTTGCACCATGGGTTATCTGAGTTGCAGAACCACCATCAGTGTTTCCTGCAGTGGCTACAGAGTTGTGAGTTACAGAACCTACAGGGAAACTGCTTGTTGCATCATCAGGGATGCCAGTTTCAGAACCACCAGCCAAGTTGCCTCCTGTTTCACCAGGGATGTGCGTTGTAGGACCACCAGGAATGTTGCCTGTTGCATCACCTGTGATGTGAGTTGCAGAACCATCAGCTGCATTGACTCTTGTGCCTACAGAGATGTGAGTTGCAGAACCACCAGTGATGTTGTTTGTTGTGTCACCAGGGATCTGAGTCACAGAACCATCCAAGATGTTGCCTGTTGCTCCGCCAGGGATGTTAGTTGCAGAACCTGAAGTTATGTTGCCTGTTGCCTTACCTGGGTTGTCAGTTGCAAAACCACCAGTGAGGTTGCCTCCTGTTTCTCCAGGGATGGGCCTTGTAGCACTACCTGCTGCACCTCCAGGGATGGGAGGCTCTGTATCACCAAGGATCCTGCCTGTGGCACCTCCAGCAATGTCAGTTACAGTACCACCATAGATGTTGCCTGTTGCCCCAACAGGAATGTGAGTTGCAGGGCCACCAACAACATTGCCTGGGACATTAATTACAGCATCCCCAAGAATGTTGCCAGTTGCTGCTCCAGGAATGTGAGTTGCAGCACCACCAAGGAAGTTTCTTGAGATGCCTCCACTTCCAAGGATGAGAGTGGTGGTCTGTCTCGAGATGTAGGATGCAGCCCCTCCTGGCATCCCTCCTGTGCTTCCTGCAGGGTGGAGAGTTGCCGCACTGCCAGTGGTGCCTCCTTTCTGCCTCCCAGGGATAAAGGTCGCAGCGCTCTGCGTGTCCCCTGTGGCAGCTGCAGAGGCATCAGTTGCAACAGTGGTGGCATCTCCAGGACCATGAATTGCAGCTTCTTCAAAAGTGTCCCCTTTGGTTGTTTCAGGGGAATTGGCTATAACACTTGTAACATTTTGAGTTTCAGCAGCTCCAAGGATATTGCCTAGAGTGCCTCCGGGGATGTCATCTGGGGCTTGTTCAGGGATTTGCATTGCTGAAAACGAAAATGAAAAAAAGAGAGAAAATAATCAGTTTGGAAACTTCTGAGCCAAGTGGACCAACAATCCAACTTGGTGCAAGGCTGCTTCCTGTGTTCCTATGTTCTGCTCACTTTTCTTCTTCTTAAGAACTTCATTCTATTATTCATACCTACCTTGCATCACTTCTTTATCCGCCTTCCCTGAAACCCAGCCTTTCTTTGACCCTTCCTTTTGATCTGGGTGCATTTTTCCTTCTAGAGGTCCATAACTCTCCTCCCTCCCTCCTCTAATGTAGTATTGTAAACATCTGGCCCTCCAAACCTCTTTATGTGGCCCTCAGGACTCTCCTACATCACACCCTCTTCCCAGACACTCCCACTCTCTTCAGGCCACACCCATCACTGTCTCTGCTTCACATCCAGGTAGGGTGGGGAGAGACTCCCTGCCTGAAACCCTGGAGAGCCTCTGCCAGTCACTGGAGACAATACTGAGTTAGATGGACCAATGATCTGACTTGGTATAACTGTGTGTCACTATGCCTAATAAGTCCCGCTGAACTGCCTAACATTAACTCGCTATGTGGGCTGAACTCTTTTAGGGGTCAGGGGAGAGGAACAGAATGGTGGGGGAGGCACCCAGCAATGTCCAGCTGCTTTTCCACACTGAGATGTTCAGAAATAAGGAATGTTCAGCAATAAATATTAAATATTAGATGATAGAGCTTACACCAAACCCTTCCTTCTACTGCTACTAAGGAAAATAAGATTTCTGAAGAAAAGAAGGGGAAATGCTTTCTACAGAAGCTACACACGGTCCTCTTTTCACACAACAACCTACATCTTTATTTGTGGTTGCCATAAGGCCAGAATTTCCCGGACATGCACGGAATATTGCAGTTGACAGCAGTGTCTGGACAAAAATCGGGGAAATGTCCGGGAAAATCCAGATATATGGCACTCCATGTTGGCAGTGTCATTTTTGCCGATTTTCCATAAGATTTTGTCAAAAAAACCCCAGCTCAACAACTTTTCTGTCCAAATCTTCATTGTTTAAAATATGGCAATCCCATTTTGTACAAATTTCACGGTAATGTGAAGCTAGAAGGATACCAGAATACTTTGATGTGCACCATTGGCTGGACGGATGATTTATTGCATGATAAATATATTCTGTGTAATCAAACACAACAAATTCAAGATTCCAGAGTAGCAGGATGCTAGAAAACTGCTATCAGTTAATCTGGAAAGACACTGATACACAACACTGTAGTCTGATTCCAAAGAGTGTCTCTTATTTAGGCAAATTTGCAGGTGGGTTGTGAAACAGAGGTGCACTATGGGGAAATGGTTACAATAAAGCAAGGGAGGAGAAGGCAGGCGAAAAATAGGACTGGGTGAGTCCATGCATATGCAGGGGCACCTCCAGAGACATTTCCAGGGTTGTGAGTTGTATTGCCAGCAGCGACAGAAGTTGCTCCCGGGATACTCTGACTGTATGCTGTATCCCTTCCAGGAACGGGAGCTGTAGTTTTTCCAGGAATGTTGCTGTTTGAGCTTCCATGAACTGAAGTTTCAGTAGCTCCCGGGATGTGAGTTGCAGAACCAGCAGGGATGTTGCTTGTTGCTCCACCAGGGAGGTCAATTGCACCACCACCAGTGGTGTTGCCTGTTGCCCCTACGGAGATGTGAGTTGCAGCAGCATGAGGGGGTTTGCTTGTTTCTCCACCACGGATGTTGGTTGCAGAACCACCAGGGATGTTGCTTGTTGCTCCACCAGGGACTTGAGTTGAGGCTCCTCTAGTAACGTTGCTGGTTGTGCCTCCAGGGATGTGAGTTGTACCACCACCAGGGATGATGCCTGTAGAATTTCCAGGGATGTGGCCCGTAGCACTCTCAGGGCTGTGTGTTGTAGGAGCAGCAGGGACGCTGCTTGTGGTGCCTCTTGTGACGTCAGGGGTATTGCTTATGGCACTTCCAAGGGTGGGAGTGGTAGTCTGTCTCGAAGTGCAAGATGCAGACCATCCAATTGTCCGTCCTGTGTTGCCTCCTGGGTGGAGAGTTCGGGCACTGCCAGAGATCCCTCCAGCCTCTCTCCCAGGGAAGAGGGTTGAAGCACCTCCCTGGATGGCCCCTGTGGCAGCTGCAGGGACCTCGGTTGGAAGAGTGGTGGCATCTCCAGGACTGCGAGATGCAGATTGCCCAGGGGCATCACCTGTGACATTTGCAACGTTCTGAGTTTTGGCACCTCCAGGGGGGTGATTTGCCGTTCTTTCAGGGATTTGTGTTGCTGCTGCAAATGGAAAGAGAGGAAGTATCAGTTTGGGAGCATGTCAACTAAGAGGACCAACAATCTGACTTCCTACGTTCTGCTCACTTTTCTTCTTTGTTTTGGTTGCTAAGAAGGGAATGCCACCCTCAGACTGAAGGAAGACCCTCCCCCTTAGTAATGAAAGGTTACCTGTGGGTTTGGGTTGATGATCACCCAGGAGGCAAAGGCTTTTGACCTCTGCAAGTTCTTCCTGCCGTTTAGTAAGGCTGGGGTGAAGTGCGACGATCTCCTTCATTCTGCGATTAAAAAATAAGTTTTGAAGCAGCAGTGAGGCATTTTTTTAGAGTGGGACCTTTTGAGCAACATTCTAGGAGGCTCTGTTCAGAAATTTATCTATTCCCCCCTCGTTCATTCATTCTCTCTCTCTCTCTCTCTCTCTCTCTCTCTCTGTCCTATCATTTACAACAACATTCAAGGTGATATGATATAGGGGTGGATGAATCTGTCAATGTTGGTTTTTCTCAGTTTCTCATTTTTTTCCAGTCTTAAGTTCCACCCCATCAGTTTGCAATATTTGTTTATTTGTTTTTAAAAGTCCTCATGAAAATTAAGTGTTTTAGTGCTTATGTCTCCTAGTTTTTGTACTCAGTCTTGCCCCATATGCACATTTTTACAAGCCACCCTTTCTTCTGCATTTCTGAATGTTATTTTCAGTAATAGATGCCTTTTCTTTCTTTTTTTGCACACTTTCCCCCCACCCATATTACGCCACCTCTGACATACGTGGAATGGAAGAGTTCACATGTTGCCTTGGAGGATGATTGGGGGTGGTGGGATGTCCCCAGAGTCGGTAGGAAGTTGGAGAGCAAAAGGTGGTAGACTTCATTCCACTGAGAGGAGTCCATTGAACCTCCTCCTTTCTTGAGGAAGAGAAATACATTGTCCAAAAGCTCTTGCTGGCTTTCAGGGGTGAGAGCAGCCAGTGGGGAAGGTCCTTGACACATAGACAAGATTTCTGCGGGCTTGTAGCTCTGCGTGGAAGACACAGGGATGAAAGAAGTGGGCTTCACAACAGTCCAGAGAAAGAAAGAGCTTTTAGGATTTCTGTAGGGTGTGCCAGTGGTATGCTTAGGCTCAACAGACTTGTTCACAAAACATATCAAGAGATATGAATGTAGGGAGGGAGCTGGCTTTCACAAGCCCGTTCCACTAGATTACACGTTGATGGAAAGCACAAAATAGAGCCTATCGGCAGATCCACACCATACATTGGACGCACATTGGACATACATTGAAGAACACAAGAACAGCTTACTGGATCATGCCAATGGCCCATCTAGTCTAGCATGCTGTTCTCACAGTGACAAACCAGATGCCCATTGGAAACCCGCAACAGGATCTGAGCACATGAGCACTCTCCCCTCCTGTGGCTGCAACTAAAGTACCTCACTTCCCCCCCACCAAGAATCCTGGGAACTGTAGTCCCACCTCACAGAGCTACAATTCCCAGCACCCTACCAACTACAGTTCCCAGGGTTCTTTGGGGAAAGACACATGCTTTAAATATGCATTAAAGATGTTTTAATGCACGGTGTGGATCTGTCCTGTGTTTGGCTATGAGATGCTCTTCAGTGACATGCACCAGCAAATTGTGTAGAAGTCATCCAAAACAGGCACAAAAAGGAACACTGTCTTATCAAGGAGAGGTATCAGAAAGTTGGAACACGTAGATCAAGTGAGACTGTGGCCAAGGAAATAGATTTTAGCACATCACAAAATGGCATGGGAACACACACACACACACCAACCTTACCTTGCAGGGAGGGCCTTTGAGCCTGGACAAATATTCACGGAGCGAGCCATAGTTTTTAAAGTTCTTCACGACCCCAAGAGCCAGGCTGGCCAGGGTGGAGTTGTGCAACATCTGGGCAATGACAGTTAAGTCAGCTGCTTGGGCTGGGCTGAGGGCAGAAGGGTTCTCCATCTGCGGATTAATTATAAGGAATTACTGTAGGAAGACTGGAAGCTTTGGAACTAGACTGGCTTGCTTGGGACCACTTCTGGCAAGACCCATTTCATTTCCAGAGAAGGCCTGGCTACCTCTGATACATCAGCTTCATATCTGGGCTTCATCGAAAGTGGATGTGCACCCCTAGTCTGCATCATTTCCTATGCAATCCGTTTTCACTTATGTCTATTCACCCGGTCAAATGCCATTTATCAAGTTTTGTGCCAGACTTTGCTTTGTCTTACTTGAAGGCTTCCATTATTCCCAGTGGTGATGGTGCCCTGGAACACACCAGGCATGGGAGATGGAGATGGGCCATTTAAGATAATTATTATATAAGTAATGAGGGTGTGTGTCTGTATCAAATTCCAGGTTACATACAAAGCTGCCTTATATTAACTCAGGGCAATGGTCCATCTGGCTCAGTACAATCAACAATGACTGGAAGAGGCTCTCATGATTTTAAACAGGAGCCTTTCTCAGCCCTACCTGGAGATGCTGGTGATCCAACCTGGGCCCTTTGGCATGCAAAGCAGGTGCTCTGCAACTGAGGTGTGCTCCTCTCGCTATTGCCTGGTGTCATGGACTAGTTAGACACAGAAGAATGGTGGGAGGAATAAGCTGAGGCTCAGAACCCAGGGATTGCTGGTGAGACGACAATAAGTGGACACAGGGAGAAGAAGAAGAAGACTGGAAGGAGGAGGTGTTGAAAGCTGAAGAGGTAACAGGGCTTAGTAAGTCTGTGGCAGAGAAGTCCAGAACTGGAGGCTGGAGAGGAGGGAGGCCAAGAGGCAGAGAAGAGTCTGGCATGTATGTCTTCCCCTCCTGCTGCAACGAGTTCCCTTGCCCCTTGGTCTCCCAGAACAAGAAGAAGCATTAAAAGGATGATGAGAAGTTAGCTTCATGCAGGTGCAATCTCCAATTGCTTGGGGGAAAACCCTGGAGAGGAAGGGACTTAAGCAGCTGTGGGGAGGTGGGGACCTTCAGACTCAGTGACTGCTTCATGGGAGCATGGGACCTACCGGAGATGAGCTGCTGTGCTCGTTAGGCCTGTGCAGATGCTGTTTTTGCTAATAAAGAATTACTCCAACCTGCTCGGTGTGATTTATTGCTGGCTCACACCTGTCACCCGCACACACTAGACCTTTTCCTAGTAATCAGGCTGCCCTTGAGTGTGTACAAAAGTTCAGATTCTTAGCTAGTGGTCCCGTTCTGCAAAAACACCCCACTTTCTAATAATGGGGGGGGTCTTGGACTAAAGGATCAGATGTCAAGGAAAATCTGGAAGCACCCTAACCATATTTGGTATCCCATCAGTGAGAGCCTTTATAGACAGTTTAAAAATTCACTCAAGGTCATGCTACCAGAGTCTGGTTCCAGCTTCAAAGCACTGTTTCGGATAGGTCAGTACGTTTCCGAGCATAATTCAAAGTGTTGGTGCTGACCTTTAAAGCCCTAAACAGCCTCGGCCCAGTATACCAGAAGGAACGTCTCCACCCCCATCATCCAGCTCTGAGGGCCTTCTGGCAGTTCCCCCCATGCAAGAAGTGAGGCTACAGGGAACGAGGCAGAGGGCCTTCTCAGTAGTGGCGCCCGCCCTGTGGAACGCCCTCCCATCAGATGTCAAGGAAATAAACAACTATCTGACTTTTAGAAGACATCTGAAGGCAGCTCTGTTTAGGGAAGCTTTTAATGTTTGGTGTTTTATTGTGCTTTTAATTCTGTTGGGAGCCACCCAGAGTGGCTGGGGAAACTCAGCCAGATGGGCAGGGTAAAAATAAATTATTATTATTATTATTATTATTATTAGCCTGGACCTCTGTTGTTTTTGTATGAAGACCGTTGCTTCCTTTTCCCCTTAAACCTGTGAGGTTGTTCCTACCTTGGTCCCATTTTACAGATGGGCAATTGAGACTGAGAAAGCAGCAAAGCTTGCCTACACTTTTCCTCCAACTGAGTTGTGATTGGATTTGAGAGTTGTTAGGAGACCCCCCTCAAAGAGATACAATTCTCAGCACCTTGGGGAAACTATAGTTCCCAGGATTCTTTGCAGGAAGCCATGACTGTTAAAGTGGCGTAAGAGTGCTTTAAAAGTGTGGTGTGGATGTGACCAGAACAGGTCACTATTCTGTCTGCACATCCAGCCTTGGCCACCGCTCCAGGTCTGCAATTAGGCGTGGCTTCCCTAGGTGCTATTGGTCACAACTAGCACAGCTATAAATGAACTTCACCACACCTCCATGTTTGGATTTCAGCCTAATATTGTTAACAGAGCAAATTCTGTGCAGGTCTACTCAGAAATAAACTAAGTGGAGCATACTCCCAGGTTGCAGCCTAAGAGATGTGGGGCTTCATCTACTGTCAGAATAGACACATTGAAATTAATGGAGATGATGAGCCTGAATCCATTAATTCCAATGGGTCTAATCCGAGTAAAATTTAATTGAATGCAACCAATAAAGAATCTTCACTTTTACAAACCTATTTATGGAGTATAAATCCATTTATTCATTCCTGCTGTAGATACTGCCTACCCCACTCTCCCCCACACAAGACTGTGGCTGATGGGGGTTGTAGTCCAAAAGAGTCTGGAGGGCCACAGGTTGGCAAAAGATGCTTTTAAGCTTAGTTCAATCAGTAGCAATCAGTTGGTCGAAATGCTCAGTATCCCATGTAGGGCTGCCCTAATCAGTTCCAGTTCTTCCCCGTTTCTCATTTTTCTAATCATTTTGTGTTTGTTTGTTTTAATTTTGGTTAAGCCCTTATTAAAATTCAGAAACATTTTAGTGTATATTTCTCCTAACATACACGTTTTTTATACAGTTTTCCTTGATGAGCATGTTTGTGCAAAGCAATTCCCCCTAGCATAATGCATTTTTGCATGCTATCCTTTACTCCTATATTCATTTTTAGGCCTGCATTGCCCCATTTTTCGTATATATTGCTTGGGTGGAGCACTGGATTGTAAAATCTGGAGCGGTGCAAAGTTCAAAGGATACCACTGGGTTTCTGTTAATATATTGTTGCAGAAACTGCAAGTGAAATGTGAATTGAACTGAATTTCTACTCCATCCCATGTCTGATCCCACCTTTCAGGGGCATGGGTGTGGGGTTAAAAGGACCACATTACTAATATGTGTGTGTGCGTGTCTGTTCTTAAAGAAAACACCACCATGAAACATACCAATTCAGCTGTTTTCAACATTATTATTATTTTATTAATTGAGCAGATCAGCAGAACCACATAATAAAGAGCAGGTAGAGAAACAATGCTCTGGATATCAGCAACCATTTCCAAAACACAGAAAAATCATGTTTGATTTAGAACAGTTGTTACATGGTTAAATACAGTGTTCTTTTTAAAATATGTAAGGAAGATACCCACCCCAAAAAAACCCTTCTTGCTTAAATTTTGACAGAATTCATGGGTGATTTTCCATGTCCATACTGTCCTTGAAAACATTACACCGCCTGTGTTAAAAGTCTGTGTTTGCTTTAGAAGAAAACGCAGCACTTCATTTTGCTGCTTCTCAGCTTAATGATGATACTCAAGCATCGAAAACTGAACCATTACAGGAGAAATTTGCTCCCCAGATTGCTACTGATTAAACTAAACACTGACCTTAGAAAGACAATTTGGTTGCCAATCAGGTTGATTTCTGAAGTATTTACTTTCTAAAGCAAGCAGTAGTTTGAAAACTCGAGAAGAGAAGAAAGAGTGGAATATAAAGAGACTGCAGAGAACAACAATCCTTTCCCTTAAAGATATATCAGCCCCCTTTTGTCGTTTTTAGGCTGGATGAAGATGCTTTCATTGTTGCACAGGGTTGCTACTGTTCCCTGCAGAGGAAAGAGGTGGGGCAGCCCCCACTGGAGCACAGTGCCGTGAAAAACTTACTCCATCAAGTTCTGGGTAAAAAGCTTGAAGTTCACTCAGCTTAGCCACTGTGCAAAACTCCCCCAAATTCTTTGTCAGCCAGTCTCGGATTCCTGTAGTCCCACCATCGCACGCTGACCCTGTGGAGGCAAGAGAATGTGTCAAGCGAAGACGGACTAAAATCCACAGTTGGGTTCCTTACAAATTATGAATTTGTGCAGAAATAATGCTGGAAGTCTATTACACCCTCCTCCTCCTTCCCTGCCCTTCTTCCAACCAACAGAACAGTTTGCCCCAAGCACCGAAGAGATAAACTTCTGAGCAGATAAACTGTTCATAAACACTCAGCAACTAGTGGTTGAGGTTGGGGGAAGGCTCAATAATTAGGTCCACCAGGCCAGTGAAACTGTTTTGGCCAAGATTCCACCACCACCTGCCCAACACCTGACATCACATATCAGCCAGTTGTCAAAAGGGCTTTGCAGGTACTGCCTATCAGCTGGTTGTTGCGGCTTTCACAGCACAGCACTTTGGCCCATGTGACTGAACTTTAAGCTATGGTGACAAAAACGGGTCACCTGTGGCATCACATGATGAGTAGGTGAACCACCATGCTCCCCTGTCAAGCTTGGCCCACAGGGGGCAGGAGAGATAAGGATTTGGTCCGTTTCCCACTCCTGTTTCAGGGTGAAATTCCTAAGACCTGCCCCTTTGGCTCCTTACCTGAATCAGCAAACTGATAAGCTAAATAAGCCTTCTGGAAGTCATACACATCTTGCCTCTTCCGGGCTGATAATGTTGAGTAGAGACCATCCATCACTTTCACACTGAGGAAGAAACACAAGCAATTCCACACATTGGCTTGAGTCGCACTTGTTTTTCCACCTATTCACCGTATTCATTTACTAGCATCCAACCTGCCCTTCCTCCAGTATAGGCCTTTAAACCATGGAAATGAAATGGAGCACCCATATTCAGAGGCAGCGTACCTCAGAGCACAAGGTGCAGAGAACAAACAATAGTCTGGGAGGGCTATAGCTTTCTCACCCTGCTTGCAACTGGCTCTGGAGTCTTTTTGGAAATAGAGGGTTGTGCTCCACTAAGTTTTACTCAGAATAGACCCAATGAGATGAATGAACCTCAGATCATAGCTGCCAACGTTTCCCCTTTTTTAAGGGAAATTCCCTTATTCCAAACAGGATTCCTCGCAAGAAAAGGGAAAAGTTGACAGCTATGCCTCAGATAGTCATGGCCATCAATTTCAATGGGTCTCCTCTGAGTAGGACTAGCATTGGATGCAATCCAGAGTGCTGAACTAGGTGGTCTGATGAAACCAGCCTTTGTGTCCTCAGCTGGGTGTAACTGCTTCCAGACTGTGGTTATTTTGAGGGTGGGGATTAAGAATATAAGAACATAAGAAGAGCTCTGCTGGATCAGGCCAGTGGCCCATCTAGTCCAGCAGCCTGTTCTCAAAGCGGCCACCCAGATGCCTGTGGGAAACCTGCAAACAGGACCCAATCACAAGAGCACTCTGCTCTCCTGTGGTTTCTAGCAACTGGTATTCAGATTAAGATTACTCAAATGAAGTTGAGTGGAAGAGCTTGCACAATAAACCCGCTTCCCCAAATTATAGTAAAATGCACTGGAAAGTGTTGGAATAACACTTGCTTGAGGCAGCAGAATCTGGTGTCCCCACAACAAATCAGGATGGATACTCAAGACGCAGATTGTGTGGTAGCCACCAACGTGTACAAGAGGTAACCTCTGTCTGTTATCAAACTATGTGAAGGGACCTAGAAACTACTGAGGTAAATGTATGCCAGCTACTTACATGGTTTGGTAATATGGGCAGGGCATACCCAGGGGTAGCAGCTCAAGAATTGTTCCATTGATACCCGGGAGGAGGAGGTTGAGTTTCTGGAACCAAGTGTTTGTGTCTTCCAGGGAACTGGTGGCAATCTGTGGGAAAATGATCTCCGCCGATAGCATCAGCATAGTGTCCCGCACTTTGGGATTGCTCAACAAGCCTCGGTTCTGGAGGAAGAAGCAAGAGAAAAACCAGGGAATAAGTGTGACTTCATTGAAGATCAGGTTATAGGTCGAAGCAGAAGTGTTGAAGACATGTTACTATTTCTGCAGCAGGGTCCCTGTCTCCAGCATCCTAGAGCTACCCAACCAGGGGAGCTTTGAAGCCATTGAGAATAAATCTTCTCACCCTTGGTGCTGATTGCAGCTAATCAGAATGAAAGGAGGTGAGTGAGCCATTGAGGATTGGCTCCTAGGGTCACTCTGGAGAAGGCACACAGGAAGAAGACCAACGAGTTGTTCCATATGCTCCAAAGCTGAGCATTTAGGAACACTTGACAACACAAGGGGCTCCAGTTTCAAGAGAATGGTGTGTAAGTTCTGTTATGTACAATGGAACTTCAAGGAAAACACAATCTAAGTCACTCCAAATGAAGATATTGGAGCACTCCAAACCATTTGCCCAAGTAAGCGCACAGAAAATAGTAAATGTAGTAAATGTAGTAAATATAGCTGAAGGGCAACACATGGAGATCAGCTTATATATATATATAATGAAACTCTAATTGTTTAATATTGTAAGATGGTTGTACAATCTTAGAAGGGGGTGTGACTGTGGGTATCATGAAGGGACCTTGCACTTCTGATTTTGCAACTACACCCAAAAGGATCCATGAAATCAGCTGACAACGTTTCACACAATGGAGAACAATGGGCTAGTAATGAGAACCCTTGACAATTACATGAGTTTTGAAAGTTTGTAGGAAATTGGAAAGGGTGATCTCGAGTCCCAAACATCAGGAGGGCCCCATCCTGGTGAAGGTTGTGCTACATAGCTTGAAATCCACTGCTCTGGAGTAATTTCCAGCTACCCCAAAGGTCACAGATCATGCATTCCTATTGGAATTGACCACCAGTGCTCCAGTTACATGGCAGAAAATCATAGCCTGTCTCCAGCCCTGGAGGAAAGGTCTGTCAACAAGCTTCTGTTTACCTTCAGCACCAGGGTGTTGAATTCATCCAGGTACGTGCTGAGGAATTGCTCTGGCTCCTTCTTTCTCTGGATGGCTTGGAAGACCAGCACCATTGCTGAGCTCCTGTAAATGGTGTGACCTTCAGTGGACAACTGAGCCAAGGCACTGGCGGAGAAGAGGTCCAAGGAATCCACCTGCATTTGGAAACACAGAGCTGGAGTTGGATGGAAACCAGGCTCAAGCTCAGAATCCAGAACTCTTCAAACACCCCAAGCTTCCAGTCATCAATAGGTCAGTAAGGTGCAGATTAAACCACAGTTTACCAAGGTTTGAGTGACACAGGAAACTGTGGTTTTAAAAAAAGGAAGTGAAAGCTTCCAAACTCTTCCTTGAGTGAGCTTATTAAAGCTAAACTGCCCAAGGGGAGCAATGATGGGGGAAGGGCCCTTAGAGGCTTTCTGGGCACCAAGGAAAGGCCTCAAGGGCAATACATTGGTGACCCATGAGTTAGTGTTATGCCCGAACCAGCCCAGAGTCAAAAACACCACAAATGTTAAACTCCAAAGTCTGTGCCGCTCTCACCCCACGGAAGTCACTTTTCAATGCAGTGAAATCTGAGTAGGAGCCATAGGCAGAAAAGGGTCCAAAGAATTTGCTCAGCCACTCTTGGTCCGTGGAGGCCCCCTGAGTGCAGGCAGAACCTGTGGCAAAATCATAAAGAGAATTAGAAATGCAGACGCACATTTCTGAGGTTCAACATCCTGGAGAGGGTCTTCATCAGGCGTGGGTAGAAGGTAAAGTGTTCCTTGGGGTGGGTGGGGAGGAGATGGGCTTCCTTTGTTTACCTGAATTTTGTTGTTGGAATTCAAGAATCCTCTTTATGAAGGAGAATATATCATCTGGATTTTCAAATGTGCTGTTGGCATGGTGATCATTTAAACCCTCCACTCTGCAAAATTAGGAAGGAGGTTGCAATTGAAGTAATAATACTCAGTTTGGAGATTCAAAAGAAGGGAGGAGTGAAGGTTAGGGGGAGGCATTTTGGATCAGCAAAGCATCTTCCACTGACAACTGGGGAGGAGACCCATCACCCGGTGACTGGGCACCTGCTCTGCATGCAGAAGGTCCCAATTTCAATTTGCAACATCTGCAGGCAGTGCTTGGAAAGACTCTCTGTCTGAAACACTGGAGAGCTGCTGCCAGCCTTTGTTGGCAATACTGAGGTAGATGAACCAATGGTCTAACTCAGTCTAAGGCAGTTTCCTAGGATAATGGGCAGAACTCAGTAGGCAGAACATCTGCTTTGCATGCAGAAGGTCCCAAGTTCAGTCTCCAGGTAGGGCTAGGGGAAATTCCCACCTGAAACCCTGGGGAACAGCTGCCAGTCAGTGTAGACAATACTGAGTTAGATGACCCAACTGCCTGAGTTTTTGAGTTTCTGTGACTGTTCTCCTCACCCTTGGCTGCACCATGCCAAATGACTCCGCCATCAACCCCACCTTGGGATAGGCATAGAGTTGGTACCTACATGGCTGCCAGAGAATCACAGGACATGTCACTGGGCAGGAAGCCAAGGTTCTGGGCATCAAGACTGCTCAGGAAGAGAGGGAGCCTTTGCCCAAACCACGCAGCATAGTCCTCTGTGGTGAAGAGCTTCAGCACGCCACTCAAGTGGCAGAAGATCTCACCAAGGATGAACCGTTTGGTCTCCAAGTTGGGCAGCTGAGTGAGCTGGTGCTTTAAGAAGAAAGCAAAAAGCACAGAAGGTTCAGTGTTAGGAGGACAGGTGTGCCTAGCTAACTAACATCCTAATGTCAAAGTGTATCATTTACCAGGTGCCCTCTAGATGTTGTGGACCTCAGCCCCCATCGTCAGTCAATGGGAGCTGTAGTCCAAAATATCTGGAGGAGACCATATTAGATACCCTTGGGGTAGATGATGAGCAATAAACACAGTTAAGGAAAAGGCCCACAAATGAAATGGCACAGCATAAAATAAACCTACAAATAAGTCAGTAGACAACAGCTAAAGGCAGGCCAATAGTCATTGCTGTAAGAGGTTACCGTATTTTTCGCCCTATAGGATGCACCGTCCCATAAGGCGCACCTAGTTTTTTGGGGGGGAAATAAAGGGGGGAATTTATTTTTTTCCCCCCCAGGCACGGGGCTGGGGTGGGGGAAGCCCGAGCTTCCCCCGACCCCAGCCCCCAGAACAGGCAACTCTCCGCAAGCCGTGGGAGCCCAGCGCCGGGCTCGCGCGCCTTGCGGAGAGTCGCGCGAAGTCTGGGCGCACTGAGCTCAGCACGCCCAGCCTTCGGCATGCAGGCAACTCTCCACAAGCCATGGGAGCCCAGCGCCGGGCTCCTGCGGCTTGCAGAGATCTGCGCGAAGCCTGGAGAGCGAGAGGGGTCGGTGCGCACCGACCCCTCTCGCTCTCCAGGCTTCAGCGAATGCCTACATTCGCCCCATAGGACGCACACACATTTCCCCTTCATTTTTGGAGGGGGAAAAATGCATCCTATGGGGCGAAAAATACGGTAATTCAACAAGATAGGCTTACCAAAGGCAGCGCCAAGCAAATGGGCTTGGGGAGGAAGTTATTGAGCTGTGGTGCCAATGCAGAGAAGACCCTCTGTTTAGTAGCAACCTGCTTAGCCTGTTTTTCCCAACCTGGTACTCTCCGGAAGTTTGGGACTGCAAGTCCTATCAGCCCCAGCTGGCATGATCTATGGCTGCCATTGGCAAGCTGATGCCTCCAGTGCTGGCTGGGCTTGATGGGAGCTGAAGTTGGAAACATCTGAAGGGCACCAGGTTGGGGAGGTTGAAGTAAGGCTGTTGGGCAATACCCCATCACTCTAATGGAGCAACCTTCAATAGGGAAATGTGTTAGCAAAGTCACTTGATTAATGCCGACAGAGTCCAGAGATAAAAGTCATGATAACACTTTACTAAGCAAAGTGAACCAGAACTATGTATAATTTGAAAAGAAACGACAGAGAGCGTTTGACTTTCAGTTGAGGCCTTGTACAAGGCAGGGAGACATTCAACCAAACATAAACGGGGGAAACTCCCCCAGAACTACACAGGCAATCAGATCACATGCTGTCTCCCTGAATATCATACCACTCTACCTAGCATTCTCTGTTGGCTGGTTGACGTTAACACTAGTAGAATTAAGTAACAAACTGAATGAGCCCTGCTGCTGCACTTTGAACAAGGCAGGGGGAGGAAGAGGGGAGTCTTGCAAACCTGTTGGGCAGCCGCATTGAAAGCATCCATGAATTCTCCAATGTTGTGTGAATCAAGGGAGCCAAAGACCTTCCCAGCTTTCTCACTGTCGCGCAGGGTGTCACTCGCCAGTGTGTACTCAGCCAGTTGAGATGGCGTGAGTCTCGCAACTGCATCCATCTAAAGAATGAGCAAAGCTGGTTCTTAGCAAAGGAAACTGTCAGCAGAGCAGGGACAGGGGGATCTGTCAATTTTGTTTCTGTCAGTTCCTCATTTTTACCATCTTCAGTTCTCTGCATTTAAAAAAAATTCTTAGTGCGAATTTCGTCCAACAGACAGTTTTGATGAATGTGCGTGTTTGCCAAGCAATTTCCCCTAACACGATGTATTTTTGTATGTTATTTTATCTAATATATTCATTTTAATGCCCAATTTCCCCTTAAATATGAATTCTGGTAAACGCTGGTTGGTTGGAAGAGAGCACTGCAAAATTCGGAGGGTTCAAATTTCAAAGGACAACTACGTTTTGGTTCTTGTATTGTTTTGGAAAAGGGCAAATTAACTAGGCTAGCCTTTCAATGTGAAATGAATTCAACTCACTCCCCCCCCCCAATACTTTTGGCTAAGTCATGAATAAGCCTCTGCCCCCTGCCCCTGGTCCAGCAAGGTCACTTACCGGGTGGAAATCTCCATTAATGGCAACCAAGTCTTTATAACTGGCTAATGAGCTGAAGGACCCAAAGTTGGCTGTTAACCAACCCAAGCTGCCCCGAGTATTCTCAGTACAGGGATCTCCTGGAATGGAAAAAAGAAAAAAAATCACTCTTGGAGAATCATTTCGTGCATCCAGGACCCCTTTTCCTGAAAAAGTGACTCCTTGCAATATGCTATCACACTATATTCCATTTGCACTGATACAGCTGCTATGAGTGGCGAAGGAGCAGAGGAAACAGCCTTATACTGAACTGGACCAATGGTCCCTCTTTGCTTCCAGTAACAACAGCACTCCCTGCCAGCTGGGAAGCAAGCAAAGCAATTACACCCACATAGCAAACACCTTCTGGTTTTGACACCTACCTCCTTGAGACGTCTTGGTCATCAGGTAGCCTTTGGCAAAGTTGTAGACATCTTGGCGACTGTCTGATGACATATGTCGAAAGCTGCCATCCAAACCAGCCATTCTGGGTGGGAGAGGAAGGAACAGGAGGGGAAACATATTAAAGTCTTTATACCAATTAACCTCTTGTTTGCTAATGATGATGGTGATGATGATTTAAACTTACTAGATTTCTTTTTCCTTACAAAAGTAACTTACGATAACAACACGTACATTCAAACCAGTGTTGAACAAAACAGAAAAATCTAAAACTCATGCTTATTTTAAAAGGCAGGATTAAAACAGCCCCACCCACTCAAGAAGGCCACAGATGATTAAAAGCCAATGGTCTGGCAGAAAACAAATGTTTTTGCCTGGTGCCTAAAGATATGTAAGGATGATGCCAGGTGAGCCTTCCTGGGGAGAGCCTTCTGCAAGAAGGGAGCCACCACTGAGAAGGCCCCTTCTCAAATTGCCCCTCTCCCGGAGGGGGCACATGAAGAAGGGCTTCAGATGGCGATCACAGGGTCTGGGTTCATATGGGGAGAGGCTGTCTTTGACGTACTGGGATCCTGAACCACACAAGGCTTTATCAGTCAAAACCAGCACTTTAAATTGGGCCTGGAAACTGGTTCCTTTGCCCCCTCCTGGCAAACCTGCAGATGGTTGAAGACTCACATGGCTTTGAAAGTGCTGCAGGGGATGCTCTGTGGAATGGCTGCCAGGGCTGTGGCGTTGATGCTGGGAAGCACGAGGGTCAATGTTTTCTGGAACCAGTCTTCGTACTGGGAGGTGCCGGCTGTCGTTAGCAGGCTCTGTAATTCGCTGAAGATGACGTCAAATATCTTGTCCCTCACCTCCGTGTTTGCCAGGAATGTCACGCCGCTCTGCCAACCAGAAACACAGAAGGAACAGGTCATGGCCCCAGCCTTCAAAATGGCCAGAGTAGCACAGAGGAATGTGATTGTGCTGGAGAGAAGAATGGCAGAGAGACAGAGCTTCATGGCCAAGCGGGGGTTTGAACCCCGGTCTCCCAGGTCCTAGTCCGACACTCTTACCACCACACCACACTGGGCCTCAGATATCCCCAAAGAGAAGCAGCGAAGGATGCAGCACCAGGAGAGCTCCAGAAATTAAAGGGATCTTATCAAATGGATAGAAACCAAAGCTAACAAAAGACAACTCACCTGAGCAGCCAAGGCTGCAAACTCTGTCATAAAAGCAAGGGTGTCATCAACAGGCTTGTTCTCCAAAGGTTCCAGAAGGGCACTGACTTTATCAGGATCATCCAGGGCGCCAGAGGCAAAAAAGACATGAGCCAGTTGGGTGGCAGTGAGGTTGCCCCGGATATCAAACTGTAAAAACACACATTCGAGCATATACTTAGAGACTTCTTCAACCCTTCCCCAATCTGGTGCCCGCCAGATGTTTTGGACTACAACTCCCATCAGCCCCAGCCAGCATGCTTGCTGAGGCTGATGGGAATTGTAGTCCAAGACACCTAGAGGGTACCCAATCGGGGAAGACTGCTTTAGAAGATTTGGGGAGGGAGAAAGGTAGGCAGCCCTTTGCTTCTCCCATGTGTGGGATGAAGCTCCTCAATTGGGCTGTTGTGCAGAATATTCACTTCCACCCCTCCTGAAATGAAGAATTATTCTTTTTGCAAGTGTGGAATGTGGAAAACTCGCAGAACTGACCTCTCACTGACCCAGCTCACTCAGGATTGTCTACACTGACTGGCAGCAGAACTCCAGGGTTTCTCTGGCAGGAGTCTCACCCTGCCACTCTTTGAAGGCGCTAGGGATTGAACCAAGGACCTTCTGCATGCAAAGCAACTGCTCTGCCCTCTTCCCCTAATGCAAAATAGACTTCCTAATCATTTGGTGGGGTTCTGGAGCACAGGGTGGGCATTATGCATCAACACAAGGCAACCTCTGCAACGTACCCCATTGAACGTGGCCATCAGAGTGGTGAAATCGCCATAAGGAGCTTGGGCTGCGAAGGCCCCCAGGTTATCTTGCAGCCATGCCTCGGAATCCCCGGTGTTGGAGGCACACGCCGATCCTGCAGTGTCGGTAAACAAACAAGCCTTTCTGAACAGGGCCCCATGTGGGATTCATTGGCATAGTTGCAGGTGGCAACTCATTCGGCCAAGAATTCAAAACTGGGTGGGTTTGATCTCTCTATTCCTACTCAAGAGGAATGAATTCTCCCCTAGGTGCCCACCTCCCTGCTGGATCCCTCTCAGGCCCCATTCCCAGGGGCTCGTGCCTCTACTTCTGTTCCCCACCAGCTCTCTAAAGTGCCTAGACCCCACCATCCTGGCGTCACACGTTGCCCATGGCTAGGGATGGAGGAATCTGCCGATTTCAGTCTCCCTCAGTTTTTCATTTTCCCAATCTTTAGTTCAGTTCTCCATATTCCCATTTCAGTTTGTAATTAAGAAAAAAAAATCCAATATATGGAAGAATAGTTTTCCCTATATACAATGTTGTATGTAATTCTGCCTAATATACACTTTTTTTTTGCAAAGCAATGTTCCCAAATATAATGCATTTTTGCTTGCTATTTTCCTTGAATACGTGCATTTTTATACATACTTTACTCCAGCATCTGCATTTTTTCTCTCTACATGATTTGGTTGGAGCACTGTATTGCAAAATTCAGAGAAGTGTAATGTTCAAAGGACTGCAGTATTTTCATTCTCGTTTTGTTTCAGAAAGTGTGAATTACTATTAATAATAATTAAATTTCTATACCGCCCTTCATCTGAATACCACAAGGTGGTTTACAATATAATTACCCAAAGGCCTGTTGAAGAGGAACATATTTGTCTGGTTCCTAAAGATATGTAATGAAGGCACCAAATTAGGAAGATATGCCTTGAAATGGAAATCAACTGGATCAGCTTTCTCCCCGCTTCCAATCCATGGCCCTGAACTGCAAACTTAAAATGGTGCCACCGAATTACCTGTGGTCTTGTGCTGGTTGTCAAGGTAGGAAAACAAGGTCCTGTAGACACCTAGTTGGTTGGTTGGTAGTATTGCAGAGTAAACTTGGCTCAGCGAGGACACCCTGAAGAAAAAAGGTTGTGTCAGAAATGTCTGCAGAAGAGCAGAAGAACAGGCCAGAGTCAGGGGGCGGCTCGGGGGCCGGTTAAACGACTCCTGTGGGCCTCTTGTGGCCCATGGGCCTTAGGTTGCCTACCCCTGACCTAAGGAGTGCAACATCAAGTGATGACTTCCTGCAGTGCTCATAGTTAATATGTCCACCACCAGCCACAATGTATCTATCACAACATCTTCAACACTCATAAAAACTATGGTCCAGCTTTCCCCAACCTTGTAGTCCAAAGAATCTGGAAAGCACAACTCCCATCAGCATCACTAGTTCTCAGTGGTCTAGGATGATGGTCATCCTCAACCATTGGCTATGCTGATTCGGGCTGGTAGGAGTTGTAGTCCAAGCCATCTGAAGGGCACCAGGTCGGGGGAGGCTGAACCATAGGTTGCTTCTTTCTCTCCAGACATGGTTCCCAGACATGAATCTCCTTCCTGCTCCTTTAATTCAGTTTCGCACTCCATTGGATAGAATCTTCCAGTAATGAATTTGGCCTGTGCACCAGAAAGGAGACCATATGGCAGTGTGGACTGTTCCTTGTTTTAATAAGCCAGCCAAGCCCTCCTCCACAATACTCCATTCCAGTCCCCCTGGTTTGCAGAGTCAGACAGAATCCCATTGAGCATGCTCAACAGTGGTGGCTGGTGCTGATGAGGACTGCTGGGGTGGAAGGGCAGGGAGCCCAACAGTAGGTGGCGACAGAGCCAAGGACAGGCAGAGACAGCTCATTCTGGTTCTGTCCCCATCCTCTTCTCTACTGAGTCCTCTAGAAGGGCAACACTGACACTAAGGAGGAGGAAGTTGATAGGCAGTGTTGCCCTCCTAACTGGTTGTAAGTAAGAAGATGGTGGCTGGCTGGGGGCAGATTGTGGTTGGTGAGGTGGTACTCTGCATATCCTCATGGACCAACCTTGCTGATTCTTCATTGGGCTGCTTTAGGGTTTTTCCTCATTTAGTCCACCCACCCTCCGCAACCTATACAGTGGTACCTCAGGTTAAAAACTTAACTCGTTCTGGAGGTCCGTTCTTAACCTGAAACTGTTCTTAACCTGAGGTACCACTTTAGCTAATGGGGCCTCCCGCTGCCGCTGCACCGCCAGAGCACGATTTCTGTTCTCATCCTGAAGTACTATTTCTGGGTTAGTGGAGTCTGTAACCTGAAGTGTCTGTAACCTGAAGTGTCTGTAACCCAAGGTACCACTGTATGTTGTTGTACTTCCACAAATCCTGTGCTTCCCCCAAATTTGCTGATACGCCCCTCTTGCACATGGGATTCACCATTTTGGTTACTTACACGTTGGCACACTCCTTTGAATACTTGTAACAGAGAGAACAATGGCGGTTTATACTCACACAGCTTGGAAGGCATCACAGCCTGAAACATAAGACAGGATCTCTTTGGATTCCTTTGCGCTGACACTTGGCAGGAAAAGCAGCAGCCTTGTGGACAGCAAATGAGTCCAGTTTGCAGGGCTGAAGGTTGAGAGTTCAGATCCAATCGCCTCCACAAAATGAGAGAGCATCCTTTGCCTTATGCCTTCGTCTTTGAGAGACGTTATTCCAAGCTACAATTTAAAGAGAGAAGGAAAAAATAGCAAACTCTTTTGCTTAACTATTTGGATTTATCTTAACTTTGTTGTCTATAACGGGCAATGAGAGGCTATCCCATTGACTGTGATTTGCTGCTTATTTTCCCCCAGCTGAGCTGCAGGGATAGATGCAAGGTTCATTAACATTCTAACACCAGGTGAAAACTCTCAGCAACAGAATGCATACAAGCAATGTGGGTTCTGTGAGGGAACGGAAAAGTCAGTTTGGCTGGCAAAAAGGCCTAACTTGATTTGGAGTTTTGCTTTTCTTTAGTAAATATTTGAAGGCCGTACCTTATCGGCATCTGTGTTGAATTGGTCCAAATACTGGTAGATCTCTTCCAGTGGTTTGTTCTGCAGTCTTGCAAGAATCTGGCACATCTTCTCCTCTTCATTGATGGCATCAGACTTCAGAGTGAGGGATGCAAGTTGCAGTGGAGACAAAGATTGCAGAACAGCCATCTGCAGGGGAGCATCAATCAAATGATGGTGAATTTTTCAAGCAGTCTGTAATAAGTTGCGATGCCTACATATGCACTCCTTATGTTTCTGGTTTAGAGTCGGCACCCAATTTTTTAAAAAATGCAGGAGATACTAGAGAACATCAGAAAAAATACTGCTCAAGCGGGAAATTGTCAGCTATAGAATGTGCACAAACATTGTTAGGGAAGGTCAGGATTTTGCTCATGTGTCATCAAGGAGCAGAGGTGTGAGTTATGGACAGGGAGTGTGGTTGGGTAATTGAGGGAGCAAGGAGCCCAAACGAAATTAATTGGGATTGTACTAGCCCATTTATTCTGGAGAATCAGCATATTTGGGTACTAGCATACTGTGTTGTTGCGGGGAAGCTTCAGGGAAATTAAGAAATCTTTCCCTATATGATCCTTGGGATGCTTTTACCCTGCCATTTGACACTCGATGTACACATTGTTAGGATCCACCTTATTTTTGTGATTGCAAGCTGTTTTAAACTGCTCTTTAACAATGTGTTTTAATGTTGTCACCTGCCCTGGGACCTTAGGGTGAAGGGCAGGTAATAAATAAATAAGCACCATCTTTCTGCCCAAAGGTCAGTCCACATAATGCAAGGATGGGGAACATTTGTTGCCCTACAGATGTTGTCAGACACCAGCTCCCATCAACCCCTGCCAGTATGGCCAATGGTCACGGGTGATGGAAGTTGTAGTCCCTAGAGGGCCTCACGCTCCCTATCCCTGATACAATGGACTGCCTAGACTATTTAGATCAGGTTTTCCCAAACCTGGGTCTCCAGCTATTGTTGGACTACAACTCCCATCATCCCTAGCTAACAGGACCAGTGGTCAGGGATGATAGGAATTATAGTCCAAAAGCAGCTGAAGACCCAAGTTTAGAAAGTCCTGATTTAGATCTTGGGTGGGCAATTTAAGGCCCAACAGGGGGAAATGTGGCCCTTCAAGCTTCCCTGTATGGCCCTCGGGACTCTTGCTGAGCCACACTTCCTCCCTAGACTATGCCCCCTATTGCCCCTGCTCTGTGCCCCACTCCAGGGCGTTTGCTTGGCTGGAATGTATCCTTGAATTGCGATCCCGCCTCTCACGTGCCGTGATGGAAAGTGGAAAGGCGGGATATAGAACTCTCTGGCTTTTGATTGGCTGCACAGAAGTAAGAGCCATGTCCATCAGTCCACACGGTTTTTGCCTCTGGCCCCGACCACCAGCGGCATGCAGCCCTCAGAAGGTTTACCACGAAAATTTCCTCAGGTTGAAAAATGCCACTTCAGCCATCACTGACTGGGAACGATTGGACTTGCTAAAACAGCAAGTACATTTCTGTGGGGATTTCCTCTCTATCGAGTGAAACAGCCACATGAAGACATCTACATGCGTGGCTGGAAGCTTCTTTCTCCTAACCACAAAAGGCTAAGCAGGGGATCCCAAACTGGCTAATCTCTAACCATCTGCTAAGTTGCTTTGGCCATAAATTACTTCACTCGTTTGCAAGAAATGTTACCGTGAAAAAGCCTGATAGGTCCCATGCCAACAGATCCTGGATATAAAATACTCACTCCGTCAAAATGCAAATTCCAGCTGAGCAGGTCCTGGTATTGGGCGTATCGGCTGAAGTTCCCAAGATTGATTTCCAGCCACTCCTGGACGCTCTGAGTGGGCCTCCCACATGCAATGCCTGGAATGAGCGAGAAGCTGTTCATTCCCATGAACCATTTGCAGCAGCCTTTACAAACCTGATGCCACTCAGTGAGGGAGGAACAAATTTCTCGTTTATCAGATCTTAAAGTCAGTCCCACATATTTCCCAAGACATTTGTGATTTAAAAAAAAACAAAAAACCTCTTATGAAAATTGATCAACATTTTGGTACAAATTTCTACTGATGGCCACTTTTTTTGTATGTGGTCTTCACTAATATACACATATTTAAAGCAATGTTATTTTCACTAATCTATGCATTTTATGGATGTGTTATAGATGCATTTTTGTACACACTATTTGGTTGGACATCTACATCAAAAGTCTGGAGATGCGCAAATTTTGAAGAATAGCTGTGTTTCAGATGGCATATTTGTGTTGCCTTGGGCAAGATAGAGTAACAAATTTAATAAATAATAATGTTGGTTTAGTAAGTGTAAAGTAGGCAGTTTCTCATTAAAATGCGAACAGAACCTATTTCCCCCTAGTTCCTACCTCTAGATGAACTACAACTCCCATCAGCCCCAGCATCATACAGCATGCCAGCTGGGACTGATGGGAGTTGTAGTCCAAAACAGGTCAGCTAAGGCTGCAATTGAGCATGCTGACTTTAGCCAGTGGTGCAAAACTCAAGTACAGAAGGAAACTCAGCCCCCATTCCCAACCAGTCAACCAGGGGCAGATCCACACCACACTTTTTAAGCACACCCAAGCACATAGCTTGCCCCGAAGAACCCTGGGGACTGAAGTTTCATCTGCACAGAGCTACAGTTTCCAGTATTCTTAATAAACTACAGTTTCCAGGCTTCTTGGGGGAAGTCATGCGCCTTCAGTGTGAATCTGCCCCAATTATATTAATTGTAGGCAAGCAGAAAAGCTGCGAGGGGAAACCAACATCCCTCCAGATGTTGCTGGACTCCAACTCCCATCGCCTGTCACCCATTGGCCGCACTGGCTGGGGCTGATGAGAGTTGGAGTCCAAGGACGTCTTCAGGGCCCATCCCTAAAGAAAAGTGTACAAAACAAGGGCTTGGTTTTACTTTACGCTGCTAAGCCAAGCATGGCAAAAAGACAAAGGCTCTTTGCATTCCCAGCCTCACCTAGAGCCTTACATAAACAACTCTCAGAGCTACAGTGCTTGGCCAGTGAACTAATTGATTAAAGAGCTTTTGTGCAGCAGACTTAAAAACAAAACAAAAAACCAACGGCACCCTGTCAATCATGATTAGAGCACATATTTATTTGTCTTTTGATTTTAGGAAATTTACATCCTGCCCTGAAAATCACATGCAAGGCACCTTTCACACTTTGAAACAACAGTATATCATAAAGCAAATTACATAATTGGAATGAGAACTAGGAAGTGTCACAACTCAGTGGTAGGACATCTGCTTTGTATGCAGAAGAAGAAGATCCCAGGTTTAATCTCTGGCATCTCCAGGTAGGGCAAGGAGAGAGTCCCTTGCCTGAAACCCCGGAAAGCAGCTGCCGGCCAGTGTAGACAATACTGAGCTAGATGGACAAATGGTCTGACTCAATACATGGCGGCATCTTCCCAACAGAGTAAAAACAACAACAACAGTAGAATCAGCTATTAAGAATGCTAAATTAGCAAATATCTAAATAAAATAGAAATTCTTAAAAGGTTTCAGCTCAGTGGCAGAAGACTGACACCGAAGAGGACCATGCAGACCTCATGAAGGAAGGGAGTTCCGCAGTCTGGGTGCAGTTAGAGAAAGGCTTTCATAAAAATCCTAACCATTCCAGCTTCACCTGTACAGTGGTACCTCAGGTTAAGTACTTAATTCGTTCCGGAGGTCCGTTCTTAACCTGAAACTGTTCTTAACCTGAAGCACCACTTTAGCTAATGGGGCCTCCTGCTGCTGCCGCGCTGCCGGAGCACGATTTCTGTTCTTATCCTGAAGCAAAGTTCTTAATCTGAAGCACTATTTCTGGGTTAGCAGAGTGTGTAACCTGAAGCGTATGTAACCTGAGGTACCACTGTATTTGTCAATGAAGCTGACTGGAAGATTCTGGACTGACAAAAGAAAGAACTGCTTCTCAGAGTGCACAGTTAAACTATGGAACTCACTCCCACAGGAGACAGTGGTGGCCACCAACTTGCGTGGCTTTAAAAGAGGATCGGGCAAACACACGACGGAGGAGAAGGTTATCAATGGCTACTAGTCACAATGGCTATGTTCACTGTGAGAGGCAGGATGCCTTCTGGGTACCAAAATGCTGGGAATCCCAACTGGAGGGAGTGTGTCCATGGCACTCAGGAGGCTTCCCAGAAGAAGAATCTGCCTGGCCACTGTGAGGACAAGATGCTGGACTAGATAGGCCTTTGGCCTGATCCTGCAGGACTCTCCTTGCGTTCCCTTGCTCTCACCTTCCAAACCCACAAGTGGCAAGAACCTTCTCTACCTCTCTTGCAAAGGAGAAAACATCTTCTGCAATGACATCTGGTTTCCACACATGGACCCACCATCTCAAAAGCATGGGGAAAATGCTTCCCCTATGACTCCAGTAATATGCACATTCATTCAGATGTGATTAACTAAAGAATGGATCTATTAAATCCCATGATTAGTTGAATATGATTGTTATCTATTTCATGAAGCGACAGCCCTGATTTATTCAGATAGGTAGGTAGATTTTTTTTTAAAGGGCTTGTGTTACCTGATTTGATTTTTGTAGTCAAAAAAGCTTTGCTGAATCCAAATACACTGAGGGCCTTTCCAGGCAGGATGTTGGCAAAAACATTGTTGAAACCTTTCAATCTGGGAAGCAAAACGGGCAGACAATGTCACTGTTAGCCAGAACTCAATGGCAAACCCAGCCAATACTCTAACCACTAGGCAAGCTTTTCACCCGCACAGAACTTCACCCCAGGTTATTCTGGGTGCACACGATGGAACAAGCTTTTTTCATTTCTTTTCTTGTCCATTTTGGCCTTAGAGTGGTGCTGTCTTTGCACTCACAGATGGAAAGATGTGCTTTACAGATAAGATTTCATCGTACCCTGTAAGCATCTCACTCAATCTTTTTGGAGGGGACTTGTAGGAGCGACACCAGCTAAAGGACTTGGCCACCTTGTTTCCTGGGCCACCCTGCCGCCTCACTGTACAACAGCACTGCAGCTGGCCAGGAGGTAGGTTTCAGCCCAGGCGGCTTCTATGCTTGACACAAAGGGAACCAACAATTAAGTGTCACCTGACCCTAGAAAATTGCTGATACTAATCTGGGTCATCCTTCTGAGTCATCCTCATTTGCTCACTTCCTACTGAAGTGTTGGATGGCTTCCCTTCCCGCCATCACCCCTAATATTTCTCTTTTGGTGTGACTGGCTAGCAATTTATTGATTTTTGTGCCAACAGTCTGTTATTGCATTTGTTTGCCTGATAGGCAGGTACAGGTTCGAGGTGAGCATTCATTTCCACGCCACGCAACACACTCACATTTTCTGGTAGGAGTCACACGATATCTTGAGCGGAATGTCCACCACAAGGGTCTCATTGAACTCATGCAGAACGTTCTGGAAGATAACTTGGAACCAGTAGGCAAAATCACTGGCTTTGAACTTCGGGAAGTTGATCGCTATCCTTTGGAAGGCAATGCTCAAGATGGAACCGGCGTACGAACTGCTTTGCAATTCCATCTGTGAACAGAAATTGCCACCCAGTATTCATTAAACAACTCTGCACATGCTCTGGTGCTCCTGGAACCCTTCCCCACCCCCAAAGCGAGGTGGTGCCTCCATGTCATTTCCTTCAAGGCCCTTCTTGCAACCTACTCTTCCTCCAGATCCTTTGGTTTAATCTCCTAGTCCATATTGCCAACTGAAATGAAGCGTAAATTTGTGGAACATTTACTCACATGGATCTGTTGCAACCCTTAGCTTGCCTCTTTCCTCCCCTGCCCTTAGCTTGCCACTGAAATTTGGTCTACATGGTGATCTCCTTGAGGGAGGCACCTGTCTTCTGTTGCTATGTCATTCTGAGAAGTACCAGGTATGCTTCTACTACTTATTCACGACTGCCACGACCACAATGCTCGCTGATTTGGGCTGATGGGAGTTGTAGTCCAAAACATCTACAAAGGGCACCAGGGTGAGGAAAGCTGCTCTAGTAAAAAATCAGGCTTACGTTATACCACAAGGCAACATGCTATGTGCAGTCATAAGCTAGTCAAATCTGTGTATAATTTTTGACACCCCCTTACCCCATATATGCCCAATCTGTGGAACTCACACTGTGACAAGTGTCACACAACACATTCTGCATTTGTAAGAAATCAATTTTTTAGTGTGGCAGCATCTACACTTGGAAACTCTCTGCTTATTGACAAATGGCAGGCACCTTCACAGTACTCTTTTCAGTGCCTGCAGAATGTTGACATATATTTTTAATCTGGTTTGCAGCTTATCATTGATTTTAATTGTTTTCCAAAGGTTTCTAATGGCTGTTCTTAATGGCTTTTAACTGATAATTTTATTATATTATTCTTTCCGTAAAACACTTTGATGCAGGATTTTTTTTAAAAAAAAAACAATCAAGCAGTATATGAATTTTATGAAATAAATAAATAGCCCCCCAAACTCCCAGAGAGCAGCCACATACCGGGGCAATGGTGTTCAGCTTGCCCAAGAATATGGCAAGGTCTTCCACGGTCTTCAGGTTGCCCATGATCTCCATGATGCCACTCCCATCAGCCAGCGCTCCCGATTCCACCGCCAACTCAGCCAGCTGGTTTGCAGATAGCTCTGCCATTGCTGAAATCTGAAAAGGTGCACATTTTGCTGCTTATGTACAGTTGCAACCAATAGTAAAGGTAAAGGTAAAGGGACCCCTGACCATTAGGTCCAGTCGTGACTGTCTCTGGGGTTGCGGCGCTCATCTCGCTTTATTGGCCGAGGGAGCCGGCGTACAGCTTCCGGGTCATGTGGCCAGCATGACTAAGCTGCTTCTGGCGAACCAGAGCAGCGCACGAAAACACCGTTTACCTTCCCGCTGGAGCGGTACCTATTTATCTACTTGCACTTTGACGTGCTTTCAAACTGCTAGGTTGGCAGGAGCTGGGACCGAGCAATGGGAGCTCACCCCGTTGCAGGAATTCGAACCACCGACTTTCTGATCGGTAAGTCCTAGGCTCTGTGGTTTAACCCACAGCACCACCCATGTTTAAAAAAGACTTGGTACGCAACAGAATGTTGTGTACCTGGGAATCTGTGGCTCTCCAGGCTGGGTCTCTAGCCAACATCATAAGCATATAAGAAGAGCCTTCTGGATCGGACTAAAGGCCTGCCTAGTCCAGCATCCTCTATGGTCAACTAAACATCCCAATGGGAAGCAGGACCCTGAGCACTCTCCCCACCTGGGATTCCCAGTGACTAGTACTCAGAGACATGCTACCTCTGACAGCGGAGTTTAGAACCTAGGCATCATGCTATGGGCAAGTTGCGCCGCTCTCCAAGGACTGGTCCCTCCAATTTGGCCCCACTTCAAGGGCTTACAATCTGCCTCTTCCCCCAGCACAACCCCTGCTGGCAAAGGTTCCCTTACCCCATTGAAGTTCACATTCACTGCCAAAAACTCCGCAATGCTGGCAAAGGCACTGAACTGGCCATAGTTGCTGAGGATCCATTGGCTGCTGTTGGTGTTGGGAGAGCATGTGACCCCTGCAAGAGAAGAAAGAGTTTTGATCACTGGGCAAGCAAAGCTGAATTCTCCTAGAAAAGCAGAAGAATAAAGGACCTTCTGAGTGAAGCTGCATGCAGTTTGGGGGAGGGGGGCCCAGCATCCTGCAAAGAATTTCAGTTCTTCAGCTAGAACAGCGGCTCCCAACTTTTTATGCCACGGATTGCTTCTTTATTTCTTTGCCTTTAGTATCAGTTGTAATGTGCTGTGCTAGATGCGGTACAGTTTTTAATTATATTTTTATTGCTTCTTCTTATTTCTTATTTCTTGTATTTTATTGAATTCCAAGATGAGCCTTTGGTTTAACCCAGCGTTTAACCAAGTGGGTGGTACTGCCCCTTGTGGGGTGGTGGGGTTACCTAGTGGGGTGCTAAGAGGCAAGGGGAGAGCAGGGGGTGCTGGAGATGTAAATGGGTATCAGACTTTGAAAAGCTGGGTTCACAAGTTCATCTGTTTTGTTGAATGAATTAAATTAAATAGTTTTATTTGAATAAGTGTGCAATTAACTGTTAGTGTTTTGAATTTCATTGCGTTATTATCTTCCTTAGTGGGTTATGCATACCACTAATCTGAATAATACCTTTTATAGGGTAGGGTAGAAGGCACTGGGGATGAGATTATGGAACCAAGGAGGCAGTGGCCCAAAAAAGTTTGGGAACTACTGGTCTAATCCAGTAGGCCACCCGGTTGGGATCATGTTCTTAAGTTCCAAAAACAAAGAGCCCGTCTTCTGATACCTTGATCTGCCTGATAAGATTCCAGGTAGCTGAATATCCTTGCATGAATGGCCTTCTTCTGCCCCTCCGTAAAACGATCGAACACCTTGTCCATCGCTTGCACCCTGAGGAAGACAAAGATAGTGAACGGCTTGTATCAAATGGGGTCCCAAAACTCCAGCGTAGTTCATGCCCTTTTAGAAAGACAAACAGGATGGGACATAAAGGTGGACCAAGTTATCAAGCACCATCTGGACGTAGGGATTGATGACTCTTCATTTCTCATTTTTCCAATTCTTAAATTCCGTTCTACACATTGCCACATCATTTGCAATTTTTTTTAAGAGGCCCTCATGAAAATCATCAGCATTTTAGTGCATTTTCTGCATGCTGCTTTGCCCAACAGACACATTTTTTGCATGCTGCTTTGCCCAACAGACACATTTTTTGCATGCTGCTTTGCCCAACAGACACATTTTTTGCATGCTGCTTTGCCCAACAGACACATTTTTTTCCAAAACAGTTATATCAAATAAAACGAATTTTTGGATCTGACTTCACTAATACATGCATTCTGAAATGCACACTTTACCCTAGTATAGGCATTCTTTGTACACGTCACCTAGCTAGAGAATGGCACTACAAAATTCAGGGGAGTGTAAATTTCAAAGGACAGCTGTGCTTTGCATTGTTTCAGAAAGTGAAGATTTAAAATTTCTTTAAATGAGAACTGAATCCAATTTCTCCACTGTCCCTACCCTGATAAGGCTAAAAAGACATGGGTGTTTTCCCAGACTTACAAATTTTGGTGAGACTGGCAGTCAATATCAAGGGGAATCAGCAGCAGGTCCTTTGGTTTAAGAGATGGCAGGAGGAACTGGAGCTGAGTGCCAAACCAGAATGAGTATTGCTCTGCAGAAAAGGTGCTGAACTTGAGTGTCTTGAAGACCATCTCAAAGATCAAGTTACGGATCCGGAGGTCTGGGAGGACGAGCAGCTGCCTCTGCAAGGGAAATGGACAGGTAGAGTTCCAAGATTAGCGGGTGGTGGTTTGTCCAGCAAAATCCAAATCTAGATGTGAGGAGATTCTAGCTTTTCAATGGGAGTTTGCAGTGGAGCTCTTCATGAGGCCGTCCACCTGTAAAACTAGCTCATGTATAAATACAATGGGATGAATTCTAAGCATAGTGCGATCTCCCCCAAACCGGTCCCTCCAATGATGGCCAAGACTGAGGAAATTCATCATCCAAAACTTTTGAAGGGCACAAGCTTGGGGGAGACTAATCTGGCAGGACTCCTCCTGTGTGCCCTGCTCAGAGGAACACAGGAAGCAGTCTGACACTGAGTCAAGAGTTGGAAGGAAGATAAAGTCCCAACCAGAGGCGAATGGTTGATAAAGATGACAGAATGAAATGACGAAAATGACTGGGAAGATCAGAAACCAGGAAGAAGGAAAATTTAATAAGGAATGGGGGAAATTTATAAACACTGTAAACAACTAAAAACTTTGGCAGAATTTTAGCAACACTTGTAATGTACTAAGGTAAAAATGGATTGAGTTAAGAAATATGGGAAATTATATGATGCGGTAGATGAAGTTTGACAGTGGAAACCATGGAAGGGGGAGGGAGTCTAAGGATTCAATGAATCCTAAATGTTGATGATTATGAATGTTGTTTGAATTTAATTGTACAATGTAAAACTGAATTAATGAGACAGAGACAGACAGACAGAGAGAGAGACTGAGTCAGACCATTAGGCCATCTTGTCTATGCTGAGAGTGCATTCAAACTTGGGGGAAATTGTTCTAGTTTTCTTGATTACACTGTCACTGCTTCTGTCCTGCTTTCTAACATTCCTTCCACACTGCAGTGACTGTTGTGTTATGGAGCAGTGTGGCTTTTTCACTGCTATACCACTATGTCCCGTCCCCCCCATGAAAATGGCAGCAAAGAACTGTATGCTGGTATACAGTTTCACAACAATACTCCCACAATCTTTTCAGTTCCCATCCAGGGAAGGGGCCCACGACTCATATCTTCTACCACAAAGCTACAACCTTCTTCAAGTTCCAAGACTGCAGGGAGAATGAATTTTATGGAAAGTGCAATTGTTCAGTGTTGACTGTGCAAAATGATTGGGGGGGGGGATTTGACGCAAGTTAGAAAATGATACTTTCCCGTCCAGGTGAAAGCGCAGCACAGTTACCTGGTTTACCGCAGCAGTGAACTCAGCTGTGAAGTCCCTCATTTCCTCAGGGGGGCGCTTCTCTAATTCCGCCAAGATCTGGACAGCAAGGCGCTCATTTCTGAATGCGTTCGTAAAAACCATCATCGCGCCCATTTGCTTTGGAGTCAGGGCAGAGAGGGCTTCAAACTGGCAGGGAGAAAATTCATGGAGAAACAGATTCAGCAGACATCCAAGAAATTTAGCTTTGGTTGAGCAAGGGCAGGCATATTCTTCAGTCGGCATTTTTGTAAAGAAACCTAATTCTAGCTTAGTGCCATGAACACTATTGTCATGAACTACAAGAAAGTCAAGTGAAACCAATCAACCATTTTTTTAAATAAACAAACACCTATTTTTAAGAATGAAGGAAAATGGAGTTTTTAGAACACAACCTATCTATCTGATTTAACCATCAAGCAGCGATTCATTTCTGGGAATATGTAAATTCATCCTGAATATTCACTTACCCCATTAAAATTCGGATATAAGATGGCTAAGTCAGCGTAAGGCACAAAACGCACAAATCTGTAAAAGAGGAGTTGCAGGAAGCTCCGGCTGTTGTTGTAAGCACCAGGGAATGCTGTCCCTAAAAATCAGAAATTTGCAAAACAAAAACACAGAAATATTCGTTTATACAGATAGTCTTCACCACACTTAGCAGACCACTCATCTGCCAGAGCAACATCCCAAGCCAGCCATGACACAGCAGGCACTGCCACCCCTAAATTCCATGAAGCAGATACCTGAGGCATTGATTTGGAATTGCATTATTCTCTTCATCAAATTGTAGATCTGGATGGATGCCTCCTCGGGTAACTCTGGGAAGACCTGATCGAAACCTCCAAATCTGCAAATGAACAGGAGAGAAATGAAACGAAGTAAATACCAGACAGCTGGAGTTTAAAGAGCTAAAGCTATCTGCCATAAATAGCTAATAGAAGGCACTATATCTTCTCAACAACCATGTGAAGTAAGTTAGGCTAAGAGCTGATAACTGACCCATTAGGAAGTGAGCAAAAGTGAGCAATGGGAGGTGAGTTTCAAATATGAAAACGCACATGCTTTTTGTGTGTTTATTAAGTCCGGTGAAATGCTTTTTTGTTTGTGCTTTTCTGACAGTTGTGAAATTGCATGTGTTCAGAGTATTTTTTTATTTTTTATTTTAGTCTTATGCAATAATTTGGTAGACTTTGTGATGTATTTTCTGGCACCTTATTTAATGCATTCCTTTTGGGGAAGAATGGGGGGGTCCTATTCTGGCAACCACCTTAATCTAGGTCTGCTTGCAGGAGTGAGTTCCATAGTTTATGTATGCACTGTGTTAAGAATTGTTTTCTTTAGTCTGTCCTGAATCGTCCAACATCCAGTTTCTACCATTCGACTCTACTCAGATTCTAACGTTATATGAGAAGCAGATTGACCAACAAAATCTGAAGCTGATTGATCAAAAGGGGCCACTTGCAATTGATGTGGAAAGTAATGAAAGGTGACACCTACATGGCGCGAAAGGAGGCAAAGCTGACATCGAGAGGAATCAGCTGGAGCAGGTTCACATTGATGCTGGGCAAAAGGAGTTTCAGCTTCGTGGTGAACCAGTTCTGGTAGTCCAAAGCAGTGAATTTACGGAAATGGCGGGCCAGGTTTCTGAAAACGGTGCTGAGCAGTTCCAACCTCACCTCGGCATTTCTGATACCCGGGATGTTCTTCTGCAAAAAGGGGAGGAAAGTTTCTGAAGGGAAAGGATGATTTCGGCCACTGCAAATCTACACACCAGATGGGAGGGCATCTGCAGAGCAAAATTATTACCACCACCACCCCAAGGAATGTCACCAATCCGATCAAAACTCTTTTTGTTTCCACTGAAGCTTCCTGGATGTTTGCTTTGCACTGGAGGGGCTGGAAGTTGATTGTTTCTTTGGAACTTACCTGTTCAAGGATGAAATTGAGCCTTGTCAAGAACACATCCATCTTTGCAAGTGGGATTTCAGAGCGGCCAGTCTCTAGGCTCAACAGAACCTGTCTCAGGGTTGTCACATTGACCAGAGCGTCCGAGGTCGTGATGACGTCTACCAGCTGTTCAGTGCTCAGGGTGTTCAAGATGGCAAACTAGAAAACATAGACACTACTCAATCATAGTTTTTCACTCAATTACAAAAATAGATAGGGATAGCATACAATTTATGTTGATATACCAATAAGGGACAGCCCATTTTTGTGCAACCCTAATGATTAGGGGGTGCACTTTAGTTCTTTGAATGCAGAAGGTCCCAGGTTCAATCCTCAGCATCCCCCCATTTAAAAAAAAAAACTCAGTAGGAAATGATGGGCAAGACATCAATCTGAGACCCTTGAGAGCTGCTGCCAATCAGAATAGACAATACTGAGTGAGATGGGCAAACAATCTGATGTAATATATCTATCAGCTTTCCATACAGATAAATTGACATATGAAATGGTTCAGTCTTTTCAAGGGAAAATAGGATCAACAGAAGAAGGGTTAGATGAATTAAGAAAACTAAATGTGGGACTAATTGATGGAGGGGGGGTTGCTTTAATTATAGGCTATAAAAACAATGAATGCTGTAAAGGGGGAATAATAGATCAAATATAAACTTAAGATTTATAATCCTGTTTGTAGAATTTATTTTGCTTTAAGGAAATATAATCTGAATCCTAAAATACTGGTCAAAAAGGGAAGGGGTTAATTTATATTTATTTAATTAATATTAGTTTTGTAATATCTTTTGGTGGGGGAACAGCTCAGGCTACTGGGACACAATTTGGGGTACAAATTTGTTTTATATTTTGTAAACCTCTCAGATAAGCAGCATATACAATAAGGAGCATATACAAGAAAAGAAGAATCGTCATCTTCATCATTAATACTATGCAGCATAGTATTAATTTTTATGCAGCAGCACATTCCTCCCTTCCTTACAAAGAACAGCTGTTTTATTACAAGTACGGGGCTGCCCCTTCCATGAAACTTTGCCCCCCGGGGTCGCCGTCTGAATGCTCAGTTTTCTGCTCTGCACCCACAAGCCACATGCCCCTGATTCTTGCCTTCTTGGCAACAACTTCATTTTTCAAAATTTGCTTGTCATCAAGAAAGCAAACCTACAGGATCGAAGTCTTCCTTGATGGATTCCACTTCTCCCAAGGTGGCGTCCTTGAAGAACGAGCCCCAGGCTAACTTGATCCACTCAGCAAATGGTTCACTGGGCTTTTCTGAATGGGTAATAAGAGGACACAGGAAATATTTGAGCCTTTCATTATACTAGAAGCCACTGATATTTGTCAGGGGACATTTTAAGTATCTGGGGCTCTGGGATTGCTCTACAGGCTCCCCCTGGCTTCTTTGGTCATGTTACCTTTTAGGTCTTTGAGGTTCTGGATGATCCACAGTACGACAGCTCTCCTGAAGGGTTCTGCCATTTGGGAATGTGCTCCACTAAGCCCAGCAACACTGTCATGACACAAATAGCAAAGATGATGAAACGACACACAGACACACATATACAATAGCTAAGAGCTTGCCATCCTGTGGAATGTTGCAAGGGATTCTGGGGCACACTTATCCGCTTGCACATGGTATATGCCTCAAGAGTATGACCAGCTATTCCATCTCATTCCATCCCCCTTCTGTGTGATGTCATCCCGTTCTGTCCCCTTATAAGCCATTTCTTCCCATTTCATTTAAAATGCATTTTGTATGTGTTTTATGCGTGCCATTTTCATAATACACATTTCAATGCTTTTGAAAGCATTCACCAGTAAAATGTATATTTTGTACCTATCATTCACATAAAACACATGCTTCTCCATGCACAATTTTGCCCACATTGCAAAATCCAGAGAAGTGCCTCTTTTTCACTGGGAGTCATGTTCCAATCTGTGCACAAGTCTAGGAGATAGGAGCTATCTAATGTGACAAAATTCCTGCTGTGGTTCTGATCTGCGGGTTGTATCTGCTCTTTGAATTAGGGGGAAAGTTCCCGCTGGAGTCAATGGGAACTTCAACCAGGGCTTCAAGTTAACTTGCTTCAAATATTAACCAGTTAGTCAGTTCGGATGAAACAAGCTGTACTAAACAAAACTGCAAATAAAAATTTCCAAACACCTCCTCTTAGCCACGTGAGTGCACAAACCTATCGCTTGCCACTTTGTGCTCATCACATTAAACTATAGTTTAAACAACTATCCACACTGGCACATCTGCAATACCTTCCTTTCCTTCCTTTTAAAATTTATTTTTATTTAAATAACTTTTTATTGGGCTTTATAAACAGGGATCATAGGAATAATAAATGATAACCCGTGACGGCTGTGGGCAGGATTCCAGCTCTAGAGTTCTATGATATTCTATAAGATTCTTCTATGAGATTCTATGAGCATTGGAAATGGCTCAGCCCACAGCGAGAAATGGACCATACAAAATCCCTCCCTCATCCTCTAGCGCCCAGTGAACTCACGTCGAGACTTACATGGCGGTAAAGGAGTTGTAGTTTTGGGGGGCAAAGTAAGCAAGGGTTGTTGCATTGACCACAGAGCAGAGGAAGCGCAGTTCCCCCTGAAAAGTGGCGTTCCAGTCTGCTGCTGTGTAGGTTTCCATTTGAGAAGAGGCGAGCGTCAGGTAATTTGTCAAGAGCAACTGCGCAACTTCGGTGTTTGGGAGAACCGTCATCTTGTGCTGCAGAAGGATTAAACAAAGACACCTCCGAGGAATCAGTTTCTAAATGAAAAGCACAGAATCCTCTATACAGTGGTACCTTGGTTCTCAAACTTAAACCGTTCCGGAAGTCTGTTCCAAAACCAAAAGCGTTCCAAAACCAAGACACGCTTTCCCATTGAAAGTAATGCAAAACGGATTAATCCGTTCCAGACTTTTAAAAACAGCCCCTAAATCAGCAATTTTAACATGAATTTTGCTCTCTAACGAGACCACTGATCTATAAAATGAAAGGAATGAACAATGTACTGCAGTCACACAATCAATCAATCAGTAGCTGAACTGGGTTCCACACAGTCACAAAAAAAGAGCCACAAAAACAAAAATGCAAAATAAATAGTAAAAACAGACAGATCTCAGTGTAACACTCAAAACGAAAGTGTCGCACTCAAAACGGAGCACGTTCAGCTTCCAAAAAAAGTTTGCAAACCGGAAAACTTACTTCCGGGTTTACAGTGTTTGGGTTCCAAGTTGTTTGAGTACCAAGGTGTTTGAGAACCAAGGTACCACTGTATATATTTTTCCAATGTCCCTAATTGTAGACAGGATACCTAATTTGAACTTAACCGTTTAACTATGTTCCCATGTGTATTTAAGAGTGGATTGTTTTGCTAGAGTTGGTGAGTTAACAGTCAGAACCCAAGGCAACAGCATCACTTGGCAATTTTATAGTACTAGGGGCTATCGCTCCTGCTCATTTCCCTAGCCAACCCTGGCTACCTGTTTGCCCGTCCGCCACCCCTCACCCCCCCCTCTACACCTCACTCACCCACTAGCAAATCCCTCCACAGCATTGCTGTTTACTGCCTTAGGATTCTTTGGAAGGAAAGGTGAAGAAGAAGAAGAAGAAGAGTTTGGATTTGATATCCCGCTTTATCACTACCCGAAGGAGTCTCAAAGCAGCTAACAATCTCCTTTCAGTGGGATAGAGATTTAACAATAATCATAATAACTTCAGCTGTGATTCCTTGCTTTGCAAGGGGTTGGACTCAATGACCGTTGGACTCCTTCCAATTATTCTACAAGAGTTTCAGGGGAAATACCTGAATTGCAGTCCTGGTGAATTGCTTCAGAATCATCTGGACAAAGTCAACGCTGCTTTCTTGGAAGAAGCTGACGAGGCGCAATGCCAAATCCATGCTGGTCAGGGTGTTTGAATGTACAATCATGTCTCCAATCTGGATCGGAGTTAAAAGATCCAATACTGCGTACTGGAAATAAGAATGTCAGAATGTCAGAAGGGACTGTTTGCTCTTTCTGCTCACTTCCTGCTTGCACTGGCTCAGCATCTCCCACAGTGAATACACCCCTTGAACATGCTCCCATGCCGCTGAATGCCAGGACTGGACATTCTCCCTCCTATCTGTTCCCAAAAGTAGAGAGGTTCAAAGCGCTTCTTTCTGTAAATGCTAGCACAGCTCTGGTTGACAAAGGTGCTTTCCCCCACCTCCACCAAAAGGGGGGGAAGCATTTTCAGATTTTAGATGTTGCACCCATCACACAATGCCACTTGGCAGCCATTTTGTGACTAGCGCCCACATCACTTTCTCAAAATTTCCCACCGGTTTGCAAGCACTAACTTACAGCATCAAATGTTTGTCGATAGTATGAAACCAGCTGAACATATGGTACTTCCGTATAGAATTGCCCAAAGTAGGTGAGTAGCCAATTTCTGGGTGTGGTTTGGCCAAAGCAGGCAGGACCTGGAAGGAAGAGACGGAAGCAAAAGTCATGACTTATCTGCCCAGTGAAAGAATGTCAGGGCCAGCCCGAGACATTTTGCTGATGGAGAGAGAGCAGTAATTCCCCTCTCCAGGATTCGAAAGGCTCACATAACTGGCATCAAAAATAGGTTCCAGGACTAAATTCTGGCAAGTTAGCCTGAACATTTTATGTATTTGACTTTAATTGAATTATCATTATTTTTAACTTTAGATTTTATATGCTGCGTAAATATATTTCCACATGCATTTGCAGTATAGAAATGAATAAATGAAAAGCTAAGGCCTGTGTATTCCAAATACAGTGGTACCTCTGGTTACGTAATTAATTCGTTACAGAGGTTTGTTCTTAACCTGAAATCGTTCTTAACCTGAGGTACCACTTTAGCTAATGGGGCCTCCTGCTGCTGCCGCGGCACGATTTCTGTTCTCATCCTGAGGTAAAATTCTTAACCCGAGGTAGTACTACCGGGTTAGTGGAGTCTGTAATCCGAAGTGTTTGTAACTCGAGGTGTTTGTAACCCGAGGTACCACTGTAATCCCTTTGTTTTAGCTCAGCGGTTCTCAAAAAGTGTGGTGCACACTGGTGTGGCACGAGAGAATCAAAAGAGCAGCATGAAGATTCAAAGTCAATCCAGGAAACATTTAAACATTTCAGTGTAGTGTAGTGTAGTGTAGGACAGCATAAAAAAACCAGTGTTATATGGATAGATAGACTTTCAAAATGAGAGCAAGAGCAGCAAGTGATACTGAGGACAACCTTAGCTGTCATCCAGAATCACTGTGCAAACATTGGCTATTCTACAGTTCCCCATGTTGTGAACAGGGATTTTCAACTCTGACAAATACGAAAGATCAGAAGAGAAAAAGGCTTCTTTGTGTTGATGAGGAGATGAGACTAGAAAGTTTGTTTGTCTCAGATTAGATCTAATATAAATTACCTGGAAAAAGGAAGCTCACACCTCTCACTGAGTTTGTAGACATACTTCAGGTACACATGTAAGGGGCTCATTTAAAATTATACTTTGGGAATGATTCATCTTATGTAGCTGCATTGTTTTATACTTTCTGGATGTCCTATGATCATGTTATAAAGTAGTTGTGTTCTAGGTTATAAATCAAGCACTGCTAGGAGTCGTTTCTTTTTGTTTTCCAGTGTAGTTCTTATCAATAACAATTTTTGGTGTGGCGCGAACAAATTTTTATTTGGAAAGGGTAGCCCAGATAAAAAAAGTCTGAGAACCACTGTTTGTTCACGCCTCCTATTTTCCTCCTGACAGGTCTGCCCCAAAATCCAGTTCTTTACCAGTGGTCTGAGACTTCTGGGTTAGGAAAGAAACAATGTAGTTGACACAATCCTGCTTCCTTTCCTGTGGAATTTCAGAGAAGCTTCTGTTGATCCCAGCAATCCTGGAATAAGAAGGAAAAGGCACCGTTAGAATATATGCACACTATACACACTTAAACCAGTTTCATTGCCCAGTTCATTCTGGGAAGAATGATGAGCATGTTGGGAGTTCTCAATTGGTTAGTCCAGGGACAAGCTAGATCTCCATCGCCCCAACCCTGGTGGGACCAAATGTGACTGGGAGCCATAGCCGTCAACTTTTCCCTTTTCTTGCGAGGAATCCTATTTGGAATAAGGGAATTTCCCTTTAAAAAAGGGAAACGTTGACAGCTATGCTGGGAAACCTTCTGCAGGAATTGACTTTGCAGCCAAGTCCCCCACCCTAGCTGCTAATTTAGTAACGTGCATTAATTTCAGTGAGTATACTCTGAGTAGGCCTAATGTTGGACACAACTCTTAAGTTTTAATCTGTTTTTTTAGGAAATCACATTGACTGCTGCTGTGTTGTTGTTGTTTAAATTTCTATTCTGACCTTCATCCAAGATCTCAGGGAAGTTTACAGTATAAAAACACATAAATACATATCATAATAACAAACAAAAACAATACCCCTCCACACATTTTAAAAGGGCATAGGTTGTTTAATTAGACAAAGGCCTGGGAAAAGAGGGGTGTTTCTGCCTCAGGATATGTAACTGAGGTGCCAGGTGAGCCTCCCTGGAAAGAACATTCCAGAAGCAAGCAGCCACTGCAGAAATGGCCGGTTCTTGTGTTGCCACCCTCCAGACCTCTGATGGAGGAGGCACATGGAGAAGGGCTTCAGATGATGATTCACAGGGTCCAGGCTGGTTCATATGGGGCAAAGCAGTCCTTGAGGTACTGCAGTCCTGAGTTGTTTAAGGCTTTTTAGATGAAAACCAACACTTTGAATTGGGCCCAAAAGGCACTTGGCAGCCAGTGCAGTCGGACCAGGATTCTATGCTCAAACTGTCTTGCCCCAGTAACAAGCTCGCCGCTGAATTCTGCACCAGCTGAAGTTTCTGAACCATCTCCAGAGGCAGACCTATGTTTAACACGTTGCAGTAATCTAACCTAGAGATTACCAGAGCAGAGGTTAGGCTGTCTCTGTCCAGATTTTATGTAAATCCCTCAGAGGTGTTTTATTATAGTAAGCGGTAAAAAACATGGATAAATAAATAGGTTCGGAGGGGACCTTCCCCCAAAATAAAGAACAGGTCAACACTCACACAGACTTGTACGCTTCGCAGGATATACTTTTGGGGATTTGCCCAAGAAACTCTGCATTCACACTGGACAGGACGACCGCCAGTCTATCCTCAAACCAGACCCGAAAATCAGCATTGGTGAAGGTTGAAAATGCCACGCTCAAGCGCTCCATCGTCGAGGTGAGCATGGCCATTTTCACATCCATTGAGATATTGAGCACGCTGGCAGAACTGGGCTAAAATGGAGATGAAAGATGATTACAAACTTTGGCAGGAAGATTTTGAGAGAAGAGGGCCGGAGATCAGGGAAGGTCTTGTTACTGCTTTAAATTTGGGGGTCCTTCCTTGAATACCAGACAGGCACCTCCCTGTTGTCTTTTAGGCACTTACTGAAGACTTTTCTCTTCTAGCATACCTTTGAAGTCAATCTTTCGCATGCAAGGTGGGTACTTTTGATTAATGCTCCACCCCTTCCCTTAAGTGAACCTATGAAGCTGCCTTTTATCAAGCCAGACCACTGTTCCACCTGGCTCAGTTTTGTCTACACTGAATTCCAGTAGCACTCAGGATTTTTTCCTCATCCTTCCTAGAGATCTCCTTATATAAAGAGAAATGTAAGGCTGTCATCATGCAGCTTGAATTAGAGGATTTGCAATGCCACATCACAATTTGCATGAATTCTAGGTGGGGTAGGGGAGCAAAAGTGAAGGCAGGTTGCACAACAACACTAGCCACAGCAGAGGAATGAGAAGAGAGGGAATACCAACAAGGGGAATTTAAAACAACAGCAGAAGTTTAAATAAGGCAGGGAGGGACACAGAGGGAAATGGCTGTTTTAAGCAATAGCAGACGATGGTGGGGTAATTTATGTGCAAGAGAGTTGCACCAGAGGAGGGGGAGAAGGCAGAGACATGGGGTTAAAGGTGAAAGCTAGGGGTGCGGCCCCTAGTAAGAACGTAAGATGAGCTTGCTGGATCAGGTCAATGGCTCATTGATCATTCCCAGGGGACCTTTGGAGGAAGCCATTACAGCCAAACCAATTTGCATGAGGTGTTTCGAATTCCTCTACAGCAGCCTTTCTTAACCTGTGGGTCCCCAGATGTTGTTGAACTAAAACTCCCATCACCCCTAGCTAGCAAGGCCAGAGCTCAGGGATGATGGGAGTTGTAGTCCAACAACATCTGGGGACCTACAGGTTGAGAACCACTGCTCTACAGTGTGGCACTCACCAAAGCATGCACAACTGTTGCACAGGGGTAGCCAACACGGTGCCCCTCAGATGTCCAGGAACTCCCAGGATTCCATACTGTTCCCTATGATAGCTTGGGCTGGTAGAAGTTGTGACCCAGCAAAATCTGGAGGGCATCGCATTGGCCTGCCCTGGTGTAGCTCATGGGTGCACTATCAGCTACTTCAGATAGTATATCAAACCAGACCACTACTCCCTTGGCCACCAAGATACCAGCCACCAAGTCAATAGGGTTCCATTTGCTAGAAGACCTTGCAAAAAAACAACAACCCAGTTGCTCTAGAAGCTATTAATTAAAATGCCATTCCATCCCATCTGCTTGCCTAAGATGGGGTTTGCTCCATGATGCAAAAGACCTTACCTGAGACAAAGACCGGCTGACTCTGAGTCTCGGTTTCTGAGACTCTGGGTATCTTCGGGTAGCCTAATAAAAATTATTATTATACTTACTGGAGAGGGCGTGAACGGACAGGGACATTAACATAGCTTTGGCACATATTATTAAAGTCTAAGAAATGGCTTATTTCCCTGTCCGTCCGTCCATCCATCCATCTACCCCCATACAGCCCATCCTCTGAAGCAGTCATATGGCAAGGGCAGGTTTACACAGCAAGATGTCATTGGTTTCAAACTGGTTCAAGGAGTCATTGCTTATGGCTTCCCTCGCAAAAAATCCATCAAGTCAAGGACATGCTAATTCAAACAACTGTCATGGATGTTTCAGCTGCGATTCCTGCATTGCAGGGGTTGGACTGGATGACCTTTGGGATCCCTTCCAACTCTACAATTCTATGATTCTTTAACTCATACTTGAAGGCTGTATCTGAAGCCAGTTCAGACCAAAGGACCATAGCAAGAGGCAAATATGTTAAAGGCCCCCTACCCTAATCATGAGAAGAACCCCAACCTAGAGTTCAGGCTGCTTGACTCTTTCTGAATGGAAATTTGTGTACTCTGGGGATTAATGTTACATGCCATATGGTTCAAACAGTTGTCAATGGCCCATCTGGTGCGGCTCCCTGTTCCCACAGTGGCCAACCAGATGCCTCTTCTGGGAAGTCTGCAAACAGGACTTGAGTACGAGAGCCCTCTCCCCACCGGCAATTCCAAGCAATTGTTACTTAGATGCATGCTGCCTCCAACAGCAGAGGTAAAACAGCCTTCTGGTTCCTCCATGCATTTGCCAAATCCTCTTTTAAAGCCATTCAAAGTTGTGGCCATCAGTGCTTCCTGGGGGAATGAGTGCCACATTTTAACAATGGGCTGTGCGAAGAAGGGCTTTCTTTCGTCTGTCCTGAATGGCCCTAAGTTCCAGGGCTGTGAGAGAGGGAAGAAAGCTTTTCTCTACATCTGCTTTCTCAACACTTTCTGTTATTCCAGAAAGTCATTTCTGGTGCCCTGCTCGGCGGTGGAAGGCGGGTCCCTGAGCTCTGTACCTTTTTGTAGGCAATGTTGAATGCATCCCAGAAAGCAGCCAGGTGATCAAGGCCAGGCAGCTGAGCCAGCCTTGCGAAGACCATCTTCACTTTATCGACGCAGCAGAGCATCTCTGGATTCACAGTCAGCTGAGCAAGTTGTACTGCTGAGAGTTCCCCCAGGTTAGCCGTCTGAAACAGAGAGAAGGCACACAGAAATGAACAGCTTCATCCATCCACCCGATTTTCTTTTCTTTCTTTTTTTATATAAATTTATTTATTTGGTTTTTCATGTATGATACAAAACAGACATCACCATTAATTAAAATAGTAAAGTAAAAGGGTTCCCCAAGCCTTCAGACGTCCCTCCATGGGTTCCATTTCAAACTGTCATTTCTGCATCCATCCCCCCCCCCAATCTATCTATTAAGTATCCATAATTTCCAAAGTTCATGTTACTTTACAAGTGTCATTGTATCCCTGCTAATGATTTTTAACTGTTACACTGGTCTCTCAAATAGGCCATCCGCTTTTCATCCTGGGGATTAGTTGTCATCATGTTACCTTAGCCTGAGAAGATCTGAGTTCAAATCCTTGCTAAGTCCTGGAGCTCACTGGGTGCTCTAGCCTAGTAATCTTCAAGCGTTTCAGTCCTAACACCCACCTTTAACCCAAACATGCATTTGGGGACCCATTTCTTAATCTTTCCCCATATATTTGCATGGCAGTGGTGCTCCCGTTGCAATCCGCCTTGGATCAGGTCGCAACTCACAAGTGGTTCCTGACTCATCAGCCTAAGACCAGCCTACTGCTTGGGGTTGTTGCAAAGACTGAAATGTGATGATCCCTTATGCAACACCTTACATGTCTTGGAGGAAAGTTGGAATATAAATATAATAAACTATAGCAGTTAACATTTACAATGGACACTCGGGTTGCAAACGTGATCCGTGCAGGAGACACGTTCGCAACCTGCAGCGCCGCGTCTGCGCATGCGTGGGTTGCGATTCAGTGCTTCTGCACATGTGCAAAGTGTGATTTAGTGTTTCTGCGCATGCGCGAGCGCCAAAACCCGGAAGTAACCTGTTCTGGTACTTCCGGGTTCGGCACAGTGCGCAACCCGAAAACGTGCAACCCAAAGCATCTGTAACCCGAGCTATGACTGTATATGGTGCTTTTATATGATCCAAGTTCTTTGCCCACTTTATTTCATTGCATTTCATACAACAGCCCTATGAGGTGGGCCAGTGTTATCATCCCCATATTGTGAAGGCTGGAAGTCAGGCCACTGGTCAATCTATCTCATTACCGCCTACACTGACTAGCAGCGGCTTTCCAGGGTTTCAGGCAAGAGTCTCTCCCATCCCTGCCTGGAGATGCCATTATGGATTGAACCTGGGGCCTTCTGCATGCAAAGCAGGTGCTCTACCACAGAGCTAAGGGCTTAAGACCAAAGGATGAATTGCCCCTCTGCTGCTGTGGTAAAATATGGACCAGACCCTGGTTGATCTTAATAGCAAGAGCATCACAGCTGATCTTACCCCATTGAAGCTTGGGTCAAGAGACATCAAATCTGTGATGCTAATGAAGGACTTGAATCTCTGGAAGTTGAGGGAGAGCCAGTTTCCGGTCATCTGGCAGTCTGAAATAAATAATAATAATAATAAATGTTTCTGCAATTCTGCAAGTAGGTACCCATTTAGGAGCACCAGATGAACAAAGCAAATGCTTGCAAATATTTAACCAAAGTCCCAAAAGATGGGTTGTCGCTGCACTGTTGTTTATGCAGCAATGTAAAGTAAGAACCAGTGGATTTTGCCAGGGATGAAAGGGTAATTTAATTTCTAGTCAACTTCACTTTTGCATTCGTTCATTCCTAAGGCCATTCCATAAATGCCCCACCACTACCTGTGAAATGCTGCCCCGAACAAGGCCCACCTGGAACCAACACTGAACTTCTTTTCACAGCCAGGTGAAGACTTCTCCCTGGAATTTGATCCCTTTACTTTATCTTAGGAGTCATCCACACTTCCATTCGCCCCACCACTTTCTCCCTGGAAAACCCATGGTTTAGTGCTGAATTAGATTGACATCTGCTCCGGTTTAGAGCAAACAAGAGGGTTTCTCAGGGAAAGCAGTGGGCAATGGCAAAACTACTCTGACCTGAGCCTAGAAAGCACCGGACGAGCAGAAAACCGCTTCAGCCCACACTTTCTTGCCACGGGACAAGCGAAAGTGTAGACAAGTTCTCAAGTTCTGTTCTGGGTTGCTCCACCCCTGATGGAAGCTTGCAATTTATGTTTTGTGAATTGATTTTATTTCTTTGAATATTGACAGGTTTTATATTAATCAGTTTTTATATCTTTAAACATGATTGTAGAGACAGTCCTGTGTTAGATGGCTAACAAATTAATTTATTAATAATAGTAATAAAAATGATGGTGATGGTGACTCCGTTCTGTTTGCACACTAATCCACACAAAGGATCCCATCATATTTCTGCCCATGGCTCCTTCGGGAGGAGAGATGGGACAGCAATTTAATAAAGTAAAGGAACAACCTGTGAGTGGAGGGCTGACATTAAGATTTCAGAAGAAAGAAACGAAGAGATCCAAAACTGACTGATTCCTCCACCCGTACATGAGTTAGAAAGCCAGGAAACAAAAGGCTCACCTGTTTTTCGAAGGGCCTGGAGGATCCACTGGGCCACACCAGTCTTGGTCTCCAATGACATCTGGTCAAAGGCAGAATCCATCCCTTTCACACTGCAAGGCATCCAAATGCAGGCACACCATTAATCCAGAACACTTTGGTCTCCAGTTCTGCCCACCAAGGCAGCCCCAAACAGATTACTCCTGAGGAATTGTGGCCCTCTATAGATTGGCCCCCCATAGTTTACACACCCTGATTTATACACCCAAGCCAAAGACTGAAAAATCAGCACCAGGAGACACAAGAATAGTCAGGAAATTACTTGGGTGGTTAAATGTGCTTTTAACTCCGGGCAAAAGCTGTCCACAGATTCCCCACCCCGCTAATCTGAATAAAGACATTTATTCCATAGGTTGAGGCCACTCCTAAGAAGACCCTCCTCCATACCTTGGCCAGATCTGCCTCTGTCCAATGTGTACAATCCTCAGGCCCCCTCCCTAGCAGATTACAATGATGGGGGCAGCCTCTACAGAGGAAGGCCATCTCTCAGCTAATAGCATTATAAAACTGTTGAGTTGGAAAGGACCTCAAGGTTCATCTAGTCTTTGGCAACCCAACCTCTGTTTACAAACCTCCAGTGAAGGAGAGTCCACCACCTTCCTAGGGAGTCCATTCCACTGTCAAACAGCTCTCACCACCAGAAAGTTATCCCTAATGTTTAGCTGAAAGCTCCTTTCTTGCCATTCGAATGCATTGGTTCAGGTCCTACCTTCTGGAGCAGCAGCAGCAGAAAACCAGCTTGCTCCATATTGCATTATCCATCTCACCTGATCTTGGGCTATTTCGGGCCTTAAAACTGTCTGCATAGCAAAACAGCAGCCAATGCACCTCCTTCAGCCTGGGTGTTATTATATGCACCCAGCACGAAACCCCACTAATCAAACTTTTACTTACATGGGTTGTATCTGCGTGCAGTTGGGGAGAGTAGGAAGGGCCCCCAGCTCCTCCACTGTGATGGATGGGAAATAAATTATCAGGAGCCCATTGAACCAGGACAGTAAATCAGGCATTGGCATGGAGGCAAAGTGTGGCTTCAGGAGTTGGAAAATCCCCCGTAGCATGATCTCACGAACCCGCACATTGGTTATCTCTGTGATGCTCCCCTGGAGACAAAGAACATACAAACATCAAATGTATGGAGGTTCGTTTCTTTTATTTCAGATTCGAAAATCTGCTTTATCCTTGGCGTGAATGGCAGGGATCTTAGAAAGCTCTGCATTCGAACAGAACAATGGATCTAAGAACCTAAGACAGCGGTTCTCAACCTGTGGGTCCCCAGATGTTGTTGGACTACAACTCCCATCAACCCTGAGCTCTGGCCTTGCTAGGTAGGGGTTATGGGAGTTGTAGTTCAACAACATCTGGGGACCCACAGGTTGAGAATGACAGACCTAAGAGGAGCCATACTGGGTGAGATCAATGGCTCGTCTAATCCAGAATCCTGTTCACACAATGGCCAACCAGATGCCCCAAGGGGAAACCTGAAAGCAGGACCAGCTACAAGCACACTCTCCCACTTTGGGCTTCTAGCAACTGGTATTCAGAAGCATTACTGCCTCTGCCCCTGGAGACAGAGTGTAGCCATTGTGGCTAGTAGTCAAGGCTAGCCTCCTCCTCCTCCTCCATGAATCTCCCAGTCCAAAGCTGGCATCCAACACCATCTGGAGTTCCACAATTCCTGTCTTCCAACATTCAAAGTGGCTCACCTGTGCCTGGATGCTGAGAAGAAGGCTTTGGAGCTCAGATATGCTTCGGCTCTGAAGGGTTGCCATCACATTTGTTGCCTCCGTCTCAGCACTGACCCTGGCGCTGTCTGTTAAGGTGCCAGAGATAACAAGCAGTGTTCCCATCTGGGTTGTTGTCAGCAAATCCAGCACTTCAAACTGAAAGACAAGGGGCAGCGGGGAGGGACACCATCATCACCAGAGCTTCATTCCTTGTATGAGTGTGGTGGGCAGGTGTAAGAAGCCCCTTGGTAAAGCATTGCCCAGTTGGCCTTGGCCGTGGTAGGGCCTCCTTGGTGGTGGCTCCCACATGATTGATTTCCAGGAGAAATTTAAAGAACATTCCTGTTTGCACAGGTGCTTGACGGCTGAGAGATAACTGGCCACAGCAAGCACAACATCAATAACTGTGGTGGTATACAATTGCTTCTAAACATTTTCAATGTTCTAATTTACATGTTTTTAGAGGCTTTGAAAACGCTCCACATGTTTTCTTTATTATCCTAAAGTCTACTGTTTAATTTATTTATTACAAGTACGCCCCACCTTTTCCTCCTAGAAGCTAAAGGTGGGATACATGGTTCTCCCTTTCCCCATTTTATCTTCACAACAACCCTGTGAGGTAGGTTAAACGGGAAAGAGTGACTGGTCCAAGTGGTCTCCCACATCCTAGTCGGATACTCTAATCACTACACCACGCTGGCTACTATACCCCATTGGCTTCACATGATGGTGCGGCCATTGGGAGGAAGGGTGGGATACAAATTTAATAAGTAAATAAATAAAAACACCTCACAGTGAGCACTTCACTGAAAGATCTTCAGTCACCTGAAGTTCAGCAGTCTCACAAAGAATCACCACCTTCAAAACTGTTAGCATGAAGGAAGAACCCCTGTCAAAGGGGAAGAAGAACCTGGTCTTTGCATGATTATTGCCCTCACTCCCTGACTTCCTCAGTGCTCATCTGCCACAAGCAGGGGAAGGGGACTTGAAAGCCTCATTATCACCTCATTCACTTGCCAGATCAATTGCTCTGATGCCCTGGCAGATAATGACAATGCTCCTGCTCTGGGGTGGGGAGAGAGAAAAGGGCCTGGAGCGGGACTCTCCCTGCCCCCCCCACCTTCCTGCCCCACTTCAAATGAGGCTGGGGGTTGGTGGTGGTGGGGAACAACACTAAAGGTAAAGGTAAAGGGATCCCTGACCATTAGGTCCAGTCGTGACTGACTCTGGGGTTGCGGCGCTCATCTCGCTTTATTGGCCAAGGGAGCCGGCGTACAGCTTCCGGGTCCTGTGGCCAGCATGACTAAGCCGCTTCTGGCAAACCAGAGCAGTGTACGGAAATACCGTTCACCTTCCCGCCAGAGCGGTTCCTATTTATCTGCTTGCACTTTGACGTGCTTTCAAACTGCTAGGTTGGCAGGAGCAGGGACTGAGCAATGTGGAGCTCACCCCGTCGCGGGGATTCGAACTGCCAACCATCTGATCGGCAATCCCTAGGCTCTGTGGTTTAACCCACAGCGCCACCCGTGTTCCGTGGGGAACAACACTACTTACGCCATTAAAAGAGGGGTTCAGGTGAAGAAAATCATTGTAGTCTGCAAAGCTGCTGGAGAGTCCGAAGTTTTCCTGCAGCCAGTCTCTGCTGCTTGATGTCATGATGGTGCAAGCAGCTCCTGCAGGGAATATGGAGATGCAATTGCTCCGCCCACTTTTGCCCCTGGCCACACACCCCCTTGTGACTCTGGCACATTCACCACCGGCAGGTGGATCCCAGAAGATTATCCCCAAGATAATGTGGTTCTTCAGCTGAAAAGGTTCCCCATCCCTTGCCTTAAAATCTTAATAGTTTAACACGATTTCCAGCAAGGGAGAAAAACCACAAAATAACCATCTATCACCTTCTTTTGTAAGTTGTCTTTTCAGAAAATCCAGACGCTTTGTGCAGACAGCCTTTTGGGTGCTGTTGTCTAGCTCATGATAGACAGAATCAATCCCTTTGTAGCTGCAAAGCAAGCAGAGCAGAATGCATTTTTGTACATTCTCCACAACAGGGAAATCCAGTTCTTTGCACACATAATTATACTTCTCTGGCCTATAATAGGGAGCTGCCTTATACTGAATAAGACCATTGGTCCGTCTAGCTCAACATTGTTTACACTGACTGGCAGCAGCTCTCCGGAGTTTCAGAAAGGGGTCTCTCTCACCCCTGTCCAGAGATGCCTCAGTTGAACCTTGGACCTTCTGCATGCCAAGCAGATGCTCTACCACTGAGGTAGCCTGTTCCACTGTTGAACAACACTTATCATCAAAAAGTTACTCCTGATGTTTAGTTGAAATCCTGTTTCTTGTCATTTGAATCCATGGGTTCAGGTTGTACTTTCTAGAGCAGCAGAAAACAAGCTTGCTCCATCTTTCATGCAACAGCCCTTCAGATATTTGAAGGTTGGTCTCATATCACCTCTCGGTCTTCTGTTATTTAGGCTAAACATACCCAGGTCCCTCAATGGTTCCTCAAAAGGCTTGATTTCCAGACCACTGATCTTTTCGGTCTACCTCCTCTGCATACATTCTAGCTTGTCAATATGCTTCCTTAAACTGTGGTGCACAGAACTGGACTCATATTCCAGGTGGGATGTGACCAGTAGCGGAGCTAGCTACTCCTGCACCTGGAGCAGCGGGGCAGGGCAATCTGCCCATGGGGCAGTATGATCCGCCCACGGGGTGATCAGCACGGCAGCGTGATCCTCGGGCGGGGGGTGGTTTCCAATTGCAGTGCAGCGGTGCAATCCTCCAGGGGGGCCGATCACAGCAAGGCAGCGCAATCCTCCTGGCGGGGGCCTGATCGTGGCACGGCAGCGCAATCCACCCAGGGAGAGTTTGTCACACACCCCTCTGGGATGGCACCCAGGGCGGGCCACCCTTCCTACACCCCTGGATCTGACCAAAGCTGGTCCTATTATGTCCCTTGATCTGGACACTAGACTTCTGTTGATGCTGCTTAGAATTGCATTATCCCTTTTCGGTTGCCGCATTGTGACAAACGCAAGACAGGGCAGACATCTCTACTTCTGACAGTTTTTCCATTAGAGGACTTCCCTCCATCAAGCACAACCCATGGACCACCCACCCTTAACCTGAGCCTACTCACATATCACGGAAGTCTGTGCAACCAATTTTGGTCGGGAAAAGCTCCAGGATCTTTGCATCAGCAACAGGCAGGAACCTCATCAGTTTCACCTGAAACAGGTCTTTCAAGGAGGGTGAACAGAGGTCGGGGAAGCTCTCATTCACCTTCCTCAGAATGGTCTCCAGCAACAGATAGCTGGCTCCGTGCTCAGGAGAGGGCTCCAGGGGCAACAGTGATAACTGAGTCAAGTAATCTTCCATGAAGCGGATGCTCTGGCTGCGGAGGGTTTGGGCAACATCTTCTGCCAGGCTGGCATTGGCCAGGACACCACGAGCAATGGTCAGTTGGGCAAGCTGGGAGGCAGTCAGAACATCCAAAGCTGCAAACTAGAAAACGGGCGAAAAACATGAGTTTGGTGCAGGCAGTCCTAAATGGACAAAACAATAGCTCTTCTAAGGACTAGTGTTGACCATTTCTCCATGTCCCTCTGAGCATGCATGGAGTATATAGGGAAGGGCTCGGTGGTAGAACATCTGCTTGGCATGCAGAATGTCCCAAATTCAATCCCCAGGAGCATTTCCAGGTAGGGCTGGGAATGTCCTCACCTAAAACCCTGGAGAGTCACTGCCAATTCCTATGTCCCTAAAGGTTATCCCCCTCCCCATATATAATGGTTCTAACGCCCCCCAATAAAAATCTAGCCTGTCACAGGGAGCCTATGTAATTGTCAGGAGGGCATAAAAATGAAGCGCCTCTGACCATCTGTCTTTTCTTTGTGAAGCAGCATCTGTTTGCTTTTTTTTTAAAAAAAAGGCCAGAGTACTTCAGAGCACATGCAGAGTGCCTTCCCTCACCCCCACCCTGACAGGAAGCCTTCAAGTTGCATTCCACAGCTTGTGGTTGGAGTGAGTTACTCTCCAGAGCCACAAGTGCAATTGATTTTCTTACCCCATCGAATCCACTCCAGGTCTTTAGGAGGTCGTTGTATGAGGCATTGTTCAGGAAACTCTTCCAGTAGCTCTGAATCCATTCTTTGGGTGAACTCTGTGGGCAGCCTGAAAAGCAACATCAAAAGGAGCTTTGTGGTGTGGGCAAAGAAATGGAAGGACCAAAATCTGTCACCTGTTTGGTGAAGGCTAATGAAATGTGTGGAGCTGGCAGCAATGGAGAAACTGACTGATGCAATCCAGAAAAGAGAAAGCATGAGATGAAATGGAATGTATGGGGAGAGATGGAACTATTTTGTGAATACTGGAATGCATTGTATCGAAATGAAAGACTAGAAATAATATTTGTTTACCTAGATTATGTATTTATTTTTCCCCTCACTCTCTTTTCTGTTTATCAATGTATTATAATGCCGTTTTTCTCCCTTGCGGTAGTTTAATGAATAGCAATAAAATGTAGAAGAAGAAAAGGTGTATTTAAATTTTTTTAAGGAGCTTTATTTTTCAAAGGGTCAAATGGAACAATTTCTAATGAAGCAACTAGGACTATTATCCCACTCTGTATCTGTACTGGAGTTGAAATTGACTTTATAAATAAATCCAATAAATCTTGTTGTTGTTGTTGCTGCTGCTGCTGCTGCTGCTGTCATCAATTGTATTTGTATTTCATGTGATTGTTTATATTGTATATGTTTTTTATTGTAAATCACTTTGAGATGCCTCATTATAAGTGATTCATAAATGAAATTAATAATAATGCATCCTACGGGAGGTTGGCAGGAGTGTGAGGTCCTCTTCTTTAAGATTCCACCTACACAAGCCCTAATTCCTAATCTGCAGTTTCTGAACCAAAAGAAAACCAAAACACAGTCACCCTTTGTAATTTTGCATCCCTCCAACTGAAAGGTTTGCACAACAATGAATACAATAATATATGAGTGGAAACAACTGCAGCATATAAGGGGGAGAATAATTGCTTGCAAAAACGTGTATAAATTTGCACTCAATAAATATTGGGAGAAATAATTTGCACAAATTGCAGATGAATTTCCATGTGGACCTTTCTTTAAAAGAGAAAAATGATCAACTAGATGTAGGAATAAGGTGAGCTTTTCCAACATAAAGCTGGAAAAATAAGAAAACAGGAGAAACCAACATTTGTTCATCCCTAAATAAGAGAAGGAGTCCTGTCCAATACAGGGCTGTTCAATGGCTGCAGGTCCACGAGTCATGTGACTCTGAGCTGTTCTGCTGGCTCGGATTGGATTGAGCTTTTCTGGAGTTATGACTCTTGACCGCTTGTGAAAGGAGCACCAGAGGGGGCACATTCCCCACTTACTTTGTATTGTAAGGAATCTCCCGATCCAGTTGGCAACCTGTTGCTTTGTGCTGCTGTCCATCCCAGAATATGCACTGTCCAGAGCCTGGACACTAATGATGGGAGACACAAGAAGGGAAATAAGCATCTTATTGGTGGTTTTATCTGTTTGATACCTTACACAGGACAGCCTCTGAGGGACAAGGGCTTGCATCCGATGCTAGTCCTACTCAGAGAAGACCCACCAAAAACAATGACCATGATAACCAACTCCAGTTTATTTATTTCATTGAGTCTACTCTCAGCAGAGCTTAGCTGGAGAGAACTCGTACAGCCAGGCTTCAAAACCTTTCAAATGCAATCAAATGCCCAGACAGAGGAAAGTCTTACTATGACACCAAAAGGTTATCAGTGATGGTGCCAGGCAGGCCTCAGCTGGGAGAGCATTCCACAAGTGTTGGGAAGGGGGTTACAACCAAAAAGGTCCTCTCCCTGTTGCCACCCTCAGGTGTTTCTTGTGGGGTGCAAGGAGAAAGGCCTCAGATGATGTTCTTTTTGGGAGAGGTGGCCAGTCAGGTATTCTGGTACTAAGGCTTTGTAGGTTAAAGCCAGTACCTTGAATTGGACCGAGAAATCTACAGGCCTCATCCCCATCAGCATTCTGTAGCAGCTGCCATTTCCAAACAGCCTTCAAGGGCAGCCCTGGGTATAACCCATGTCATCCCTGTGAATCCTTTGAACCATACACATCTCTTGTGCAAAGGACCTTTCGGACTGCAGTATTCGGGATCCAAACGTCTGCTTGAATCCTGCAACTACAGCTGTCTTGAAATTCTCATCTCATTGAGAGGGAACCAGAGGGAACCAGCTGCTAATTCTAAATGTTGTCCTCTTGATTGTAAAAAAGCAAAAAACCTCAGAGTGATTTACAAAAAAGGGAGAAAAAAACAATGAAATTATCAGTGAAAAACAATGAAAAACTACTTAAAATCTTCAAAAAAATATTAAAATCAATAAGCTAAAACCCAGTTTAAAACACACATCAACATTATACATATCTGGACAGACTAGCCTAAACATAAATGTGTTTTCCCAAACAGGGAAGGGGGTTGCCTGATGTCAGTAGGCAGGGAGTTCCAAAGACTGATTTCTTACTAATAGTTGTCACTTACATGGTAGCGAAGCCATCACAAGTGATGGGAAGCTGAGTCATGCACTCTAGGACATTGGAGTTTATCGCTGCCAGGTAGGAGTGCATCGTGTCTTGAAACCAAGAGGCAAGGAAGCCTGGGCTCTGGACCCGGGGGTCTGCCTTGATCTTTTCCCATGCTGCATTCAGCAAGAAGGTTTTGGCTGTCAGTGAGATTTGGTCCCCAGAGACCTAAATAAAACAGAACAGTTGGTGCTCAAGGAGGAGAGATAAGCGGGGTTAACCTGGCACTTTATTTTTGCAACACATATCCAAATTATCACTACACATCATGTGGCTGTTATTTAAAAATAGAAGGATAGCTTGATGGATCAGACCAGAGGTCCATCTGGTCCAGCATCCTGTTCTCACAGGGTTCAACCAGATCCCCATGAGAAACCTACAAGCAGAGCCTGAGTGCAACATCAGCACTCTCCTCTCCTGTGATTTCCAGCAACTGCTATTTAGAAACATTACTGTTAGTGCTGACCTTTAAAGCCCTAAACGGCCTCAGTCCAGTATACCTGAAGGAACATCTCCACCCCCATCGTTCTGCCTGGACACTGAGGTCCAGCGCCGAGGGCCTTCTGGCGGTTCCCTCACTGCGAGAAGCCAAGTTACAGGGAACCAGGCAGAGGGCCTTCTCGGTAGTGGCACCCGCCCTGTGGAATGCCCTCCCACCAGATGTCAAAGAGAATAACTACTACCAGACTTTTAGAAGACATCTGAAGGCAGCCCTGTTTAGGGAAGCTTTTAATGTTTAATAGACTATTGTATTTTAATATTCTGTTGGAAGCGGTCCAGAGTGGCTGGGGAATCCCAGCCAGATGGGCGGGGTATAAATAAGAAATTATTATTAATTATTATTATCATTATTATTATTATCCAACCGTGGAGTCAGAGCATAGCCACTGTGGCCAATAGCCATTGATAGCCGCCTCCTCCATGAATTTGTCCTGCTCTCGTTTAAAACCATCCAAGTTAGTGTACATCTTTGCCTCCTGTGGGAGTGCGTTCCATAGTTTAACTATGTGCTGCATGAAGAAGCCTCTTCTTTTCTCTGTCCTGGTCAACTGAGCTGTGCCTCTTCAATGCCCCCTAAGCTAGCTCACTGCCCTCAAGCCAGGGGGAGGACGCTATCACAATGACACTGCTAAAGTAAGAGTCCCCTGCCGCTCCAACCAGCTTCCATTTATGAAACAGGGCGATGGCACACTCCAGTCCTTAGCTCAGGCAACAAAATGTCTTGGGACGACCCAGATTATTCACCATTCAAAATAGCACAGGCAGCAGCATTAATCAATGCAGATCTTGATATACGATGCGTACTGCATGCACATGCACACACGCACACAACATTAGTTTTATAATTCTCAGTTGCTCAGCTTTACGCTCTCTGCTTGCAGTAGAGTTAAAATCCTGAGGATGGGAGAGTTGCAAATGCACAGGAGATCCTGGTCTGAGCTGCAGGGAAATTTGGCTTTGTGACCCTCTGTTCCTTTGCAGCCCTATGATTCTGTACAGGTCTCCAGGTCTCACTGCAAAATCTTCCCTGCAAAATGTCTCTGGGGTGTCACTTTCTAAATAGAGCTATCCATTCGCAAACATACAGGTTGAGCAGAAGGGAAGCAAGCACAACAGGTCAGAAATTCTAGTTCCAAAGGAGCAGCCCTTATCCTACACACCTTATCTACCTACACAAGCCCAGATGCAACACTGGCCTTCAACAGATCTTAGTGTCCACCAGAGAGGTCCTAACAGAGAGTACTACTTACCTGCACATTTATCTCATTCAGAGCTGCCTGGAGCGTGTCTTTGCCAACATTTTCAAAGAGCACCAAGAAAGCCCCTTGGTCCAGCCGGGCCTCAGAGTCTGTGATGGAGCACTTGAGGATGGAAGCCAGCTCACTTGACGTCAGGTTGGAGATCTGTAGAGCAAAAGATGTATTTGTGTCATTTTCTGTGAATTATTTGCACAAGCAGTAGCAAAACGAGGTACTCTTTCAAGCCCCAACACTCATCTTCACAGCTACATGTCTTTTATTAAGTCCAATCCTTCCCTTAAACTAGTCCTCTTCTCTGCCCTTGGCAATAATTGCTCCCATCTCTTTTTCTACGCCTGGCATTTTCATTTCCGGGTTTATTTCGTTTCCTAAATAACATTATTTGATAACCCAATGGAAGATTCCCAAGAATTGAGCTTCCTAAGCTGAAGCAAAGCACTGGCATGACATTGGCTCCATGGCAAATCAATTAAGATAAACTTTGCAAAATCGGAGCTGCTGAATAAGCAAACCCGCAAGACCTTATATACCAAACTGCATTCTTTTGGATATTTAAAGGCTGGCAAAGATACCTGGTCTGCTGATCCACAAGCATACTGTGGCAGTGTAAATTGGCATGGTTCTTCAAGCGTGGAATTTAGCTCTGCCCTGTATAAAGAAACACACAAGATTATAGATAATTCTGCCAACCAGTCAAATACATTTCATCTCACTATTGGCTACTGAAAAGATTAAATAATTCAGCCTGCAATTCTCACATAGGTGTAAGCCCCATTGAACAAAGTGACACTTCCTTCCAAGTAAACTCACATTTGATTGTATTGCCAACTTACTGCTTTTTGTTTTTTAAAAGCTGCACAACCTACGGGGTGGGGCTCCTTATTCATTTCAGACAGACTTTCTTGTTTATTTAAATAGTTATCAATAGTTATCAATTGCGCCCATCATGTAAATACAGCAAGACATGTATACCACATACAAACTGACAGTCACTCTGACAAAAGCATCATTCAAGCTGGGGGGTGTTGGAAATCATATTGCAAAGGCTTGCCTGAATAACACAGTTTTCAACAGATGTCTGAAAGCAGGCAGGGATTATTCCTGTCTAGTTTCTACGGGCAGGGAGTTCCACAGGGTAGGCTCGGTCCCTAGTAAAGGCTAACCAAAACTCAGGAACACGGGGAACCACCAAAAGTGTCCCATCAGAAGAGCTCAGTGATTGAGGTAGTAATCAGATGATCCTTAGGGCCCAAGTCCTTTGGGTTTTGTGAATTAACACAATAACCTTGAATTTGGCCTGGTAACAAATAGGTTAGGAAAAAATTAGACCCTAGAATGAATGGCCTTATAGGGGCCCTCTGTAGCTGAATGTTGAGAGATTCAGGACAGATTTTAAAAATGCTTCTTCACGCAGTTAAACTATGGAGTGTGCTCCCAACTTGGGTGGCATTAAAAAGGGACTGAACAGATTCATGAATTAGAGGGCTATCAATGGCTACTAGCCATGATGGCTATGCTCTGCTTCCAAAGTTAGAGGCAGCAATGCTGGAAAGCACAGGAGGGGAGGGGAGGGCTTTTGTGCTGTGGTCCCTCATGTGAATTTCCCACAGGCACCTGGTTGGTCACTGTGAGAACAGGGTGCTTGACTAGATGGGCCCCTGGCCTGTTCCAGTAGGCTCTTCAACGTGGAGTCACTTTGCTGCTACCCTCCTCAACTGCTGCTCTCTGGGCCCTCATCTGGGAGGCCCCTGAGTTATGGGGCCCTAAACTTTGGCCCAAGGTCCACCTTAGCTATACCACCAGCACTTAGAATTCTACCCCACTGGCCTGTACCTGTTGATGGAGGAGCAGTAGCTTGATGCTGTGAAAACAAACAGACAAAAAGTAAATAATCACAGTGTTCTTATATTTGTTTTTAAAACAGTTGCTTTTATCTATATTCTGGTCATTTCATTGCCTGCCAACTTTGAAGCCTGGCTTGTAACCAGAAGCAATAAAAACATAGTATTTATTTATTGAGTAAGTGGTATATCTATAAACATAAATCTTATGAGGCTGTCAGAACCCAGTGCACAGTGCACAGAGGAGTCAGAACCCAGTGCACAGCTATACATGCTTCAGTCAATCGATGCAACACAAATGAGTCTGAGTTGAATTACGGCTCTGGTGAATCAAGCTACAGCAGTTTCAGCACCCTGGACAGCAGCCCCATTCCCAGGGCAGCAATGAAGCCTCACTTAGGGCTCCTCTACACTTTGCTCGCCCCATGCCTAGAAAGTACAGGTCCGAGAGGTCTTCTGCTTCTCCCAAACTTTCTAGGCATGTGTCCAAGTGGTTTTCCATTTGCCCAACCACTTTCCCCAGGAAAACCCACTCTTCACCACTGAATTTGTGGTAACCTCAATTGACATTTGCTCCCATTCAGTAGTAAAGAGGAGGTTTTCCCTGGGGGAAAGTGGCAGGACAAGCAAAAGTGCAGCTTTACTGTCTTCTTGTGGGGTACAATTTAGCATACTCTGAACAAGCATAATTGACATTTGGGAAATGTTCCATTAACTTTCAGGCATCAAGTTTCAATGCCTGTTAGCCAGATGAGCTGGTAGAGTTCTCAGCTAGCGGAATGGACTGTACTGTTTTAGAGTGCAGGTGGGAGATGCCATTTTTGAATGTTCTCTTGCATTTTAAGAGGGGGGAGAACCCTCCAGATAGAAAGTTTGCACTTGCAAGGAGCAATGATAGGAATTTCTTCCCAATGTGTTAGGTTTCTATTTGGAGGAAAGTTTTTCTTTAAAAGCATTCAAAGGTGCATTTTGTAACCTGAAGTGGTGCAATCCACACTACCATTTCAGGGTTAGCTATGATTCCTACATTGCAGGAGTTGGGCGAGATGATCCCTTGGGTTCCTTCCACGTCTATGATTTTACCACCTCATTGTCCTACATCTGTAGATCATTTCCACTGGAAAGAAGTGGGGCAAGGAGAAAATCACTCAAACCCATGCTTTCTAGGCATGAGACAAGCGGAAGGGTGGACGAGCCCTGTGACAAAGTACCAGGATGCTGGAACTGCCTTTCACATAAATAGATCATTACATTAATGCCTTAGTCCGAAACAGCGCTCTGAGTTCAGCTTAACTTGTGTGTGATATTGGTCATGGGTCTGGATAATCATCTTCTTCCCACCCACTACCAGTCTGCTATAATCCCCTGACCCTCATTTTTGTGCCAATAAGATAAAAGTAAAACTGATCTTACTTACAGATTGGAAAGGCCGGACACTGATTAAATAGAAGAAAAAAGACAAGTGGTCAGAAAATCAGGATTGCATATTGCTCATATATAGAGCTGGATCTATTCTAAAAAGCTAGTGCTGTGGAGGGGTCAAAATGACAATGATGGAAAGAAAATCTCCCACACGGGGGGGGGGGCGGAATGTTGCATCAGAGTGTTCAAATAAACATTGCTCTTGAATTGTTCGGTCATTGTTCACCTGTGATGCAACTGGCAAGATCTTCTTCTGAATAAATGGTGCTACTTTCAGGACAGACACTAAACTGGCAAATTAACCCCAACAGCAAATGGATCATGTTGCCATTGTTCACCCCCCCTCCCCATACTTACTGGATTCAAAGCGATAGGATAGGATCGGCGAGAGCGATAACCATGCCAGCTGCCTTCTGTCCAGCCCCCTTGAAATGCAATTTGAAATAGTTAGAACATGTGAAAGGACTTGTCTTCCAAGAGTTTGCTTAAGGATTAAAGCAGTGTTGGCCAACATGGCGCCCTCCAGATGTTATGACTACAATTCCCATTGTGACTAGCGGTCAAGGATCACGGTGGTAGTAGTTCACAACATCTATAGGACATCACATTGGCTGCCACTGAATCAAAGCAGTCTGAGTTAGAGGCCATCATCACATCTTGTGGCAGGGAGCCCCACAGATTAATTTGTGGTGTGACATAGCAGTCCTTTCTTTTGTTAGTCCAGAACCACCAGCCCCTCTGAATTTTAATGCTATGAGAGAGAAATGTTTCTTACTCACAAGTTAAGAGAATCTCCAGGATGGTCTGCTGTTACCGCAACGAATTTAGCTAACAGCACAAGTCTGCTCATGTCTACTGAGAAATACATTCAATGGGCCTTGTTCCCAAGTGAGTGAGTATAGGATTGCAGCTGAACAGTGCAATCCTATGTATCTTTACACAGACATAGCTCCTATTGTGTTTGCTGGTGCTTCCTCTCAAATACATGTGTACAGAATTACAATCTAAGGCTGTCACCTCATTAAATATTAGTGGATTAATCACATGGAGTTGTAGCTAACTAAGTTTAACTTAGAGTAGACCCACTGAAATGAATGGAGCTGAGATAGTCATGGCATGGCCAAACCTCCAGAAGGTCGGAGAAGACTGATTTTAGTCAGTTAATCTATTCTGCATAAATTTGCACAGAAGCGAAAACAAACAAAAAACACTCTGAAGTAGAAGCACAGCTGCTTTGATTTTAGCTTATTCAAGTAAGTGTTACAGCAGAACTCTCTTTCAGAAGATGTTCCCCATTTCCCAATTTATAGAAGGCTCCTTCCAATATGGTGCTGGCCACAACAGTCATTTTTTGTTAGCTACTTCCATTAAAAGTAATTTGAGGCACTTTTTCAGAACCAGCTGCCTCTGTTAGGAGGGACTTTCTAAACAGCTAAAAATGTTTGATTGAACTGATTAATCAGCTGGACATTACAAGCTGGGCAATTAATCAGTTGCATAGAAAAGCCATGAGTCACTGCTTTAGCTCTCAAAGAATGTGATGACTGTGAAGCTGATTCACCTTCTAGCCCCACAAAAGCTTGCCAGAAAAATGTCTGTTTTGCTCACTGTGTAAATATTTACTTGGATGCATTTGATTATGTTAATTATTGGGAAAAGAACTGGAAAACCTACCTGAAATGAGTAGCAAAGTAAAGATCGCGTAAATGGGCGGGCCTTCTTTTTCCTTCATGGCAACTCGGTTTTCCAAACAGGCCTTCCTTGCAGTGCTCTAAAGCATAAAATATGACCTCATAAGAACATAGGAAAGGCCTGGCCTGTGGATCAGTCCAGTCTCCTGTTCTCCCAGTGGCCAACGAGATGCCTCTGGGAAGCCTGAAAGACAGGGCCTGAACGCAACAGACTCTCCTGAGTTGTGCTTCCGACAGTGGAAACAGAACACAGTCATTGTGGCTAGTAACCATTGATAGCCTTATCCAATGCTTTTTTCCTTTAAAAATGTTTAGGAGTTGTCTCATTTTGACTCAAGAAAATCACCATTTTATAGTTCAAATCGGGGAAAATAAATACAGTCAATGAACAAAAGTACAAAGATTCACAAAATATTTAGGGGTATGCGTACCCCTGTGTACCCCCAGAAAAAAAAAGCACTGGCCTTATCTAATCCTTTATTAACACAAACCAACTTGGTGGCCATCACTACATCTTGTGGGAGCAAATCCCATGGATCACCCAGTTCAGGCCCTCCCTCCAAAGACAACCTTCCTTGCTTTCCTGAAGCACCCATGTGCATCCTTTTGAGACTCCACATAATTCCAGAAGTGATTTGTCACAAGGGTTATGAAGGAACAAGTCATTAGATCTTCCAGAGGGGCGTCTTCTGGGCCTCATGGTTGCTCTTCTGCTCTAAGCTACAGTCAGAATCGCAAACAACTTTCAACAGTTTGAGAAGTATCACACTTTTTGTGTGCATTCCTCTGGTTATGTTCCAATAATACTAGGAGTCATAGAATTGTAGACTCGGAAGGGACACCGGGGGTCATCTAGTTCAACCTCCTGCAATGCAGGAATCTCAACTAGATCATTCATGACAGGTGGCCACCCAACCTCTGCTTAGAAACCTCCAGAGAAAATTGCATGACATAGCAATTTAGTATTGATTGATTGAATGCATTTATATTCCACCTTTTCCTCCAACGAACTGAAGGTGGTATACATGGTTCTCACCCCCCCCCCAATTTTATCCTCTCAATAACCCTGTGAGGTAGGTTAGGGTGAGAGGCAGCAGGCTTCACGGCTGAATGAGGATTTGAACCCTGGTCTCCCAAGTCCTAATATGACACTCTAACCACCTCACCGGCTCTCAGTGCAGATGGGGAAGGGACAGCTCACCTGACCACACCATTTTCAAACCAATTCGATCCATTTTTAATCATTTTTTTTAAAGGGAATGCTAAAACACTCCCCTGCCACCAATTTTAACACCAGTTTCACAATTTCAATATTTAAAATTGGGGGGGGGGGAGAGACAGAGAGAAATATAAACACAGGGATAGAAGGGATACTTATTGAAAACAGCTGGTTATTTATTTATTTATAAAAAGCATTTTTATCCATTTAATAGTGTGTAGTTTTTTTAGAATTAAAAAATTCGGCCACAAAGCACCATTTTTAAAAAACTGAATAAAATCTGCAGCTAAAATTTCACTGCCAGGAAAGTTCATGGAGGTATAGAGGGCTGGCGATTGGCTCAGCTGCTCAACACATCACTTGACATGTCCAAACCACAGATCATCAACCCGTCATATAAGAGGAAAAGGGAATGAGGCTTAAGAAATTTTAACCTAACCATTTATAATATAGAATAGGGTTGATTGTAAATAAAAAATAAAAAAATAGAAACAGCTGGCATGGCAGGTATTATTATTATTATTATTATTATTATTATTATTATTATTATTAGAATTTATATACTGCCCTATACCTGAAGGTCACAAGTTTGTACTACATCTCTCATCAGCCCCAGAATTGTATGGCTACACTGGCTGGCATTGTGCTGGGAGTTGTAGTCCGAAACATATGGAGGGCACCAGGTTAAGGACTGCTGGTCTAGATTAATAATTTTGGGGATATTTTAAATATCAAAAACCAGAATTAATATTCCAAGTGTTGGTAGCAGCAAAGCGGCCTATAGCTCAACATTGAGTGGGCAAATGGTCCTCCCAATGAATTTCTAATTTCTACTGTTTTAGGACAGGATCCAGCTGTTCCTACTGCCCCAAAAATTAAGGCACAGAAGCATAGAACTGTAAAGTTAGAAAGGACCCAAGGGTCTTCTAGTCCAACCACCTGCAATGCAGGAATTGCAGCTAGTGCATACAAGTTATCCCGATCCACCTTCTATTCCCTTGCCCCTCCAAATTCCACCTTACCGTCAAAACGCCGTCATGTGTTCCAGAGGCTGGCAGGTGGACCAGTGTAAGTGTCACAGTCTCCTGTGACATCTCCTTTTATACCCAGGTCTCAAGCCACTGGGATGGAATGCAGTCAAGCCGTACAGGTGGCTGCTTTGATGCAGCTGCAAAGAACAAAAGAAAAGGGCCCCACCCTTCCTCCTGGGGCACCCTGGCCTTTGGGGCACATTGCACTCCCCTGCAGAAGGCTGGGCTCACCATAGCAGAGGAAATTCACCTATGGAGTGGCTGGGGACCAGTCGCCATGTGCCGCTCGTCACGTGGTTCACCCTTGGGTGCATAGGTTTTTCTTTCAGAAGCAGCCAACATTCTTTACTTGTTTGTTTGCTTAGTTTAGTCTACTTCTGGGCTCTCCTTAAACCATGCATGTTCACTCGACCGCTTCAAGCTGAGGAATTGGCACTCTTATAGGTGCTGCATAATGTTTGTTCCGCAGTTGTAAGGAACTTATCTTCGGAACTCCCTGGCTATTGACATCAGGCGGGTGCCTTCACTGTACTGTTTCTAGCTCCTGTTTAAAACATTTCTGTTTAGGCAAACCTATCCAGACATATAGAAGTTACATGTGTCTTCATCTGTCTCTAGCTTGGTATTGATTGCAATTCGTTTTAGAATGTTTTCAAATATCTTGTTTTGTTTTATTGCTAACTAGCCTGGAGTTCCCGGGGCTGCCTGGGTATTTTTTATTATTGTGGTTTTTAAAATGGATACTGCAATTTGTGAACCACCCACACTAAGAATTGGGTAGACTCAATCCAAAGTCATGTTTTGGTGTCCACCATCTTGATTCAAAATGGTGCCTGGCACTCAAGCATCAATGTAGAGCCCCTAATCCCCTCCAAGGAACCCTCATGCTGAATTTGGTGATGATATCTCAAGAGGTGGCCAAAGCTATGTCAAAAAATGGGCACAGACGTGCCAAAATGACATTTCGGTCCATCATCTTGATTCAAAATGGCGTCTAGTGTCCAAATGGTAATGGAGTCTGCCACCCCAACTCATGAACCTTCATGACAAGTTTAGCAATGAAATCTCAAAAGGCATCTGAACATAAAGAGAACAAACAGACAGACAAGTGGTATATCAATTTTGCTAAATAAATAAATGCACTTCCACTATTTAGAGACTGCTTTTCACTCTGGATGTTCACAAAAGGCGTTTACATGACAATCAGTGAAACAATTCATGAATCAATCCCGTGCCAGTTCTACTGTCATAGGATATAACCAAATATATCAAAGATAGATGCAAACACACATCTAAATAACAACCTAAATTATAGCAAAATGTTGTTGCTGTTGTTGTTCAGTCGTTTAGTCGTGTCTGACTCTTCGTGACCCCATGGACCAGAGCACGCCAGGCACTCCTGTCTTCCACTGCCTCCCGCAGTTTGGTCAAACTCATGTTCGTAGCTTCGAGAACACTGATCAACCATCTCATCCTCTGTCGGCCCCTTCTCCTTGTGCCCTCCATATTTCACAACATCAGGTTCTTTTCCAGGGAGTCTTCTCTTCTCATGAGGAGGCCAAAGTATTGGAGCCTCAACTTCAGGATATGTCCTTCCAGTGAGCACTCAGGGCTGATTTCCTTCAAAATGGATAGGTTTGATCTTCTTGCAGTCCATGGGACTCTCAAGAGTCTCCTCCAGCACCATAATTCAAAAGCATTAATACTTCGGCGATCGGCCTTCTTTATGGTCCAGCTCTCACTTCCATATATGACTACTGGGAAAACCATAGCTTTAACTATACGGACCTTTGTTGGCAAAGACAACAGGCATAGCAAAATAGCCTATAGCAATTATTATCTATTGCATATCCAACTATTAAACTTTACCCATGACGATTCCACCAAACATGGAGAAAACGAGCAATGGGATGTGAACATCTCCAACATATATCAATCTGTTCTTAAAAATTGGATTGAATAGATCAGGAGTTGGGTACCATTTTTTTTTAAAAAATTATTGCTTAAAATGCTTATCCAGGGAGATAGCACAGACCCATTTGTAAAGTAAATACGGTATGCCAAATATATTCAGGAATTGACATCTGCAGTATTTCCCCCCATTAAGCTACAAAATTGTTCTCCACATCCCTGTTGCGTGTGCAAGTACAGCTCCTAACAAGCCACTGAACCTAACTTTCCTAATGATAGAAGCTGTTGGACAGATTTCCTTGAGATTCAAGAAGGACATTGACAAACTGGAACGTGTCCAGAGGAGGGCAACCAAAATGGTCAAAGGCCTGGAAACGATGCCTTATGAGGAACGGCTAAGAGAGCTGGGCATGTTTAGCCTGGAGAAGAGGAGGTTAAGGGGTGATATGATAGCCATGTTCAAATATATAAAAGGATATAAAAGGTCACATAGAGGAGGGAGAAAGGTTGTTTTCTGCTGCTCCAGAGAAGCGGACACGGAGCAATGGATCCAAACTACAAGAAAGAAGATTCCACCTAAACATTAGGAAGAACTTCCTGACAGTAAGAGCTGTTCGACAGTGGAATTTGCTGCCAAGGAGTGTGGTGGAGTCTCCTTCTTTGGAGGTCTTTAAGCAGAGGCTTGACAACCATATGTCAGGAGTGCTCTGGTGGTGTTTCCTGCTTGGCAGGGGGTTGGACTCGATGGCCCTTGTGGTCTCTTCTAACTCTATGATTCTATGATTCTATGATTCTATGAGATGCAGTGGGATCTGCTATGACAATAATAATAATAATAATAATAATAATAATAATAATAATAATAATAAAATTTTATTTA